CTATTGTTGGACCCTGTTCTAATCCATATTACGTTATGTTATGTATGGCCTTCAAACTCACTTGATGTGTCTATGTGTAAAATATTTGTTGTGAATAAAGTCAAGGTATCCGAATTCTGTTTCTATGTAAAGGCCAGCTAATGGGACAAAGCTGTCATAAAAAAAAGAAATGGCAGACACATAAAAAGTCTGTCATACCGAGAATTAATAAACTGTTGAAAATGATATGATGTAAAAACAGGCAAATAAATTATTAAAAGACATATAATAAAATATTTTTTAAAACTAGATATTCAATTCCATAGGGAGGCTTATACAACGCGATAAGCATGTCTTTATCACACTGTGATCACGTGACTGTAAGCCACGCTGTGGCGGCAGATCACAAACACTGAAATCATAAGGATTTCCTCATACAGATAAATCACCTTGCACTTAAGACCAGCAGTGTACAAGGACGAGCACGCGGGCTCAGTACGGAAACACACATCCAGACCTAGCTTTCTCCTAAAAAAGGTCGGGGCAGAGATAGAACACCACGAGTAATATGTAATATGTTGCCCTTTCGAAAATAATTTTGAGACAATACTTAAATATAGAACAATAGATCGCTTTGGCTAGCATTACAGTAAATGGGTTAAGAATATAAAGTGATAATTACACTCGTTGTATGAGGAACTATAGAAGTATCTTTGATTTATAGGTAAACACATATCTACATGTAATGATCATAGTACAGACATATCTCCCTTATAGATCGTACAAACCGTTATCACAGATTCTTCATTTCACATTGATACAAGGAAAAACGTTATAACTGATTTTTCTGCTAGAGTCGATAAAAAGAGTTTATCCGTACATCTGAGCTTTTATCTAATGGTTCAATATACATTTTAATGTCGACAGTTCATAATATCCGATATTTACCCTTTGTTTGTACATTGCATTAGAATTTTTCGTCTATGACAATTATTCAAACTAGCAAACAAGATCTGACATAGGGTAGTTGGGAAAAAATGCAACGAAAACAGGTGTCACCCAGTTGGTGAACTGATAAAGAGTGAAATGTGTATGGGATTTTATCGAGAAGTACAGTTTGCTCCTCTGGCTGGTGTTAAATCATAAATATTTATATCGGCTCATAAAGTCTTAACTTCAGGCTAGATTAGAGTCACGTGACAAAGAAAGAGGTCACTGTTTACTGAGAAATGTATATCTGAACACCATAACGCTATCCATTTGCCTTGAATGTTGTTATTGTAGACAGTTGCATTATATTGAACGTTTTGTGTATGATGTATGCATTACAACCTCGTTATCTCGAAATTTCCAGGTTATTCGCATATTCGATTTAAGCGAAATGGTACGGTTAGTGTGAAGTTTGGAAGGGAACAATGAAATACTTCTAATTAAACGGAGTCTTCGAGTTATATATGAAGTCGAGTTATTGAGGTTCGCCTGTACTTTGCATAATGTTGTTCGTTTATTGTTTATACTAACTATACGATTATTTACTTAATGGAAGTCACATATGCATCGTACCTATAGATGAATCAAAGGTTTCTTACAAGACTAAATTCATGAAAAATTCTCTGTGGGTGGATGGGTGAGGAGGGTGTGTGTGAGTGTATTTTTTATACATTAAATTCTACTATATCTTGTTTAATAAATCAGAAGTTTTGCACATAATCAAACTGATAAACAAATAACAGAGCATACTTCTTAACATTATGTATCATTCAGATTTGAGTAGTCATGCAAACGAAACCTAAATGATAGACGGGGAATAGGAATACTCTACCATTTTACTGCAGTATGTACCCATGGTACTATCATATAATGAATGTTACTGATTGTCACCGTTTATCTCCTACATCGAGTTTTCTAGATCAGCTAACAAAATAGATAATTATCTACATCCTGATTAAGTACAAATACGTCACAGTACTTGAATACGACATTATAGAGTACAAGTACAGACTGTTTACTTCCTCTTGCTCAGAATCGACAATCGTTTATAACATTGATTTATTATACAATCCACTCCAGATTACTTTCCTTTCCCTCTGTGATTACACAATAACTAGTTTCCACATTTTGCCTTCTGAGTCGTACATTTCTATAGTGTTAACATGTCAAAATACATAAAAAGTTTCTTCTTAACATAAATTAACATCCGAAATCGAGATATCACAAAACATAGTGATTTTTATAAATGTTATTTCATTTCGTAATAAAGAAACGAGTTGAAGGAGGTAAATCCGGAAAGCGTATGCCACTAAGTGTTTCGCAAAACTCTAAATACGTGCCTAACTCTGTGATCCACATAGATATTTTAAGTTAGTAGCCATTACGCAATGGAGAAGAACAAAAATGTTTAAGTTTAGGAGAATGATGAAAATACTGATAAAATTGTACACAAAAGTACGATAAAATGCCAAATAAATGTACATGTGACAGGCTGAGGCATATAATTAATAGTATTGAATAGTGGCAAAATGGTCAGCTGAATTTAAACGAGATCGCGACTGACTAGATGATGTGCCAGTTATAAGATATTGGTCGCTTTATCTATGACTAAGGTTGAGAAGGGCGAGTGAGATTTCCTATGAAAACATTTGCATGATAATCCCAGAATATCTCGGAATGCCGAAGGTATCCGTTAAATGGATCCTAGAAATGTCAATGTCCAGGATCGCTTCCAAAAGCGTCAAGAATAAGTGGCATGAGATGCTGCACTTTAATTCAAGGTCAAACTATGTGTGATCACCCTGCCTATCGTCCATTTCTGCAGCCATGACAGACTGTGTAAGTAGTTTTTAGAAATTCGAAATTCCATTTGCGAGGAACCAGATTTCTCGGGTTAGAGGCAAGCTTTGCAGAATAAAATTGAAGACTTCTGTTTTAAAGCTGTTGACAGTGAAAATGAATGTCCCAGTTGCAGTTACACGGTTTTTGTGTTACATTTAACAGAAAATATTCGTGACGACATACCGTGTGTCATTGCTTCCACCTCAAGTATTGATCATATTATTAACTCCCATTTTGCTTGGAAACCTTTGACCAACCTGATTTAAAACAATTTACACTTAAGTATATATACTATTAAATATATATTTCATTATGGCTATTTAAGTGGGGTTTTTTTTAAATTATTATTTGTTGTTTCATTGCTATATGTATTGCCATTGTCATATACCAAGCAGTAGTTGATTTTTAACTCGTGTTATATACTTATGGTTATCCAGGTAAATTGATAATGTGTATTGTTTATGTTTACTACTAGGTACTTAACCTTGTACATAGTTCATCAGCATGTGTCGCATATCTATGTAATTTGTGTATTTTATCGTTGCCGTGCCTTTCAACCGAGAGGAAATAAAGATAGTAATGTTAAAGGCCGGTGAGTTTCTCTGACACCTTTTCTTTTTTGTTGTGATTTGTAAAATGAATATTTATCATTCTAAGTGCAGGGGAACAGGTAATATTTTACTACCATGAATTACCTCCCGATTTCTATTGGGTACCCGTGCACCAGTACAGCATATAGGCCTACACCAATAATCATTTGGGTCATACTCAATATTCAAAGGTTATTTTTTTAATAAACAATTTGTATTTTCTACTACACTACAACCTAACATGTGTATATCGTAAATTGCATAGCGGTACGGTATTTATGTGACTGAAATATATATTTGTGGGTTCTTTCAATATAAAATGAGTCGATCAGTTTGACCTACATTTTCTATGGGGATGATTCCCGTGACCTGTGTGTGTAGAAAACGACTTGAATGTGTACTTAGCTATTAAAGTGACGACAAATATCAAACTACGGTATATCTAGACCAAATATAGAACGTAATATTCCAATCCACTTGTTTCTCTCCACAACACAGCAATGAAATCAAAACTTTGAGGCCATAACTAGGTATGCTTTATTGTAAGTTATTTCGTGGAGAGTCCGCATATACTTTACAATATTGCAAAAGAGACAAGAGATAATGAAATGTTGCGTGAACAATTAAAGATAAATGGTCTATATCCATGTACGTTGTTCTGGTGAAGACGGTTGGAAAACGTTTTTGTTTATGTCTGTGTGTCTGGTTTGGGCGACCCTGCGTGTATATGATACGTCACGACCATAATGCTCCTCTTTTTAGGAAAATGTACGGGTTTGATGGATTTCACTTTTGATTTGAATAGAGTTCTGTGATAAATCAATATTTTGATTTCTGTCCAGACATACTGAATTTATAATACTCACCCAATAATCTGACATGACACTCGCCTATACCAAATGCATGATAGTTGACCTGTTCACTATGGGTTACATCCAAAAATATCGTTATCGACCGATTTCTGGTACGAGGTAAAACCAACCGTGCCCTAGCAAGACACAAAAAATTTCTAATCTGTAGTACGGTATGTTGAAAAGGAATGAAATGTGTTTCGATCACACAGACTACTTCAAATTCACTAATTACTTATTTCAAATACATTTTGTTTCTTTGTTGTAATTTATTTGTGAGATATACATATTTATTCATGAATGAATTTGACAAGTAAAGTATTGTATTGATATGCAACTACTTATGTATATGATGAAATATTTGAATGAGATAAATAAGCGTTTTCTCGTGAGGGCCATACGTATGGTTGGCACTGTGCTAACCCTCGTTGAATAACTTTGTTGTTATAAACATCTCTGCATAAAGTGTGTACATTACTATTTTTTAAATAAAATGCCTAGCTATATGGTATTTTGATTTGAGAAAAAAATCTTCGCATAAAAAGGGATACCGATATTTCACGATGGACTGAGAAAAAATGTTTTATTTGGGATGGATATACTGATATATATTATATGTCCCTGGTTTCTATGTAGTAAAGAAAATATATGTTGTGTTTCGGAGAGAATAGCCGGGTTCCATCGGAAATTAACGGAAACTAACGATTGGTGTGCTCGTGGGTCATGACCCCGACCATGTGATCGAGTTCTGTTGTGGAGAGAGGTGAGATCAGCGAGAACACAAGGCCAGTTGACGAGAGAAACAGGGAAGAGCTGGGAAACGGACTAAGGCATATAACGCCAATAAAATACGTGTAAACAAGAATGTCAATGTCAGGTTCGCCACAGCAGATACTAAAAGGACGAGAAATTCCAAGCAGACGTATAGTTTTGAACGATATTTCGCAGTTACCTCATGATTACAGCACGACCCCTGGAGGATCCATATTTTCCACAACCCCAGGCGGTAAGCATGCTTTCATTTTTTATGCATATGACAAATAGGTACATTGCAAATAGTCTGACATTGTCTGATGTGTTAATGTCATATGCATATTGTTGTAATCTTACGCTTTGTGGCTTAGATTTGCAAACGTAAACAAATGCTAAGGCATGCAGAATCCAATATGGCGGCATATGTGGACCATGTGACATTTGTTTTGAATCTAATTTTTCCTCTCATTGATGCCTTCGTTCTATCTGGAAAATTTCCAAATCACAACTGCGTATGAGGAAGTAGCAGTCGTAAGCGGCAAAGGCGATGGCAATGTTATGTGAAATGTCTAGTAGGGTTGCCACCATATTGTTTTGCCATGTGGTCAGCAAGGCTTGAAGTAAGCAAATCCAACATTTTGCACAACAATAAGAAGTGCATATATTATAAATGATTGCGTCATGCCATAACAGAAAATTGCCTGATAAGATAAGAGACTGACAACTCGGACGATACCTTTCTATTTTTAATAGGTCCAGATATTTACATAAAAAATTCCCGAAGTTGAAATCGACCTTCACCTTCATGACGTACTTGATGTTTACATCATGGTGTATATTTACCTGTGTCAATGGGACCTGAAGAGGTCATGAAAAGTCAAAATAACAAAATCTGATCTCAACTGATAGGATCTAAGTGATATATTTGATTAATCAGTGGATTTTAGATAAGTGTTTTGATGGTGATGATGAATCATCATGTAAACAAAACAAAAAGACAGATACATCGGTTATTTGATAAAGGATATTTATTCAAAATTAATAAAAATATTCTATGTAAACATAGGTCTGAAATTGTAAGCAAAATCAGAAATAAAGAAGAACAAATTTTTGCTTAGTATTTCCTATCAAGTAAGAAAAAATGGAGCAGTCATTTTAACAAGATCAAGAGTTCTGGTGTTTATTCTTTGTAAAACTGGAAAAATATTTTCTTTTTGTAGAAATTGATGATTTTCTGCCTTCAGATTTCAAAATAAATTTTTGCAGTGATAGTAAGGCTGCTTTTGTTTCATTTTCTTAAAATTGAAAGAAATACAGGAATGTGTAGAAGAAAAAAATACTGTTTTTTCTCAATTTTACAGGCACATACAGCTAAAATATTTACTCATATGATTTTGCTAGATGTTATGTATAGGATCATGGTAATAATCATGCAGATCAAATCTGTGCTCGTTTAGTTTCTCATCCGGAATACTTTTATTAAAAAATATGGTATACAACTTGTTTTCTTAGGTGCCTCCTAAATGATCATTGTCTGCATATTTCATATGAAATCTTGAAACCAATTAGTGACAAAAACTTCAGAAAATGGATTGTCAACAAAAAATCTGACAATTTATCTTGGGTTTGGGTGATGGGCGATGATTGTAGTTGACTAAAATTGAAGGCAGATGCTCAAAAGGTGTAATGACATAAAAAAAAAGTATATAAACAATGCTGCATGCAATAAAGAAATGAACGGGTGACATTATATGATGCTTGTTATAGAAAATATCGTCTTAAATTAGTATGAACCTTGATCAGTGATTGATCATTTAAGTGATTGATAGTCAAAATGAGTAATGTTACTGTTACAAAATGTCATCCATACCAATTATGTGTTTAAAAATCATCCATTCATCATATACTGTAAATAACTTGTATTTCATGTGAGTTTTGTTTTTGAGTAAACAAGCGAGTTGAATCAGTCATGAATTCATGTATCTAAATAGCCAAGTATTCATGAAAGTAACTCAATTTCTAGACCACCTTTTGCGAAATCATGGATTTAGGAACATGTCTGATGAGGGAACTTCATGAAGTAAAAGTATTCGTGACATCAAAGTGATTTACAGTAATCACTAGGACTCCCTAATAAGTTGTTAGTATCGCGCAAATACTACACACATCCAGCTGACTTCACAAGGGAAAATTTTCTATTGAGTTCAGTTGGAGGAGTAATTTTGTATTCCTAGCAGAGAAATTGAAATAAAAAATAAGATGACAGTTACATTGGCAACTGTAGATACATAGAATTGATTTCAAAAGCATTACTGTTACCCAGGACTTACCCCATGAAAACTTAGTTTTGCTTGAGGAAAGGTATGCACCATAGCAAGTTACCAAGTGATTTAGCTTGATGGTATTTATTCCAGTATATTTGTGTAGCAAGCCACAGGTTCAAGGATAAGTATGAAGTGGAAACATTAAACAAACATCATGTTCTCTGTTGCAAAATGCACATTAATTGTAATTGAAAGATAGTTTCTAAAAATTGTACAGAATAGGATAAGAAGGGAGATAACTATATTTGGCATATTTTTACTATGGTCAATTGTTATATTGTACATTGTTTACATTTATGTGTATATCTTTATAGTGGACCTGTCAATTTGTCATCTTTTTTAAAACCTTTTTAAGATATTTGGTAGATTCATGTTTCTTTATATCTGTAGGTTCAAAGATTTTCTACGAGCGTTCGTTCTTGCTGCAGTGTCGAAACTCACCATTGACTAAGAGTCCTCCACCAAATATGGCTAAGATTCCCGGAGTAACAGCACCGGGAACTGTGGATATGCCTCTGGAAAATGGCAATGTCACAGATGAAAATCAAAAACAAAAACCAACAGGAGAAAAGGCTGGTAAGCCACCATAGTTCATATGAAATTCCTTAAAGGGTCTACAATTGTGTAAATGTATCTCTGTTGCAACAATGTCAGACATGACATGCTCAAAGTCTTCTACTTTCAGAAACATATCTCCTATTCTTTAAGTAAAACAAGACAGACTATTGTTTCTAATAAACTATTGTTAAATTCAGATGCCTAATTTAACAAAAGGTATTTATCAATGAGGGGTGGGGGGGTGGAGACACAATGTCCGGCAAACATTACAATCAAGAAATTCCTTCCGGGAACAGCCGTGGATCCAAAAGGATACAGAGTACCCACTATAAATGAGTAGAATAGGCGTCAGGAGTAGGCACAACACAAAGCAGTTCCGGTCCAATCCATGATTTATTAGTGCAGCCAAGGTATTTATGTTACACAATAACATTAACTACAGCTTGTTTTTTTTTTTTTTTCAGAACATGAAGATGGGCCACAGTTTGAGATGGACATTTGAACTTGCCACCCAGAATGCCTTTCAGTTAGCTTCCATTGGTGATGTCCACAGGAATTGTACCAGTTTGGAAGTGCTCTTTCGTTATGAACACCTTTTTTTTTTAATTTTTTAGACAGCTTTTCCAAATTTAATGCTCACAACCATTTAAGAAGGATTCTGTTGAGCAAAAAATTGGAAACTACATTGAAACCAAGCTACAAATCAGAGGATGTTTTGTTTCCAATACAAAGCAGTTTGTCCATTCCTTGGCATTTGTATGCAGAATCACCACGATATTAATGCTTTAGACCCCACATGACACTGTTGGTAGCCCACTTTTTTATGAAAAACAGGGCAAGGGTGTAGTATATGAAATGTCCATGTCAAATGCAGCATTGGTTATTTTTATATTATTCCTTTTAAGTTGTGGCAATATTGTTAAAAATTCCATTGCCATTTTTGTAGCAGATCTGGGGAAGAATAGAACTCTTAAAAAGTGTTACCATGCATCAATGGGTTTCTTCAAGCTGTACCTGTGAGAGATGTGTGAAGTGAGTGTGTACACGAGATGGCAGTATTTTAAAAACCCATTCCCTGAGTATATATGAAATCCTTTTTTATACAGAATGATTGTTCCTTTTTACATTGTTGTCAGGGAAGTTGAGAGAGTTGAGGTGGGTGCCATCTTGTTGATATTGACACTTATGACAGGAAGCCACAGAAGCATGGATAACATTGACAGAAGTGGTGAACAACTCCAAGGTTTTACAGACGATAAAAAAAAAATTGTTGGGATGCTTGATAATGAAGCCATTGAAAACAATAATTATTGGTTTCCTTCTTTGTATTAATAGAAAAGAACTTTTTAAATGTTTTGAGCCTGATGTCTTAGGCATGTGATAGGATTATTTAAAGTCATTGTGGTAAAATGACTGAGAATGGTGCATTTTATATTTAGATAAGTTACCTAAGTAAGTTGGTTGTCTCAGGTACTGCCATTCTTTGGCTTTTCAGGTTTACTAGGTTACCAAAATAAGAAAGTTGAAACGCTATACAACAAATTCAATGATCACATGAACCACTTAAAATACTGAATAATTGAATCCTGTTTAGTTTAAAAGACCTGTGATGCTATTAATATTTTAAACAGGTAAATTTGGTAGCATAGGCAAAGATGACATTGATATATTGTACAAGGGCATTAATTGAAATATCTAATGCACTGTCAATTTTCATTTTCTAGATAGACATGTTTGATGCTCACCAGCAAACCTGTTAAAATTTTACTAGGTTTAATTTGTTACATTGTCCCTCTTAGATATAAACTTTCAATACTTGTTAATTCCTCTTATAATAGGTCCCTAATTAATGTTTTTAGTCATATCTATTATAATTTTGATACTACAAGTTATCAAACAGGTATATTGTTTGCTATATAACCTCTTTTTTCTGCATTGTATTATAATTTAGTACATTCTGCTGGACTTCATTTTTTTAAGAATTATTTATAAGATCATGAGGTATGAAGAATTGTGATTGGTAATCTGTATGCAATGTTATGGTAGAGGTCGTTCCTTTCATTGGTCGACATCTAGCACTATTGTGACAGATGACTGTACACAATATAGAACATAAAAAAAGTTATTAAAATTATGAAATTTATACATTCTTCTTATTGTTTTTTTCCCCTACCCCACACTCCCCAACTGTTATTAGAGGACATGCACTTCCTGACCAATAATTTTTTTATCCATTGTTCTCATTATTCGAAAACGTTTACAGGAATTGGTCACATAAGACATAATCATTTGTCAGAAGTTTAAGATAGTTATCAAAGGAAGCCATATTTGTATTCTCAAAGTTAAAGGAGTGTTGTTCTTGATTCCAAGTTGATTTCTACTCGTCAGTCGGACTAGTGACTATCAAAAGTTTATTCTTCAAACCTTTCTCTTGCTTGTCCAAATTTTGTCTATGAAATATTGCGGACTGCCTCTTAACACTTTGGCAATACTGCAGCCATTCTTTCAAAAGGTTATCACATAAACATAGATGAACTGCGCAATTGATTATCATTTTAGTCATATTTATATTGTGATCACCTTTTGTCCAGCATCATAAACAATTGACATTTTCAACCTCTTCGTAATAACCAAAAGGCCCAAGGTGCTGATATTGAGTCTGTAGCATGCTGGGATAAAGGACTACCAAGTTGGTAAAAATTAATGACATTGACTTACTTTCAAGGTCACAGGAGTCGAATATGCTGAAATCTTTAAACAAGTGGGAAAGGGCAACCAGGGTGTTAATATTGGTATGTTGTATCTTTACATAAAAGGCTACCAAGGCTCTTCATATTGTTGACCTTGACCCATTTTCAAAGTCACTGGTATCAAATCTTTCAAAATATTTAAAGAACTTTTCAAAAACCAAAAGGTCCAGGGTACTGATATTTGACCAGTATCGTGCTGGGATGAAGGGCTATAGTGTTTATCAAAGTGAATGACTATGACCTAATTCTTTGTTCTCTTTATCACTGCATGTGTATTTCGAGCTTTCAAAATGGTTTTATCAAGAGAAAATCCTTGACCATCGATTGGAAACTTAATTGATAGAAGTAAAAGTGACCTGCCAGCCATTTGGAAATCGGGCCGTCAACTGCAGATACGGCTGTTAACGGAGGGATAGGTAGCGATACTAGCCACTGCAAGATACGCAGGTTTCCGTTAACGGTCTTCCATAGTGAAATCGATTGATTCCATAATTTGAATGATCGCGAGTGCTAGATCCCGTATCAAAAATCAATTCATTTTTACATTTGAGTTTAGATCTGCCCTTTAAGTTGGCACAGACATTACCTGTATGATTCTATGTAGACTTTGTGTTCTGTGTTGCCCTTTTAAGAACGATAAATACGTGAATTTTCTATGCAAAAAAGGCGGTTACAGTTGGGATAGCGATTGAGATGAACAACCGGTCAATGTCGAAACATACCCATCCATGATTTGATCCACTTCCGTGTCAGGAGATGGCCTTAGGTACCATACCAATTAATATAACACAATTTTACAGACATTTCTAGGTTTTCCTTCAACTTAAAAACCTGTTGTAAATGAAAATACCCTAGCACAAACCAGGCGTACATTTGACTAATTCAATTAATTTTTTTTAAAAAAGGCATATTTTTGTGTTAAATAGAGTGAACTGTTTTCTTCAAGAATGGGAGAGACGCGCCATATATGGAAGAAATTCTAAAATTCGTCCTTGCATCCATACAGTACGTATTTACCGATCTGAATTCGATATCAACGAGATACTTTTCTACACCAGCCTCTTACTTCTGACTTTTCCTTCGAAGAGACATACAGGGATAGATTTCTACCAGGCTGTATGATAAATGTAATGATTTCATTTTAATAACCTATCTCTCAAATCCTGCTTCTCATTGCATTTTACTAATATGCAATTTTATTGAAATGGCTGCATTTGACTAAATTTGTTACAGTTGACATATAACTTATCTTGTAACAGTTGAAATACTAACAAAGTTATACATGATATTTTATCAACCTTGCTTCAATTGATTTTTTTAAAAGTTTGTTACAATTGTCATTTCATTTACCTGGTTATACATGATATCTTATAATTATTGTTACAATTGACATTTGGCTAACATGGTCAAACATGTTATTTCATGAATCTTGTTACAATTGACATTTTACTTTCTTTGTTACACAAAACATGTACCTATCGTTGCTAAACGTGTACAGCAATTTTTGCATAACATTTTCAGGCGAACCAATAACACAATTTTCAAATTTTGATGAGTGTCATTACCTCAAATTACCGTAGGTTATCATAATTTGAGCGAGTCCCACAGGAAAATAATGAGTTCAGAACTCTGAGTGCTTCAAGTCACTGGTGTCACGTTACCAACCTCGTGACTCTTAACTTGAATCACATGACTTTAGCGATCCTTGAACTAAGACTGTGTTCCGAAAGGGTAAGCGTCATGTAAATCTAGGTCAGTCAAAATAATGTCACGATTCAAAAACGAGAACCGGGGTATGTAACAACGAAGTCGCAATACACACTAAGCAAAAATGCATCTTACTTCATACCGCACAAATAAATAGATTGGAAATCATGATAGCAAGTACATAACGTTATATAATTCTATGTAACACTGGTAATATATCAGCTACTTACTCCCTATCTACTTATAGACAAAAATGTTGTATTCGGTTGTGACTTAAAATAACAAACTACTGTCGTGTTCCAAGTTGAGGCATTTAAAAAAGCACTTCCTCGGAATCATTACATTGTGAACAAACCCTTAAATATATTGAATGAACTACAGTATGTTAACACTATATTATAGAGGAGCATATATATCTCTGTCCAGAATTGTCTATGTATTTGTGTGTATATGGTGAAGAAGAGTCTGTGGTGTCCTATATGTCCAATACTGGAGAGTATGTTCAACATGGTGTAGGTTATTTAAAGGCACGGCGTCTTAGGATGAACATTACAGGAGGTGTCTTTGTTGCCTGTTTGTTGACCAATTTGATAAAATGAAATACTGGATTCTTTTTAAAAAGTTAAAATGTAGTAATTATTAGCTTACATATGTCAATAGTAGGATGTCGGATCTTCGAGAAACACGAGACAATGTTTTAGAAAATAAATATTGTTAACCAAATATGAAACTGGATAACAATAACAACCTGCAAGACCAGAATAACAAGCATTCACTCTTACAAAGAAGAAGATGAATAAAAAACAAAAACAAAAACAAAAAAAAAAAACAAAAACAAAAGAACAAGCAAACAAAAACAAACAAACACAAGTCGTTGCTACTCATTCGATTCGCTCTGCCCGCCAAGAAAAATGTGCGATGAGTGAATTTATGGTAGCTATCATAAGGTGCAAGGGAAATAACTCACCGAAGCGTGTGTCTATTAATTCAGGTATTATAGAAAGACCGTTTTAGTTAGACTTCTAAAATTTATCAAACCACAGAACGACCACAATAATGTTTATATAGTTTAGTTTCGAGTTCCATGCAATGAAAATTCATTATGTTTGAAGGCTTTGAATATTTTAACTTTACCTTTGTTCCCCGAAAGTTAACTTCGGAATTTCTTTTTTTTTAATTATTCACTCTAAAATGAAAACACGCCACAAAAAAAACGAGGAAAGAAGATATGTTTGAAAATTTAATCTAATATGTATGAAAAATTAAGACAGTCTGGACTGGAAAGATAGGCGATAAGTTAAGAAATTTGTTAAATAATGTGTATATCGACATTAAAATTTACTGTTTTGTTTTACAGTGTCCGATATAAATAAATAAGTTCTGATTCATTTTGTTAATTCATTAGTAGTTGTGTTTTTGTTCGTTTCGGTAAATGCATACTTTTTATTTTGCACTCCGTCGGGGGACCAGCAGAAACTCTACCAAGAGGGTCTGTGATAATCAAGCATGAGTCAGTGAAGTTTTTCTTTGTGCTGTGTAGTGTTCATGAATATTGATAGACTGTAAAGTTTGTATCACTAAAATGTATTATCAATATCTATAATATTTTTTGTATTTGCTTCACATTATTTTCGAGAAATAAATAATTGATTAGTTTAATGAAATAGAATATTAACGTTAAATCCAGTTCCGTGTAAATAATGATAATCATATTCGCAAACCGAGCAAAATCCTATTTTTTTAACAACCCAAGAAGTTGTCTGCTCCTGCGCACATATGGTCATCCGGGGCTTTGCAATGGAACATTTGTAATGGCGGTCAAGGTGGCAACTTAGCATGAGGTGATGAAAAAAGAATAAATGCCATCTGACAAGTGAAACTGAAGAATCCAAAATAAACGATAAAGGTAAAGTTATTTACAATGATGCAGAATGTCACACAAGATGAGGACCATGACTCAAACAAAGAAATAAGAACCGTAGAAATTGAGCAAGGTAGTCCGACAGGGCCGTCGTATCCATCACCATTGCCATTGGACAAAACTCCACCGTTGACGACATCACAATCGACATTTGGACAAGATATATCTACAAGTGATGACGATGAAATATCCGACGTGAGTATGAATAGTCTTGTACTTTGAATTTCATGCAACAACATATTGGCTCCGATATTCACTTTTCGTAGCCATCTTACATCTTTTGAGCATGTGACCCATTGATTTTTCTGTCGGTTCTGCCATTTGCATATTCAGGAATATTTCATTTTTGCAATATGTCATCAAATAACTATATCCTGATTACAGTGATGTTATCAGTTTAGTTATGATTAGTCTTTTAAACAAGAACTTAGAGTTGTATCCTTCATAACTACTGACATGCGACCGTTGAAATAAAAATCCGGACGGCTTCCAAGTTCCTTATTATCTAACAGCCGCAGCCTTTTCATGTCTGGAGACTTGCGTTTTCAGATTTTGTGCCCACTATCATAATGTACTAGTCTTTTTTTATGATAAATTGATATTTCCTCATCTTTATGCGATCATTTGTTTGTAGATTGCGTTGACCAAACAGCTCCGTGGCAAGTTTGAATCTGAATGAATACAATGTCTGGTCTGCATGGAACAGACATTGTAGATTCAACAAGTTGTTCAAATTGCTAGCATTACGAATGGAATATTATTTAATTTATATGTCACTGTTTAGTTGATGATAGCAATAATATATGCATTGCTCAAATAATACACATAAAGTATGTTGCTACATTTATCTGAGCTTTTAATCAAGCCATTACAATGTTGTATCAAGTATGTTGTGTGGAGGTTTTAAAAATGTGTAAATTGATCGACACCACAATTTGCAAATCAAGAAGTATGTCTACAAACTTTCGAGGAAACATGATCATTGTTTTTGCTCATTAGTCAGTGCCACGGCTTTAGTGTCGCAAGACATTCTGTCATATAATTACTTGAACTTTAAGTTCCATCTGATCAAATTTTTCTTTGATCATTATTTGATATTGATGTTACCAAATACAATAAACATTTATAAAATTCATTTTCTGTTTGCTAGTTGTAGATATTTGATTTCCTGACTCACTTGCAGTGTTATCAATATTTCCATTTCTTTGAGAGGGACATTCTTAGAGTATGACAGGTACTTTTACAATATATCATTATCATGACCATTGAAATGATCACATTTGTACAAACAATAAATCAGTTTACTTTTTTTTTTCCTTTACAAAATATTTTCCATGTGTTCAGTAAAGAAGTTCCATAGTGCAAATTATCTTTGCTGATTAGATATCTTGACAGAAGAAAAACAAACATGAAGTAATGCTTATTGACTAGTTGTTTCTAAAAGTAGGTTGATTTCAAAATGACAAATGCTGATAAGTGGCAACTAAGACATCAGTGAAAATTGCAAATTTATTGTACAGACATCAGTACCAGCGAATGTGACATTCATCATCATGGTGTTAAATCATTGATATAAAGTGGAGCACCACAACTAATTTTAAGGTCTTCTGAAAAAAAACTTTAGTCAAAAGGGAAGAAGAAGGTATTTTCAATAAGGAGTTGGACAAGCAAGCATGAGAACAGCCTCAACTTCTGGCTTGTCCTTGATCGATATTTTGTCTTCGGTAGATAATTGATCTATTAAGTATTATCCAAGTCATCAAAATGATGTGATTATGTGCCACAGTGACCAATGCTATTTTTGAAGTAAAATATCCATATATATGGATTTTTCACGGATAAACTAAGCTCTAAAAGCTGTTTCTGGTATCCCAATCCTCACTTTTTGTACCCACTATCTAGACAACTTATTTGCATTAAACATCTGCAAAATTTCCTTTTTTTTAAAAATGTATTCAAATTTATGGTAAAACTAAGAAAGCCACAGTGTTAAAGTTCAATAAAAACAATTGCAAAGCATCTGATTTATGATATATAATAATGAACAAACTAAGAGTTAAAAGTTTGTTGTGTTTTGTTGCTAACAAAAAAAGATATAAGACCATTTGAAATCTACCTATCCTACTATTTTTCAGTTTGTTTATGGAAACAGAACGATTGTTTGTTCAGGCAAAACCTACCTCGTCAAATCACTAACGTCACTTTTCCAAAATATTTCTAATAAACTAATCAAAAGTTTTGTTGACTGTTTACACTGTTCCAATTAATGCAGTAAGACTGGTACAATACAGTAATTGTGCACATGTTTGCCTCAATCAAGGAAGAAAATTGATGTATTAGGAGGGAAATTTTTAAGACTTTAACTGCAAGTTTTGGGAATCTAACTTGCGGAGATGGGGGCCCATTATTAGTAGATTTGGGAAATTGTTCAAAATCTAATAAGGTTTATTAGTTAAGTTGGATACACTCTCCAATATTGTTAATTGATTACATAATCTGTTGTTTGTGTGTTCAATATTCTTCATTCTTCATTGCAGTAATAGAGTGGACTAAAGTGTTTGTTGTCATTGTCTGTCTGCCCGGATCAGATGGTTTCCAGATTATAACTTGAATAAAGGATGACAGATTAGGTTGAAACTTGGTACAATGTCAGTTTAGTAGGAGACCTTGTGTGGGATTGTGTTTGGGGACAAAACTACCAAATGTCATTGTTGCTAAAAATAGATTTTTGGTTTCCAGATGATAACTTGAGATAGGGATGATTGAATTCAGTCAAAACTTGATACAGCATTAGTTTAATAAGAGACCTAGTGTGGGATTGTGTTTGTGGTCGGCAGGTCAACTGCAAAGGTCACCATTGCTAAAAATAGATTTTTGGTTTTTAGATGATGAATTGCTTGGAGCATGAACCGTAATCTGGTTGTTTTTGTAACTTGATCCATGAATATTGTACTTGCATAAAATTTGCATATGACGTAATGTTTTGGGCAACTGGCATCTTCATGATGCATAATATTAATTTTGTTTTTGCTGAAACACAAGAAAATATTAAGATACTGATGATGGATTATAGAAAATTATCATGAGTTGTTGCATCAGATGAGGTTATACAATCAGATAATCAAATAGATCCGATCTCTAACTATCAGCCCAATAAAGCCCTGTGTCAGGATGTAAAAATAGGATTCCTTTTTAATTGAGTAAGTTGGAAGTAGCAATATGTTTATTGTGGCTTTTATTTCATCAACCATTTTTGAAATCTTGTGACAAATTATAACTATTGGAGTTCAGTAAATACCAACTAGCTAGCAATGTAAAGATGCATACCATATCATCATAATTAGCATCAAGGGTACCTAAAATGTGGTTGCAATGAAGGAGCTTAGGATAAGAAAATAAATTTGCTGTTGCTAATGTCAGTCAGTAGAAAAAATCAGACTTAAATTATCACAATGCTACCTCGGAACTGAAGCTGTCTCCCTCTGTACTCCACCACTAAGTAAAATGTCTGAATTTTACCAATCTTATTTCAAATTCACAATAGATTCATAGATCTCAACGTTTAATATCACGGTATGATAACTGTCATCTTGGTTTATTCTTTCAGATTAAAATAAACTGAAAGACCTCTAATGTTTGAATTTTTATTGCACAACTATGAAATGCCCACTAGTATTTACTGCAAAAATCCAGAAATCAGGTAAATCTGTTATTGAACAACAGCAATAGTCATACAGTACTTGTTTAGATGGGTGCCATCTTTATTTATACAAGAAATGAGGCAGAGGAAACGAGTAGTGATGAAATGTTCTTATATAATAAAATGAGAGATATAAATAGAAACAAAAGTTACTTAAATACTAGTTTTTCACTTAAATACTAGTTTTTCATTTAAATACTAGTTTTTCAATTAAATACGACTTATCACTGCCAGTGACAGACAAAAAAATCAGCATGTTTGAGATTTCCTGCCAACAGCTAGTTGTGATTCAAAATGTAAGTAAAAGAATGCTTATAAGTTGTGTTACGACTACAGGGAGTGCTTATGATTTCCAATTCTTCCACAGGAAGTTGGATGCTGAGTACTAATTACTGCGAGTATTATGTGTTCAAATGTTGCCAACTAGCTATAAGTCAGCAGTGCCATTCTTATTTCTTCCATTTCTATTGTTGCACCTGAGAATGTTTGATTTCCAAACCTGAATATATCAAATGACAAATTTGGTTGTACTGGGAGTCTGCTATAAATCAAAAGTAATTTTAACTTTAGCAGAATCTGCATTCCTCTTCCATGTACACATGTTAATGTTTCCTGCCTTAGTATGAGATAAATATGTTTCAGTCATCACAAATTAAATAGTTTGTAATGAAGTTTTTTGAACAGTGTATTGCCTTGAAGTGGTTGAACTAATATTTTCTAGTTGACTCTACTAAAGGCAGTGACAGGCATCTTTGAATACAGTGACACAAGTGTCCACATCAGTAACAGTAATAAGAACTTGTGTGAAGCTGTATTAATTAAATTTGATTGTCATATCAATGGTTTATTGATGCCATATCATATCACTGACATGCATTTCTATTAGTTGAATTGAATTTACAGTGAAACCTCTCCAAACGACCACCTCAAAATTACGACCACCCCGCTATTACGGGCACTATTTTCCTGTCCCTTTTTTTCCACTATATATCTTTGTATTGGTCGCTTCCATATTATGACCACTTCTTACAGTCCCAATGACCACTAATTAACGATAATTGACCTCACAATTACGACCAAGTTCAGATCCGTAGCTGTTTGCAACATTGTGCGCTGGACTCTTTTTTTTAAAGTAAAATGACAAATGTGTTGTACTGAGTGATATACTGACAGAGTTAATGTATTTGCAAATTGATGTGAAAAATGAAGCATTGAAAGACTTTAAAGTGACTTCATTAATGTTGTTGCAAATACTGAGTAAATGCGTTTGTAAATTTATGTGAAAAAAAATGAAAAATTAACGTTAAATTCCTATTGAACTTAAAATTGATTGTTTTCTTTTATTCAATGTTTACAATAGTAAATATACATGTATATTATGATATAAACTAAGGAATATAAACATATATATTCTTTTGTCAATTCACCAATTTTATCTTTTTTGCATGCATTTTATAAAATTCAACATTTTACATACAGTTTAGTTATTTTTGTTGATTGATGTACATGTCCATTACTTAATGGTATTAATAGACTTTATTTTAAACAGAGTTATGGTACTTTGCGGTCAATCTGATCCACCTCACTATTAAGACCACCTCGCTATTAAGACCAATTTTGTCCTGTCCCCAAAGAGGTCTTCATAGCGAGGTTTCACTGTAGTTTCGAAACAAAAACTAAAAGATAGTTAAAACATTTTAGTCCTATTAATACTTCTGCTACAGTACCATAAACACTGGATTTTTAAGAATTTTCAACTTGATAGACTCATCAGGGCCCATTTTGCACAACACTATTACATTTGAGGTGATGGACTGTTATCAGGGCCCATTTTACATGACACTGTCACATTGGGGGGTGATGGACTATCATCAGGGCCCATTTTACATGACACTGTCACATTGGGGGTGATGGACTATCATCAGGGCCCATTTTACATGACACTCTCATATTGGGGGTGATGGACTATCATCAGGGCCCATTTTACATGACACTCTCATATTGGGGGTGATGGACTATCATCAGGGCCCATTTTACATGACACTGTCACATTGGGGGTGATGGACTATCATCAGGGCCCATTTTACATGACACTCTCATATTGGAGGTGTTGTTCTTGAAGAACTAAGGAACAATGTGTATATTGTCGTATGTTGTGACTGGTCTTAGATATGTTAAAGTTAAATGTTTCTAGGGATGAATTTATTTGAATACAATATGATTTCTGACAGTTTCTTTTACAATATTACACATAAAATTATTAGAGGCCTTATGGAAAGTGACCTGTATATAAGATTCATTGATTGGCTACCAACTTACAGAATGTCAATTATGTTTAGGAGCTTTTGAAGTATGTTTGAAAATGATTCATTAAACCATATTTACATTCAGCTACATGTCAGTTTTGCTAGTTATGATGTCAATGTTTCAGAATGTTAGCATTACTGAATCAAACAGCTAAACATGCTCAGCAGTCTTTGTTATGGATATAAACAGATGTTCATGTAACCTAGAAACTCTCAGATGATGAAGAAAGTTTAGGCCATGAATTCATCATCTAAGGCATCTATATAATTGAAAATAGAGAATATCCAATAATGAGGTTGTTACACTTTTTTTTATGTTTATAAGGTCACTCATAATAATTTGTCAACAGTACAGAGATTCACCAATATTTGTCTTCAAGCTTCCACATTGATTGTCATTAAATTTCTATGATATACATGTGTGTTCAGATATGTAAATTCCAGTTACTAACTTAAGACTGCAATACATGTGTACTGTAGGACTTGTGCCAGTCTGGCTGTGGCCATACAGTGCAATGTAATAGTAGACATATTCCCACAAATAGAAGCCAGGATATTGAGTTTTGTGTTTTACACTACAACCTTCATATCTCCAGTGCACTTGTGTGGTAGGTTATTAGCTGGAGTGTAGTAACTCCATCATCCAAAGTATTGATCCAGCCCACTAGGAAGTGCTGATTAATAAAATAGCTTTAAAGGTCACCAATTGTTTGATTTCCTGTGAACCATTCATGTTGCATCATGGGTACTCAGTAGCTGGTACTAGTTCTGGTAGTAGAGCAGGTTACTTTACCCAGAATTATTATAATTCATCTTGTTCTGAAGGATAGTAATCTGTTTCAATAAAGATAGCATGTATATGTGTGTGTGTACAAGGTTTATATTGCTTGGTCTGTGTTCAGTCGATCTGCTCATTCAAGGTCTGGTTCGACACAGGTTGTATTGTAAAGACACTCAAAGCTTCACTAAATTTGATTGATAATGTTAATCATTCAATACTTTTAAATGGTATGTATATTGGTCTTTGTTGTAAATTGGTGATTATGTACTGTACTTACATTTCCATTAGGGTAGCAGGTAGTAGCAGGATAGTTACACTATTATTAGTTCTGCAATTAGAATATCGAATTGTTTCGACTGTTATGATATTGATGGAAAACAGCTCAGTCAGTTAATCAAAATTTGAACATCAGGTAGATATTTAAGCTTTAGTTTAATAAATGTAAGTAAGCTGTAAATAATTGTATTAGGAATAAACCAGATGATCTGTATTCTGTTGTGTAGGTAGCATCCTATATCGGCCAACAGGACATTGAAGATGATGTCGATGACCAAGACCTGGAGCCTTCTACTTTCCTGTTGCAAAATGAGGGCATGGAAGCTTCCAATCTGCCATCTATAGACCCAGAGACGCATGCACGTCTGGAGGCTTTGTTAGAGGCTGCAGGTAAGTTTGCATGTTTTTTCAATGGCAATTTTGTACATGTATTGTAGTGATTACTTTTTCTTTTAATCAGGTCATGTTGATTAAGTGTAGCAATGAAGAAAACCAGTATAAGAATGTTTATCCTACTTTCATAATCGTCTGAATTTTGTTTTGAAAATATCTTAAATCTAGTTAATTTGCTTAAAACTGAAACCAGTTGGTATTTCATATGATTATGAAATCAGGACCAAACTCTTTGAAAGTTAATTTCATTTGAAATTTGTCATGACACAAGAACCATTTTTCAGCTCTGTGTCTGCTTTGGTTCTTTTTTTGGCGCATTAGGTATTGGAAAGCTTTCCACTGCAGATGGAAAGGCTCTAACTGACCCAGAAGTGTTAAGGAAACTCACATCATCAGTCAGCTGTGCCTTAGATGAAGCAGCACAAGCTCTCCATAGAATGAGGGCAGAACAACAAGGCCAGCTAGGTGTTATTGAAGGGTGAGTACAAAGGATAGTGACTGATGGTTTGACATAGGCAACTATTGAATATAAGTTAAGTTTGTCTTCCGATGATAAGGGAAATAAACCTTCTCGACTAGTCTAGATAACTTTGTCTGTGCGTCTGTCTGTTCATTTGGTACCTATTTCAAGGCATATTTTGTATTAAAACTCTTTCATCTGTAACTTCATAATTTTGCATGTAAAAAGTACTGACATGGTGAAATCTTCATAGATGCCATTTAGACATTTCATGAACCATTCCGAATTGTGGAAAAACGCTGAGTAAGATTTTAAAATTTTTTTCACAGCTCAAGGTCATTAGCCGAGGCTTGCAGTGATGGAGATGTACCCACTGTAAGAAAATTGCTCCATGAGGGAGGCAGTGTCCATGAGACAACAGAAGAAGGGGAAAGCCTTCTGTCTCTGGCTTGTTCAGCTGGATACTATGAACTTGCCCAGGTAAAGAATAACTCAGACTTTCAGTGTCTTTGATCTTAAGTTTGATTTTAAAGTTTATGTTAATCGCTATGCCATAAAATGAGGAAACTGCTTTTACGATTCCATTGAAGCCTTTTGATGAGTAAAAAATATACTTATGTATATAATGGATGGATCTGTTGTTTTAAAATACAGTGGAAACCAATTAATGGCATATTGATTAATATCACTTTTTGGTCATTTATTTTATTAAATTCCATTTTTTTGAAGCACCAACTTTTTCCCAGTTATATGTCCTATGTAATCCAACATCTGATTATGGGACTTATTTTCATGTCATTTTGTCAACTTTCATGATAAACCACTGGTAAATGACAGGTAAGCAAGGACATGAACTATGGATTCATGTCTCAGGGGCTGGATCCTAATGTAAACATCATCACTACCCTACTAGCCAGCTTACTTACCTACTTACCTGTAAGGTCCAGCTATGTCCAGGGAAGCCTGACGGTTTTTTTTGTAATTGGCTGGTGCAATCCAAGTGTTGAAATTGATTTTCACATGAAACTTGTCACAGTGGTTAGGCCATGTATGAGTGGGTGCCATGCCATTAAGTTTTCAGATGTGGTGCGGAATCTTCCTCAAAATGAGTTTTTGGTATGGATACCGGGATCAGTTTTAAAAAAAGATATTATGAGAAAATAATCAAACATGAAATGTGATTTATGATAAATTTTATTAGTTTTGTTTCTTTTTACACTGACCTATGGGACACCAAACTGTGACAGGTCAATGCCACCATTTTAAAATTCATGTGAACACATCGCTGATACATAGTATAAGATGGAAATAAATTATTTGAAGTTATATAGAAAATTATCACACATTACTTATAAAGCTTGCATCATTGCAGATATTTTAATCATTTTTTCCAAATAATTCGTTTCGTGTACATAGCATATATGGAATTAAGAATGGAAATCCTTTAAAGATAAAATTGAAATCAGAACGTTGATGCTTTTATCTTTCTTGCAATCATTTATTGTTCAAATTACCTTAAGTACTGGTAAAGTGGCAGTAAATGTTTTCAAACTGGGTTTTCCCTATGTCATGTTTCACAACATCTGATTGGCCATTATAATTAACCATTAACTGTGGATATGGCATGAATTTCCACAATTTTTTATGATAGCAGGTAATATATTAAAAAAATGGTCTGGAAAATCACTGTGCTTTATGGGAAAAAACATAGCAGATTACAAATTTTTGTTTTCAAACAATTTTTGTTAAAACATTTCAGTTTGGCACATCAGAAAGTTAACTTCTAGGTTTAGACACCGAAACAAATGTGTCAGCTGTTAATGACACATACTGCTTATTATCACATTTCCCTCTTATTTATGGAACATGATTTAAGTAGTTTCTGCTTTACAACACTTCCAGACACACATGGATTGACAACTGAAATCAGGAATGAAGTAATCTCTAAGTTAACCTAAGTGATATTCAAGTTAATACTTTATGTATTATGCAGGTGTTGTTAGCCATGAAAGCCAATGTTGAAGACCGGGGAATTAAGGGAGATTGTACACCGCTCATGGAAGCAGCCAGTGGAGGATACGTTGACATAGTCAAGCTGCTTATCACCCATGGAGCAGATGTGAATGCCCAGTCATCTGCTGGTAGGTGATCCACTCCTTCATCTTACCAACTTATACTTCATTCTTCATAAGATGTCATGGTTTGACATTGACTGCATTGTCATTAAATTGCTCTCTGTTAGATTTGGTTTCTAAGAGTTCAGAATTCGGTTTCTAAGAGTTCAGAATTCATCAACAATAGTGGTCAATATTTGCTGAAATAGACACACTGTTTGCCATTCAAATGATCTCTTCCTATAGAGATACAATTTTACTGTTGATGGTAAAGGTTTCAGATACTTTATTATGGATAGAAAAGAGATAGAAAGTATGTTTTGTTTTTATCAGGTAACACCCCTTTACACTATGCTGCTTGTGGTGGCTATGAGGATGTGGTCCAGGTGCTGATAGATGCTGGTGCAAATGTAGAACAGCACAATGAGAATGGACATACCCCTCTCATGGAGTCAGCCAGTGCAGGACATGTTGGTGTGGCTCGTATACTTCTCAGTTCTGGTGCAGGCATCAACACCCACTCAAATGAGTTTAAAGAGAGTGCTCTTACTCTTGCCTGCTACAAGGGTAAGATTGAGTCTGACATAAAGCTTCATGATAAATTTGTAGAAGATTTCAGGAAAACAAAGCCAAGAAAAAAAATAACACATAGAAAAACCATATGTCAAGTGAATTAAGGATTTTTTAAACTTATTTATTTACTGAAAAGAACTATCAAAGATAAAAGCAATGCAGTTAAAGGTAAACTGGCATACTGTCTGGTTAATTATTGATCCCAGAATTGTGTGACCATGACTTGATGATTTGTTGACAGGCCACCTGGAGATGGTGAAGTTCCTGTTAGAGGCTGGAGCTGACCAAGAACACAAGACAGACGAGATGCACACTGCACTTATGGAGGCCTCCATGGATGGACATGTGGAAGTTGCCCGCCTTCTTCTGGACAGTGGTGCTCAGGTCAGTATAGTGGAAATGTTTAACCAAAGAAGAACGAAATAGGAATTCAAAAACATCCAGTTTCTGTCTGACTTGAATATATTATCAATTCAAATTTTCTTATGTAATTTCTTTGCAAATAATGACATGCAATATCAATTAGTTGAGTGACCTATGTGAATAGATCATATAGATTTAACAAAATTTTAAATAAAGAAGGAGTGATATGAGCTGTGGCCATATTATGGGTTTTAAGATTGTCGTAAGGAGGATAGGAATGAAGAAACTAACTCTTCATTTGTTTGTTGTGTAGGTAAACATGCCTGCCGATAGCTTTGAGTCACCCCTGACCCTGGCTGCCTGTGGAGGCCATGTAGACCTTGCTAGCCTACTGATAGAAAGAGGCGCCAACCTAGAGGAGGTGAATGATGAGGGGTACACACCATTGATGGAGGCCGCAAGAGAGGGACATGAAGAGATGGTGGCACTTCTATTGGCTCATGGTAAGCCATTTATCTGATTTAGGAAATTGAATAATTCTGAGATCAAGAAACATGTACATACTTGTGCTCCTGAAAGTATGAAGAGTTAAGGAAGTTGAAAAATCATTGAAAAACCAAACGTTGCATTTATTATCTTTAGGTAGCTTTTATGAGGGAAGGCACAGGCTAAAGTTAACAACTGTGTTTAGTTAGGAGTAGGTCACAAAAAATCTCCATGCCTCTTTCAGAATTAAATCTTGGTTAAGAAATCAAAACTTCTTCAGAAGAAAAATCTTTTTTTTAAAAACAAAATGGTGACTTTTTCAAGCTTCATTGCATGTAGGAGCTGACATTAATGCCCAAACGGAGGAGACACAAGAAACCGCCTTGACTTTGGCTTGTTGTGGGGGATTCCTGGAAGTGGCAGACTTCCTCATCAAAGCAGGTGCTGACATTGAGCTTGGCTGCAGCACACCCTTGATGGAGGCTGCTCAGGAGGGCCACCTAGAGTTAGTTAGGTACCTCCTCAAAGCAGGTCAGTACCAAGACTTATTACCAACAGGTGTCTTAATTTAAAATCTGAAATCATTTCCAGATCATCAAATTGAAAGTATTATGTTTGAGAAAGAAAAAACTAAGGTTTCAATTTTCATTTTGATGGATGCAATCATTGGTACACACAGTTCACTTTACAAATTTGTACACCAACAGGTGCCAATGTTCGTGCACAGACAGGAACAGGGGACACAGCTCTGACATATGCTTGTGAGAATGGCCACACTGATGTAGCTGAAGTTTTGTTACAGCATGGAGCTGACTTGGTAAGTCAAAAATAAAATCAGAACAGTACTAGGAATCAATATTGTTTCACTTCTAAACAGCTTGATATATCTGCATTCTTATTATTAAATTATTGATACTTGTTCAGAATTATGTGTAGTGCATTGTACAATTTTTACACAATTCACCTGTAACACTCAGGAATGTATTACTAGTGAAAATCAGTATTTTACGTCTTCTAATTATTTTTGTAAATATAAATTGAAGTAATGTATCTTCATTGTTAATGTGTTGCGAAAAGAACAAACTTTAGCTTTTGAAAAGAAATTATGAAAGAGATGATAAAGATCAGTAAATAAAACAACTACTTGATAACATTCAGTAATTGTTCAAAACCAATTTTCGAACTTTACCTATACTGTATCAAAATTGATATTGTTTTCCAGGAACATGAGTCTGAGGGAGGGAGAACACCATTGATGAAGGCTGCGAGGGCAGGTCATCTCTGTACTGTACAGTTCCTTATCAGTAAAGGTATATTATCCTTTGTCCTTTAATAACCTTAACATCTGTGAACATCGTATTCCTAAGACTGTAGTCCTAAAGATGTAAAACTCCAAACAGATATTTTAACTTATAATAGCCTGACCCAGCTCTCCTTTCCCATTGTAATTATAGTATCTAGAATAATCATGATGAAGTCAAGGTGAAAATTTCCCTGTTTAATACTGAAGTCCATATAAGGAAACTGTTATTTGAATATATGATCCTTGTTTAATATCTTGCTATGAAATCAGATTCATGAGAATTACAGTTTTTATTCAAGTAATCCTTTAGGAGAAAAATGAAAATATAAGTATATTGTTAGAAATTTTTTAGAACTTCCATCATTAAAAAAATTAATTGACCTCATTGACTCAATGTTATAAGCTGACTTGCTAATAATCCAATTAACAGGTGCGGATGTGAACAGACAAACATCTACTAATGACCACACAGTTCTGTCTCTGGCCTGTGCTGGTGGCCATTTGGCTGTAGTTGAGCTCATGCTGGCCCATGGTGGTGACCCTGCACACAAACTCAAGGTCAGCTCATCCGTCTTTATTATAAAAGGAAAATTGTTTGATTATATTAAAAAAAAGATGCATTTATTTCGAAATATTTGTTTGTTCTTATACAAAAATGTAATATTATCAAGATCATCACTTAATTTAATTGTAGCAAGCGTTTTGTAAAGTATATCAATGGTAAATCATATGAAGGTTATGTGGAAGAAAATCATTTTATAATATCTATGTATATTTTCATCAATTGACAATAAATGTAGTCAAAATATGTTAAATTCTTGATTAAATCTGAAATTCATTTCATAACATTGGGATATTATGTTCTACAGGATGGGTCCACTATGATCATTGAAGCTGCTAAAGGAGGCCACACCCAGGTGGTGAAGCTATTGTTGGAGTATCCTAACAGGGTCTTAATGAATTCCTCACCTGACCTTGCTCAGCTTACAGACCCCCATCTGTCAGAGGTAATTTCTTGTATAGTACTGTACTGAACAATGAAATAAAATGCTATTCAAATTGGCGCATGCAAATTACTGTTCAAAAAATGTTTTCCTTATGAATATCAAATTACTTCAGTCTGAAGTAACCTTAAAAATTAATTGATCTGTTGTCCTTTTCTTATTGGACAAGAGCATATGTTTAAATACAATTTCATTTAATTTTACCCATTTATTTTGCTAAAAAACAATGTTCTTTTCCAACATATGCTTATGCTGTGCACTCTTTTGCATACAGAAACTTCTTTTCATATCTTGTTGGCAAGATGACAAATTATGATATTGTTACTAGAGTATATTGATAATTCCTTGAATATTGTGACATTGACAGGCTCGTGTTCCTGTTCATGGTCTGGCGAACATTGTCCCGCCCAGTGATCCAGATTCAACACCATCCAATAACTTCACCCCGAACATACAACCAGGTAAGTTTCTATATAGAACTGAGAAATTAATACATTTGGACATAACAGAGATATCTATGATATAGTCAACACGATACAGTGATAGGAGGCAATAACCCATGAACTCTTCCAAAAGTATTGACCATGCTACATCCTCCGTATCATTCTTTTCAGGGGCAACAACAAAGAAACAGGGAGAGAAAGAAATGAATAATCCAGTCAGAACACAGGAAGTTTGGAAAAATGTACAGAAAAATATTGGCAAAAGGCCACATAATGGAAATGGGGAGCCTGTTGTTAAAACAAACAAGTCCAATGTTCCTCTGCCACCAACTGATGTAACGTCGAATAATGCCCAATACCAATATGGGGAAATTGGAAGTTTGCCTGATTTGATACCTGAAGAAACTCTTGATGTGAAAGCGAGAGAGCGCTTAGAGGCCATCATCAATAATGTTATGGACAAAGAATTAGACAATACATCCACAAAGGAAGAACAAATCTTGCGTAAACAACAAATTTTGCAGGAATTACAAAAAGTTGAAAGGGAACTTCAGGAAAAGGCTCAAGCCCAACTACTTATCAGTGCTCAGCACCAAAGGGAGCAACAACAACAGCAACAACATTTACAACAGGTTCTACAACAAGGGGCCAAGGTCCTGCAGCGTACCCTTGAGGTCCAGGTTAAACGCAAGCAAGACGAATCTACAGCGGACAGTCAGTCCTCTGAGGACCAAGACAATCAGGAAGGAGTGGAATCCTCACAAGGGTCCAATGACCTGGACAAGCAGGTTACTAGTCTGTTTGCCCCTGATGGGTCCACTGTAGGACAGATTGTGTTCCCAAATATTCCGTACGACGGACTGTTACCTGTAACCCCTAGTCAGACAGCCCAGCCTGGCACTGAGGTTGTTATGGAGGGTAACAAAGAAGCCTGGCCCAGAAACAATGGTAACGTCCCTGTCAAGCGAAATGGAAACAAGTCAGGGACACGTGGCAGTGGAGGCATGAAAGTGTCTAACACAACCACTGCTACCACTACTACAACCACCGCTACATCTGCATCACAGGTCAATGGGGTTGCCAACATTGAGCAGGGTATGTTTTGCAATTAATTAAAAAAAATGATAAATATCAAATGATATAAAGTAATTGCTATATGTTATTGCTGGAAGTGAAGGAAGAAGTGGCCTGAATTTGTATAAAGATGTAAGTTAACAAAGAGACTAATTAAAGAATAACCTTCTCTATGTACAAAGAGACTAAAAATAAAAGAATAACTTTCTGTTATTTTCTTGCATTCATTTGTTGTTATAGGTTTACAACAGCAAGCAGCTCCAGGATTACAGCAGACTGCAGGTAACGGTACATCCACACTGGCACTATATCGCCAACAGATCCAGAATATCCAGGCAGTACGCCAACAACAGCAGCTGACAGCGCCCCAGGTACAGCAACAACATACCCAGACAATCCAGTTCCCCCAGCTCCAGTTGACACCAGAGCAGCAAGAACAGCTGCTGCAGATGCTGAGTCAGCAAACCTTGCCTGGCCAGCCTTTGGCCCCACAGCCTCTTGCTCAGCAGCAGTTCCTTCAACAGCCTGCCTTGCCCCAGACAGGGGTTCAACTTCTTCCACCTCCCCAGCCCCAGGGGGCACCACCGGCAGGGCAGGCTCAGCAGACACAGGTGGTGCCCTCGTCTGCAGCAACTGCTGCTGCATTAACACAACAGCAGTATCTTACCCAGCAGCAGCAACAGCAACTGCTTCAACAACAGCAGCAGGCCCAACTGCTTCAGCAACAGCTTCAACAGCAGATCAAACCGCCTCAGCCAGCTCCTCCGGCTGTTACTGTGCCAAAAAATGCCCGCAAGCAGAGGAACCTGTACAATACCCAGACTATATTACAACCTGGAACTGTCTTGTCACCTGGTGGAAGTCTTGATAATATCACCCCACCACCCTCTACCCCACTAACCCCCAACCCCTCTCCTGCATCCCCACAGAGCATTTCTCCACTGTGTGCTCCAATCGACCTTGATGCACAAACTGAGAGTAACCATGACACTGCGCTGACTTTGGCCTGTCATGGTGGTCACTCGGAGCTAGTCAACCTTCTCCTGTCCAAGGGAGCTGATATTGAACACCGAGACAAGAAAGGTAAGTTTCGGGCTATTTGATCCTTATCGCATTTACATACATAATTTGGTGTGAGAGAGGAATCATTCATTGTTAATTAAAGAGTGTTTAACCTCAATACTGTTGTGCATATTTCACTAAGACTATGTTTCAGTAACAAAAAAGACCAAGTAATATATTGTAGCTAAAATGAAATCCCTCTAGTTTCTTAGAATTAGGCCTTAATTTAGTGGTATATCTTGCAGGCTTCACACCGTTGATCCTAGCTGCTACAGCAGGTCATGTGGATGTGGTAGAGATTCTCCTTGACCATGGAGCTGACATGGAGGCTCAGTCGGAGCGGACCAAGGACACTCCACTCTCCCTAGCATGCTCAGGAGGACGATATGAGGTAAGGACATGTATAGTGTTTATCCTTGGTTGAAATAAATTTAAGTTGCTTTCAGTGAACAGAAGTCTTCTAAGATGAAAATGTTTGCACTCTAGTTTTTCTGATTTCATCCATATATATGTGTTCAAAACATTTCATTTTCCTCCTGATAGATGTATCGGTTCAGATTTTATGTCTGATAATATTGAAACAATTGCAGTATTTTCTCAGGTATTACAATGCATTTTCCCAAATATTCATATTTTTCAAGAAGGATCAATTGTTATCTAATGTCAGAATCTTGTGAAATCTTGTTCTAACCTACCCAATAAGATTTTACTGTTAATTTTGACAGGTTGTTGAGCTGCTCTTGGGACGAGGTGCCAACAAGGAACACAGGAATGTGTCTGACTACACGCCGCTAAGTCTGGCTGCTTCAGGTGGCTATGTAAACATCATCAAGTTGCTGTTGTCTCATGGAGCAGAAATTAACTCCAGGTAAATTAATCACAACACATCTCTTCTACATTGTACTATTAGATAAGTACATATGACTTGTTGAGGATTCAAAATTGTAGTCAAAGTGTCCTGTAGTTGAGGAGAATCTGTTTTATGTGGAGTTGTGAATAAAAGTAATATTAACACTTTTCTTATTTAAAAAGCTTTACATATCAAAGTTGATGGTAACCTGCTTGAGAAAGTTTCAGCATAGTAACATAAATATTGGTAGATGGAAAGACTTCAAATGAAAAACATTACATTTCTTGTTTCATTATATGACAGTTACATTCAATCCAATTTAACTGATGATCTTAAATTTGCTAAGATAATACATTTTGTGATTGTAACTTATATTCATATTTCTTTGCTTGATTAAAGACAAAATGAATTGATGATTTGCTGTTTCTTTTTAGAACGGGTAGTAAGCTAGGAATATCACCTCTAATGCTAGCAGCGATGAATGGTCATACCCCAGCGGTGAAATTACTGCTGGATATGGGAAGCGACATTAATGCCCAGGTAAAGAGTAAAGTAGTGAAAAAAGTCTTAAGTGAGTGATGATGTAAATATATTGCATAATAAAATTTTTATTGGAAAAAAGGGAGCCCATGGCAAAGTGATTTTATAATAACTAATAACTGATAATATTTATAATTTATGAAGTGTATTTTTACATTATGGAGGCATGAATATTTGTAACAAATAATGCTAATTTCTTCCAGATTGAGACTAACAGGAACACTGCCCTAACACTGGCCTGCTTCCAAGGTCGTCATGAAGTTGTCAGTCTGCTAGTGGACCGTAAAGCCAACATCGAACACCGTGCTAAGGTAAAATCACAGATTTTAACATACCCTTGGTTTGCTGCTAGTTCATTGCTTTTACAATTTTATGTGACTTTTTTTGGGATAAATGATATCAATTTCAATTAGCATTAACCTACTTTTTCCTATTTTTCCCCACAGACGGGTCTGACACCACTGATGGAGGCTGCATCAGGAGGTTATGTAGAGGTGGGGCGTGTCCTCCTGGACAAGGGAGCTGATGTAAATGCCCCACCTGTCCCATCCTCACGTGACACTGCTCTCACCATAGCTGCCGACAAAGGCCACTACCGATTTGTGGAACTACTTCTCTTAAGGTAATTACCGCTATCCTCTCAATCCCCCAAAGAAAGGTTAGTTGAAAGGGTATGCACTGGCTTGTGGAAATTAAGAATCTTTCAATTCATGATAAAAGAGATTTTTATATTGTACTATGTAGATATCAAAGAAATTGGTAACCATTTTCTTATTTGATTGCTTAAGGTATGTAATGGTGTATTGTAGGGGTGCTGCTGTGGATGTCAAAAACAAGAAGGGCAACTCTCCTCTCTGGTTGGCATGTAATGGTAAGTACCATATAAAATTAAAGTTTTCTTATAGGATGAGTTTGTGGAATCAAACTTTCCTAACAGGAGTTTGTACAAAGCAATGCTGTATTGTTTTTTCTATGGAGAAGTAGATTTGTTATATTACTTAGGTAAGTAATTACTCATCCTCGATACTCCAGGGGTTACAATCACTTTCGCACTTTTACATCCCTGGAACTTTTCATGGCAAAATTGAAGGTTCCATGTGGACAAGATGAAGAGATAGGTTTGATCCTTTGATGTACATAAAAAGAATCTTTCTGTCACATAACGGTATTGTGGATGGTTCCATAAAAACCCACGTAATGTGAGGATCTTTTTTTTTTTTTTTTTGAGAAAAGAAATGTCCAAAGTGGGGGTGCACACATTATATAGCTATAGGATTTTCAAGGCTTTTTTTTTATTGAAAAATAGAAGATACTGTGAGGCCAACATTGAATGCTAGGATTATCTTGTACTCAAAACCGACACAAAAAGGATTTGATGATTTATTTATGAACAACAATAATAAATAAGATAATTACTGTATATATTAATGTAAAATCTGTATAAAGTGTTTATAAACATGATAGCAAACTGGCAAGACAAAACTAACAATCAGCAAAGACAGTGCCCTGTTTGGGACTTTGAAAAACATGTTGATCATAATATCAAAACACTTACATGTACAACTCTTAAAAAAAATGACAGATTTCATTTTATTCTCCTTCAAGTCTAAAATCTCCACGAACCAGAAGATATGGGCACATGGTCAGTTTACATGTGTAATGGCAGAGGTTATCGTTGACATATTAGTATGGGGAGTGTGGTTTTAGCCTTATTATTGGACTATGGATTGAATTCAATTAAAATTGGTCTTACTGATGTTTAAGAAGAGATATCTATAAGTGTAATAATAACAAGGGAATAGCCTCTGCACGATTATCTTACCAAAATGTGTAATGATACACTGTTTCTCATTTGACAATACACATATATATGCTACAGTACACTCTGTGCGAGTCAATTTCGTGCACCGTATACCGAGTCGGCTTCAATTTAAGTCAGCTGGTGCGGCACATTGTGTCAGCGAGACATGAAAGAAAACTTCAGTCACGGAGATCGTAATTACCTGGATTGGTCATTAATAGGTAGATAATGACTTGTACTGGTGATTTCAATGTTGAACAGTGTGTATGTAAGATAAATAGATCTCGGTTGAAATTTCATCTTGGTTGGTGGGTTATATGTTTTTTTGCCTTCATGACTTTTGAACGAAATTAGGCATCTAATCAGTAGCCATTTATTTTGTGAGGTGCCTATTTCTTTTGTTGCAGGGGGACATTTGGATGTTGTTCAGTTGTTGGTGTCAGCTAAAGCAGACATTGATAGCCAAGACAATCGTAAGGTTACGTGCCTAATGGCATCATTCCGCAAGGGGCACATCAAAGTGGTTAAATGGATGGTGAAACATGTAAATCAGTTCCCCTCAGATCAGGAGCTTGCGCGATACATTTCAACTGTCGGAGATAAGGTAAATATAGTTTTTATTTATTTTTTCTCCTAAAGATGTTGATACAGCTTAGTTATTTGATGTTGCATACATCAGTAGTTACCATAAAACGTGTCTCGTTTCCAACCTTTATGTTAAACATATGTATGAGGACCTTACTTTTAAGAAATTCATAATTGTTTAATCAGTACAGTTCAGTGAAGACTGAAACAATGTAAAACTCACTACCTGCAACGAACTGGATGTGTTATAATTTACACTGTAAGAGGGACACAATTACTGATTTTTCAATTTACCTTTTGACTCTACAGGAGCTACAGAAAAAGTGCCAGCAATGTAAAGAGATCATTGTGAGCGCCAAAGACCGCCAGGCAGCTGAGGCTAACAAGAATGCAACCATTCTGTTGGAAGAGCTTGACAAGGAACGCCAGCATGAGGAAAACCGCAAAGCAGCTGCTGCTAAGAAAAGAGAGCGCAAAAAGGCTAAGAAGCGTGAGAAGCAACAGGAGAAGGAAAAGGAGACGTGAGTTTTTCACAATTAGAAAGTCCTGTAAAGTCGCATTGTAAAAAAAAACTTGTGCTCTCTCTCTATATATATTGGTGATGCAAAGAGGGGGAATAACAATTACATGCATCAAATAAGGAGCATATGAACTAAATTATTACAAGTTATTAAATGTGATGTTGAAAATAGTATTACACACCCATGTATGACATTTTCTATCACATTTATCATATATTAAGCTATTTTCCTTATGCTGAAGTGGTGGTGTAACACAATTGATTTTGTCTTAGTGAGGATGATTGTCTGGTGAACTGCAGTGTAGAGGACAGTAAGAACTCTTCCCCTGAGCCGGAATGTAACAGTGTGGAGGAAAATCCTGGGTCAGAGGATAGTAATGATGTGGAGGAAATAGTCATGGAACCACCTACAGCCACCATTGTGTCCACAATTGGTCAGTACTTACAACAATTCCTCATAATCACCTTAATTCTTTAATGCAAGTTTTTAAGGAATGAGATCTCCACTCATACACATCACGACTACAAATTTGTGCAAATGATAAAACTGGGATGCTTTTGCTAATAACACATGCTCTATGTATGTGTTATTGTAGTTAAATTTGATCTACATGTGAAACTTTATTGATTTAGTGTTCAACTTAGCTTTGTATTACCTTCTCAAAGATGTTTGTGTTGTTGGTATATCTTCAATTATTGAGGTGATCTTACAGTCTTCAATTACTTTGTTACTCTGTAGGAATAGCATTGCCAACAACTAACATAGAGCCAAAATTTAGCAAAGTGAATCGCATGAAGCCAACTACCAACACCAACAATAAGGTGGAAAGTGGGAAGGTGAACACAACCGAATCCAAGAAAAATAAGCGAAACCGTGAAAAACGAGAGCGATATCCAGATGTGGAGAACATGCCAATTCCGACGATGTCTACTGATGACACCACTACAACAACCACCACCATTACGGTACGGCCAAGTCCAGGACGGACAAACAACCGCAACAGTACAGCCACACGCAAGAAAAAAGGTGAACGTGATCAGGTTCTCAAGAATGCAAGTACAGGTAAGTCAGGGTTTAATTGATGAAAATACAAGCACAGGTCAGTCAAGCAGTTAGATGGGTTGATATAGAGGAAGTTACTGTGACAATGATCCAAGTACAGGGTTTGATACGTTAATGTTATAGTGACAATGATAAGAAATATATGTACAAAGCAGAGTTTAATAGGTTATGGGAAGGTTATAGTGACAATGTAAAATTGTTAACATATTATAAAAGGGAGTAGTCCAAAAATCTAAAGAGGATTTGTGATTTCATGCTTAGGAAAATGAGACAATGAAGATTCTATATGTTCTTGTCAATGTATTTGTATATTTGCCACTCCGACATTGCAAACATTGTTTCAAATGTATTAAATTTGAAACAGATTTCATGAAAAAATCTATAAATATGTGAAACTTAGTTTCACTTTTTGTTATCTCACTTTTTGTCATTGTTTAGGCATTGGTGATTTGGATGACTTTGGAACATTACCTGAGAATATGAAGATAAGTGATAGAGAGCTGGAGAGAATGAAAAAAACTGGAGGAAAAGCAAAACCTTCTGGGTTTGTATAGATATTGTTTGCTTAAGAAAAAAATTACCAAGATTGATAAATGTGAATCAAAAGGTAATAAATGGAAAATCCTGACAACATCAAGGACAATATGTCAGTTTCTTTGATTAATATTAGATCAGGAAAAGCAATTTCCCATTTCAGACAAGCTGATTTATAAGTCTATTTTGACAATTTTTTTGTATTTTTCGGCAGATCTGATGTGGATAACAAGAAACATCACCACTCTCATCCGATGGCAGACAAGGGTAATGTTGAAGTGTCCCCAGCCCCCTCCAGTCTGACTGTAAAGACGTCGCCCCTTGTCAATAGTCCTAAGAAAGGACAAAAGAAAGAGGAAGGCTGGAAAGAAGTCACAAGAAAGTAAGTACTGCCTTAATAGTTCACTTACGATTGAAACCTTTCTGCCGAAATAGATGTTGTGTTGCATTTGTAATGAATGCATTGGGACATTGTTGTATTTTTGGAGGTGTTTTATGCCCCCGCCGTGAAAAGTTTGTAGCATTGAGTGTTGCTCCTGAGCTTCATTCTGTCATTCCATCACAGGTTAGGTTCCTCATTTCATCTGTCATAGGGTGTGATATTGAACTGAAATTTAGTTGTTATTTTGACAATAAGATGCAGTTAATGTTTATTCTGGTCAACTTATCTTAACACATTTTCAAGAAATTCTCAATCGTAAATCTTCATACTTCTCAGTGATTGCTGGCAGTGGCATTTAAGTCACTCCCAAATATGACTGGTTTTTTCTTTTCATTGTTTCCTGCAAAGTGAAAATCGCTTAACCAAACAAAAAATTGTTTTGCAAAGGGTACATTCTCCCAAAGAAAGCAATTGAGGATGTTCGTTAAAAACATTCATATTCAGGTGATTTTTATTTACAGCATGATAATGGTACTTCTAATGGTTATGTTTTATTTTGATTTCAGAAAATCATCCACAGCTCCAGATGTTAAAGGTCCAACAGGCCGAGACAGGTAATACATAGTGTAAAATCTCCTGTGACCACATGTATTTCATCCTGTCCTTTCTGACAAATAGGTCTAGTCTAGTAGATTTTTCCCTCCCGACAGTACACATACTTGTCAATGTAATCAGAAAGTTTCACCAATTTTCAATCCTGTATAAAACTAAACTGTTTCCCTAATCAATACTGACATCCTTTTATATAGCTTGAGGAGGTTAGAAAAGGGACAATCCATTAATGATAATGATAATTATTGTGCAATTTATGCGAGACAAGCTCTCTAGCATGAACCTTTTTTTACTTACTATTTGTGACTTCAGATCAAAGAAAGTGCAAGTGCCGTCAGCGGCAATCAGTCGAGTTATTGGACGAGCAGGATGTAACATAAATGCAATCCGAGAGGTGTCTGGGGCTCACATAGAGGTGGAGAAACAAAGAGGCTCAGGAGAACGTGTTATTACCATCAAGTAAGTATCAAATGTATATGAGTATTTTCTGTTTGTCTTAAAAGAAGAAAGAATTTCACAGTTGTCCTTCAAGGTTATTATATCCTTTTGTAGGTAAGAGTGGGACAAGCTATCCTGTGAACCCTAGGACAGATTTATTTTATATTCACACCATACCATCACACCACTGAGTTCTTCACCTTAAAAGAGATTTTACATTAGACACATTTAAACTTCACTTTAAACTCACTTTTTCGAATGGAAATACTTGTGTACAAGCTATCTCATGAACCCTAATCAGATTTAGATAATTATATTCACTCTAAATATCAAACCATGAAGTTGCACACCTGAGTACATTTTAGTGGTTATTGAACAAATTGGATAATAATGTTTTTAAAAAAAAAATAGATGAGTTTATCAAAGTTCTTTTTCACTTTGCGGTACTGGTTGTTGGCATAAAATATCTTTCATTCTTGATTCTTGGAGTGTTTAAAAGTCCCAATTCATGCATCATTTGGCAAATTTACGTCATTCAGAAAATTTTGGAAAAAATTTCCACTTGGTATGAATAAATTGAAACATACTTAAGCTATTAAGAAAACTTTGTAAGGATATTGAAACCAATAAATGATAATTAAAGTCGATTCTACTTAACATACAAATCGATGCTAAGTTCAGAAGGCTATTAACGAAAAAAACCCTATCTGCATACTCAGATGTACAGGTGTAGTGGGTGTGGTACTAGTAAACTGCAAAAACAACATGTGCTGCATGTTTTTTGTGACATCATTTCATAGGTAATACAGTAGTATAGCCATTGGAGGACTCATGTGTACTCCGAATACAGTGTTTACATGTTTATGGTAAATAAGGACCTCTCACAGAAATGTCTTAAAGATTTTTGAACTTTCTGTTTGGCAAAGAAAGTAAATGGATGCATATTTACACACAGTGAATATCAACAGCTTTTCATATAAATAACTATATATAAATAAGTATTTCTGAGGTAAGTAAATTTTAACTGTATTGATATAAATAGACTATATTTTCTCTTTGCTTATTTAGTGGATGTTGTGTACTTTGGAGCTTTAATTGGATAACAGATTATTTGAGCACATTGTGATGTCAAAGAACATGATACGGTTCACACCAGCTAGCATAGCATAATGTAGTCAGTCATTCATGATTCTTAAAACAGAATTGCACTTTGAAATGGTTTCTATTGGCAAGACTTGTAGTTGTACCAGGCATAGTAGTCACTGATCAATTGTAAATAATCCTATTAATATATTTTGTTTATTTTGTCTTTACCTTATCACACCAAAGCCAAGTTGTAGTAAGATAAAAGATTAGTTTCTGCCAAGAACTACTATAACATAGAGTCAAATAAATAGAAAATGTCCAGAAAACCTTGGTTCTTGTCTCATTATCTTGCCATTAATGATATTGGTTCTATAGGGATGTCTTTTTCTATTTCAGGGGTTCTGCTGATGCCACTCGCCAAGCACACACTTTGATTTCTGCCCTGGTATCTGACCCAGACAAGGACTTGCAGGAGATTATTCCCAAGCTGAAAATAAAGCCTTCATCGTCCAAGGATCAGTCCATATATTTCTCTGTGGACGCTGCCAACACTGCTCTAGGCACCATCAGCAACAACATCATCAACCCTGCCTCACAGGGCCTTGGCCAGAAGTCAATTGGTAACTGGATACCTGTGAGGAGTCAGCCTGGGAGTGTATCCTCCACTGGTGTGACAGGTGTCAGTAATGGTGTTCTACGTCTTTCTGGAGTCTCAATGGCCAATGCTCCCTCGGGTGGAGGCATTGTGTGGGGTAATACCCCACCACAAAACATAGTCAGCTCTCCTAGACGCAACCAGTCAAAACAGTCCTCTGCAAGTGCTGCATTCCCTTCACCAGTAGGAAGTGGGTCAGACAAGACAGCCATGCGACAGCTGTTCCCGAATGAGAACAAGAAGGGTGGTGGTTTTGGCAGTCCTTCTCAGACGTCCACCAACACCACTGTTACCTACAGTTTGGCATCAACTTCTGCGGCCAAAGTCTCGACAAGTGCTTCCACATTTGTGGTGAAGTCAGATAATGGAAAGTCTTCAGGTGGAGGAAAATCATTACAAGGAAGGCAACCAGGACCTGGCACCATCAAGGTCTTGCAGAGGCCAGCAAGCCAGAAACAGGATCCACTTCCCATTATAAGTAACCAACAAGTTGCCAACTCTGGCTTGCCTGTGACATCTATTGATGGCCATCCTGTGATACCGCCCAACAGCAGTGGAATGCCAGGCTTCTCCCCTTTCAATAATGCATTTAGCAATGTAGCAGAACAGGTGCTTGGCAATAAAAAGGATGATATTGCCGAGAGAATGAATTTCGCCAGTGTTGCAGCGGCAGGAGTAGTTTCATCCATGGTGAATTCCAACAGTCCTACACCTGAAATGATGAAAAGTGATGCTTCATTGCAGGCTAAAGCCCCAGGATACAGGGTGTCTGGCTCAAAGCCATTGACACAACAGGACCTAGCAGATCCCACCAATAATCCAATGTTTGCTGGAGGATTCCCGCAAAATCTTGCAGATTTGGAAGCTGCCAGAACACCTGGGTATAGAGGAAACATGCCAAACCAGTCCCCATCAATGTCACCACGTTCTGGATCATCTACCTCAGGTGGGCTTTCTCCGCGAGGTCAGCACATGATGATGGATCCCAACCAGATGTCCATGGGCTCCATACCGTCTTTGTCTAGTCAGAAGGACGAGTATTCCACACCATCTCAACCCATGACTCTACCAAAGATTGAGAGTACACTCAATCCCAATGCACCCAACTTTACATCACGCCAGCCAGGCCAGATAAACCACCAGGGTCCAAATGTACCCAACCCCTCCTTTCCACTGGGCTACATACAAAGTCTGTACCAACAGGCCCTGGCGCAACAGCTCATTCAGCAGGCTGCACCAGGTAAGCCTGCTCCAGGTAATGTACTTCTTACTTCTTGTTTCAATTTTGTGAATAATATACCAACGAATATCCTGATTAGTTATTTTAGGACAGATTGGGGTTACTTGAGTCAAAAACATTTAACAATTGCCTTTTGTCTGTTTTTGTTAATTATTTTTGTAACAATTGACATGTAGCATATCCCCTGGATGACAAGATCCAAAATAGGTCACTTAGTGCTTGAAGTTGTCATTTCTTTATGTAAAAATTTGGGTGATATGAAGATGTAGCAACCCCCACCCCATTCCAACCCCAGGCCTATTAGGAACCTATAAGGATCAGATGAGGAACTTCGGGGAAGGGATTATCTTGGTGATGTGGTTTTGACTTCGTAGGAATTTTAAGATTTTGCTTAGACCATGGTGGTAATGGAAAAAATCTCCTTTTGTATTTTCAATTATTTTTGATGACATTAGGAGGAAGTTAATTTGTTAACACTGCGCTTGAAACTAGAAAAGAACAAATCATTGATTTTAAAATGTGAAGTCATTGAAACCAGACAGAAAGAGCAAATAGAAAATGAAAATCATTATGAAAAGTTGGAGCATTAAGTGCAGTATTAAGGTTAATTGTAATAAACATTCAGTTGGATGTATAATGTTGATAATTACTTTATGGAGATTGCCTTGGATTAAATCATATTGTATACCAGTAAATCTTTGTAAATGAACGAATTTTTTCACTTCTAGGTGGCATTGGTGGACCCAATCCAGGTATCGTACAATCAAATATGATATCTCAACAGGATTTTGCCAACCTTATCCACCAGTTTGTTGCCAGTGGACAAGCTCAGGCCCCTGGGGGTCCACCATCTGTGCCGGGAGGTCCACCACCAACAGCCCCAGTTGGGATGGGTGTACCAGGAGCTAGGCCACAGAACCCACCACAGCGTCCCTTCTCGCCCCTGCCACCGCAGGCACGCCCAAGCAGTGCCCCCAGTATGGGTGGGATGCCGAAAGGTACGCAGGATTCTAATGTTTTTCAAAGATGTAGAGTTACAGACTTCTTGTAGAATAATATCTTTATAGTAGGGATGTCAATTCAATTAGAAATAACTATTCAAGTATTCGTCTGATTCATTATTTGAATATTCGTTTTCATGCTGACTACAGAGGGTACGCAACTTTCAGTTTCAGAATGCAGTCTTAACTCACTGTTTAGCCTAAGAACTTGGTTTTTAAAATGTGAAAATAGTAAGAATATATGTCAGGGAAATGGTTAGATTTGAGGAAACGTATACTTAGAAAGTCAGAAATTGGAATTCTTATCATTTAATAACTTAATAATGGATTTCTTTCAATGGAAATATTGTCATAATACATGCATCAATTATTTGGCAATTAAAATGACTGTAGGAATTAATCAAAGAAGCCATAAGATTCATACTGGTATACCACCCATATTTTATAATTATTGTCCTTAAACATCCGATAGAAAGGACCTAATTAGCTGCTGATTAAATTGACCGACAATGGTGTAAGACCAAAGTTCACGACAATATTATAGGTATAGCTTTGATCCTTGTTGTTTTACACACACAAGGTGCGATACTTCCTTTAATAGGAGTGGCTTTAAGCCTTCCATCAATAGGCTAATTGATTAGTGTCATGAGGAATTTTACAGGTGTAAAACTTTGAACACTGATTTTACCTTTATAGTGTAGTTGATACTAATCAAAATGAAAATTGGACAGTCAGTTAACAGTGATCTCCCAAATCCAAATGATGATATCTTACAATCGCAAAATTGAATATTCAAATATGATTTTTCTAATTGAATATCACCCTAATGAACAAATATTTGTTGACATCCCGATTTATACACATCTTTCATATTGTTTTTTGACAAACTGTCTTGGGTGATTGATGTATTCCATTAAACTTATGCTGTGATTACAGAAGGACCTTCTCCCGGCCCCATAGGCCCTCCTCCCAGTGCCACATCACCCATGGCTGCGACACCACCTCTCCAGGAGCAGATGAAGGGTGACCAGGAAAGGCGACCACCACGTCCTGTAGGTGCTATTGGGGGCGAGCGTGCCCAGAGAAGAGCACCTGGGGCAGGTGTGACAGGAGGAGGACCAGATTATGGGAAATATTGGAACCTTGCATCAGGTGGAGTTTATAAGAATACTCATAATACTTCTTTAGACAATGTTACTTGGGATATACTAGAACAGTCATGTCTTGTATGAATGTATGTTTATCTGATTCATTGCTGTTTACCTTCAACTAATTCTCTGAAACTTGAAGAGCAGTTTGGTCTCATAAATTCATCAGTTTATTTTGATGGATTTTCATAGGAATTATGTCTCATTTGTGATATATCTTTGTGCATTAAAATGTATCAGTTTTGTTAGAATAGCTTGACTTGCATTTTTTTCTCCTTATCTCCAAAACGTTCATAGATCTATACCACAGGTAGTTTAACCTCTCATGTGTATATTTATATCTCTCCTTGGAATGAAGGAAGACATATCATATAAGTATCAGTCCCTCTAGATCTCGTTCTTTTAAACAGTTAAAAGATATCCTCAAAACTTAAAACTTGCACCATATAAAAATGATGTGCAGTGCTCTGCATTTAGGTCATTGACCTTCAAAAAGTGTTCATTTTTTTTTCTTGATTTCTTTTAATTTGTGAAAGATATCTCAATGAAAGTTCCAGTATACCTTAGGGGATATGGGCATACCTATTTTAGAACATACGTGTATCGTGTTACTCTGCATAGAGGGAAATGACTTTCCACAATTTTTTTGTGTTAGAGGACCAGCAGATTGGAGTTAATATCTTCCCTCGTCCCTGCCTCTTACTGGATATAGACTTTATTAGAAGTATGTTTAGAAGGATTAACTTATAATTTTACTTTGGAAACTTTAGGAATACCAAATTAACTTAATATATCATGATGTCTCATTACAGAACTGAATATGCAGTGGAACCATGGCAGTACCAGTGGAATGACTCCAGCACAGGGTACACCACCTACTTCCTCGTCTGTGATGAACCGTAGCAATATGTCATCCACGCAGACTTCTACCCACACAGAAGAGCGAGTGGGGCCAAGTCCCTTGCAGAATCACACAGACTATATGGAAGCTCGAGGTGATATGACTGAGCCGGGCATGGACAAGACGCTACCGGTATGATATGATTATTTGCTTTTATGGTTCCTTTTACAACCACCATTTACAATTTTCTCATTTCCATACCAGTAATACAGAAGATGTTGATTGATGGTCTTTCCCTATCTTATCTTAACAGAACCAGAACATGAGTAGTATGCCATTTTTTGGCAAGGTAATGGATGGGGGGCACTTCCCTATACAGCCGACCTCCTTCAGCCCAGGCCCAGTAGGGGATGCTATGTGGAACCCCCAGGTCAAAGGTCAGGCGCCGGAGACCTCAGACAAGGTAAATCTGCACTTTTCATATGTTAAGGCAGTTGAGGATTCGGTAATATTGTCATTAAAGAAGACTACTCTTGTGTTAAAATGTCCAATTTTGGCTGAAACTGTAGATTGCATATACAGTAGATTTATTTCAAAAGAAAAGTGATATTACCTAAACCGTAAATTGATTTTTAAGGAAAGTAGCAAATATTTTAAGAAATGAGAAAAGGGAACAAACGTTTTGATGAAGACTTTATTGTAGGTTTTTGATATTTGAAATAACACCAGTGTTTCAATTTCAGATGTGGAATTCATGGAGTTCACAGACGAGCATGTGATGTGTGTGAGCTCAGCATTTGACTTGCTACAAAAAGTAAAATTGAATGTCAGATTAATCTTCCTGGAGTAGATGGTTCTTCGGTAACCTAGGACTGGCTTGATTCCCTTGTGATGTGTATTGGACTGCATCAAGTCATAAAATGATACCAATTTATGTTCAATTGAAATGAAAGAAGAATATTTGCTTATTTCTTTTTGTTTTGTTTATTTTTTTTCCTTGTTACTTCTTGAGGCAAAGCTATTCCTTTCTTGGACACATAGATAAATGTAAACAAGGTATATAATAAATACAAAAACCAACCTTGACAAATTTGTTGTGTAATTTTTTTTTGTCACCTTTGCATTGGAAAAGGGTATAACATAATGTCTGTCTGTCTTTGATGTTAAGGGCATATATGCAATTGAATTCAGACAAGAACTACATGATTTGCCCTGTGGGTACATCTTCAGGAAGTTGTTGCATACTGAAGACACTGCAACCTACATTTTAGCCCACCATCATCAAATGGTTGGTGACTCAGATCACCCTTTCTCTGTGGTCATATGTGTGTCCTTTAACAGTCGTTGTTATCGCTAATTCCTTTGTTAAAGGTTACAAGGAGTTTAAACAACTTCTCATGAACTAAAAGGCCTGGAGGCATGATTTTGGGTGGTATGTTCCACGGATGAAGCCCGACAAATTTTGCAAAAAAAAAGGAAAAGAAAGACCTTTACCTGTATTCAGGGTCACAGGGGTAAAATTTTTGAAACCTTTTAAATGACTTATTGTTTGAACATAAAGGCCTAGAAGCATGATATTTGGCTGCTATATATATTCCAGGTAAGTGCTGGCCTATTTGGCCTCTTGTTTTGGGACTGATTAGAAAGAAAATGGTTTTAGACAGTCATAATCTATTTCTGCTGAAGTACTGGATGGATCTTTCCCAAATTTCATATGTAGGTTCTCTTTGGTCCAAACGTTATGGCTGATGATGAGCAAGCAGTCATATTGGATATTGCCTATGAAAATTTATCTCAGTTTGATGGGAAGTACTGCATGGATCTTCATAATATTTCATATATACATTCCCCTGCTCAGTAGTGTGCTTTTTTGATTCTGGGACTGATTAGAAAAACAAAAAGACAAAGTTTGCATTTTCTCAAATTTTGTCCATTTACCCTTGGTCCCTAGTTTTGCCCTTTTGATTTTTTGGACTAATTAGGAAGCTGATATGGCAGAGAACCATCTTAGATTTGAAAATTGAAGATTATTATCAATACTTCTTAAGAGGAGTTTTCAATTTTTATTAAGACTTGCAGGAAAGAATAGAGAAGAAGGGAAAAGATCATCTGTTCACGAGAAAAAAAAAGGACCTAACAATGGTTGGTGCCAAAATCTGTGGGATCTCTTGTTACCTTCATAAGACAGAAAAATGTTGGCATAGTATCTATTGTACAATTTCATGTATGATTTTTTGGAGAAATGTCTAAGGGAGATCATGTTGATGAGGAACCAACTGGTATGTAAGCTCCCATTGTTTTTCAGTGTGTCTGGGTGTTTTGTTTAAATTGATGTTCTTGTGAATGATAATACCCAGCCATTGACATTAACAAGATAGGAATACAGTTTTAACCATAACACTCGAGTTACTACTTTACATGTAATTTTCTCATTTTGATATTACCAATGGTAATTATATCTGCTGGTGAATCAGTCATGTCCTTGTCAACTAGAGAGAATAGTACAAGATCTGCTGTCCTGTTTCTTTAATTTTCTTTCCCTAAATTCAATATACAAATGTATATGATTAAGAACTATCAATGTTTCTTTCGAATTAAGATGTCAGAATATGGTTGAATGAAGGAAGGTCTTTGTCATTTGAGAGCTTTGCTGTTATGTTGAACATCAAATCACCCAGTAATATTACATATTTACATTAAATATAGACACATCCTACTAATACTGTATATAAATATCAAACATAAATATGCCTTAGTAATATTAAATATAAGTGACAAACATAGACACGTTTCATAGGCACGTCTCGGAAATATTAGATATAAATGTCAACATAACGTGTCTCAGTTATGTTAATATAAATATCAAACATAGAATGTCCAGGCAAAATTAGATATAGATATCAAACATAGGCACGTCTCGGAAATATTAGATATAAATATCAAACATAGACATGTCTTTGTAATATTAGATATAGATATCAAACATAGACATGTCTCTGTAATATTAGATATAAATATCTAACATAGACATGACTCAGTAATATTAGATATAAATATCAAACAGACTTGTCTTTGTAACATTAGATATAAATATCAAACAGACATGACTCAATAATATTAGATATAAATATCTAACATAGACATGTCTCTGTAATATTAGATATAAATATCTAACATAGACATGTCTCGGTAATATTAGATATAAATATCTAACATAGACATGTCTCTGTAATATTAGATATAAATATCAAACAGACATGTCTTTGTAACATTAGATATAAATATCAAACAGACATGACTCAGTAATATTAGATATAAATATCTAACATAGACATGTCTCTGTAATATTAGATATAAATATCAAACAGACATGACTCAGTAATATTAGATATAAATATCTAACATAGACACATCCCCATAATATCATGTATAAAAATCAGATCTACATCTCGGTAATATGACACATCACAAAATTAAGAAAAAAGTAACATTTAACAGATTTTAAAGAAATTATGTGGAGAACAAAAATTTCTGCAGCTGCCATCATATTGCACCATTTTCAATTCATAACACGACACCATCGATTTCTGACTAACACAGCCAATAAAAAATGCTCAAGGGTAAATTACACCAGTGATTTATAAATAAAAAAAATGCATCAAACATTGATGACTCCCGGTGATATTACATACACACATCAAACACATAGGCATGTCACACTACATGGTAACTTAAAGGAGAACAAACTATTTCATAACAAAAAAAAAACAATTCATGTAGAAGCTTTAGACATCTGTCATGATCGATTGTTCACAAGTACCAGTGATCAAGGTATTCAAAATTCTTCACAACACCGATGATAAACAAGGCAAACTGACATTTTTGAAGCAGATACAACGAAAAATATAAAAAGTAAAATGTTGACAGATGGCAAGAAAAAATTAGGTTCTTTGTAGAGAGTTGGTTGTTATATTAATGATAAAACTGTATGATGTCAAAAGGTCTGAAATCTTGTTTAATAATAAAAGAAAAATACAAAAAGATTTTTATTAACGACATGTTATTAACAAAAGAAGATAGCATAACACAGGTAAAAAAGATAACAATTGTAGATGTTGTTCACCTGTGAGGCTTGCAGTCTTGGATGTTATATAATAAGGCAAATGCTTTAAATTTTAATAGTTATGATTATAGTTAGTTATAATTGACAGTTCTATCTAAATGCATAAATGAAATATTTTACAAAATTACATTACATAAAAAATGTTAACCAAAGCAGTCGTAAAAATAGTAAAAAGTTATAAAAAAAAGTCTGATGCTCCGGGTGAGGATCGAACTCACAACCTCCGCATTCCTCGTCCTGTGTCTAGCACAGGGAAGGTACTGTCTATAAGTACGGCGCGCTAACCGATTGTGCCACCGGAGCATCTATGATGAAAGGCGATTTGAAATTGGATAGTATTTATTATCGACTATCGATATTCTGTTACCCATTTGTTGAATTATGAAATTGTGTTAAAGATCTAGAAAGAGCGGCGGATTGGATCAAACGTAAGGCCTTATGATTCTGACTTCTTGATTACAAGAATAATCAAAGCGGAAGGAAGCATTTACTGATTTGTGACAGCCCACCTGAGACGTCATCAACAAAGATGGCGGCGACCATAGAACGAAATTATTGATGTTTGGCGTTTTGGAGATTTTATAGAGTAATTCATCATCTTAAGGTAACATTTTCGCCATTTCCATAACCGCTAAGCACCTTTTATGGTCTTTTGAATGATGCAATGTAGACTTATAACTTAATTTGAGTTTTACTTCATGGTCCATTCGCACTTCTGGCAATCAACACTTGACAGGAAGGCACTGTTTATCTTGAAAATGAAAACCCGAATTGTTGCATATTGTCGCCCTGTAGACACACTTATGCTGTTTACCTATTCCGTATTGACAATTTATTGATATTTTCCTTTACCTAAAGAGTATTTTAGCCATTAGGTACCATATGTTTATGCACGGCTGAGTAAATCTGATAAATGAAAACATGTCTGGCACAGCGAAAGTTTAACCCCTCATACTGGTAATAGTCCTGCGTTAGATCGAATTTTACCGCTTTAGTTTGATCAGTTATATACTCAGATGTAGGGTAAATTGAAAAAGAAAGCCAAATAACCAATGCAACATTGTACATTTCAAATATTGGCTGTTGGGTTATGTTTAAAACATAACACCCTTTTTTGCATAATTTTTTGTAAACAAACTTTTATGTGTTTCTTTTTCAGAACTATTACCAATATGAGGGGTTGTGCTCAACCTGAAACAGATATGATCATGTTATCATGGTTTAGTTGATCTTTCACTATTAGATTACCTTGGCTGTGACCTCTGTTGTTTTTTAAAATTTTAATCATATCGGACAGTATAAAGATCTGTCTCAGTGCATGTAAAAACCTACATTTCTATGATATTTTGATATTAACTAAAGATCTATCAAGTATAACCAGGTAGTTTGCCTACTTTCACATTTTTAATTAACCAAATGAAAAATAAACAAATAAAAAAAAATAAATGAAAGAAGCTTTTTAACAATCACACCTGTTAGATGTATTATTTGAGACTTTGATTGGTCAATGGAAATTTTAGCAGACAGGCAAACACAATCATCTTTTATTACAGTGATGCTGTTGACCATGAACTGTTTTGTCAAGAGAGACTTGATTACACAAAAAAAAGTGTGAGAAGAAAGGTGTTACAATGCCCAGATTGCTCTATTGATAAATGTTTGTCTCAAATTGAAAGATCTGAAGTCTTGTCTAGCTTGTCTGATGAATATTACAATAATGAGAGTAACTGTGGTACAGTGTTGATTTTGTTATGCTTGGTAATTTTGTCTAGTTTTCTTGATGCTGTTTATGCGGTTTATGTCTCACAGCACACAACATCAACAGATTCTGTAAAATTCTTTAAGCTGCTAAATGGAAAATTCTACATTGAAAGAGTGGAAATTTATGCGAAGTAACACACTAATTACTAAAATATGTACAACTGCCTTATAGAAATTTCTTTATATTTTCAGATTTTTGCACAAATGACTGTGGTATGATCTCAATACACAGGCAGGATAATGAGTTGGTGGAATGCTAGCAACTTCTCCGACTTTGCCTCTCAGGCAATTAAAACAGCTCAGGAGAAAATCGACAAAGTCCTTGATATTGATGAGGAAGCATTAAAGCAGTCAAAATCATGTAAGCCCACAAAAGATATATAATATTTTCCTATTGTTTTTTAATGTAAAACAAAGCAAAACACATATATGGATTAGATATATAGACTGTTAAAACTGTAGATTTGTAAAATTAATTTGGTATTTTTTAAAATCGACAGCTGAAAAAAGCCATCTAAAGACCTGTGAAATATTTGTTAGGTTCAATAGACTTGTACAACAGTTATTTGAATCTATCATAATTATGATAATCTGTTTTTAGCAGTAAAACAGGGTAAAAATACTTCATTGTGTATATATCTGTTTGATTACCATCTATAGACTTAGGAAAATGGCAGTACATTATGGTAATGAAATATCTAGACTTGTTAGAAAACTAGATACTAGAATCTATATCATATGAAAAAAGGAATTAAATCTCACACAAGAAGCAGTCATTATAAAATCTGTGCAGTCACTTGTGATCAGTACAATTTGTAAATTTTGGAAACAGAAACAAATTTATACATTGATGCATTGCCATTTCTGCTGTTGTAAAATATACCTCTATAGATATTATACACAATACATGTATCATAAATTCATATAGGTAACATGTATCATCTCTATAAATGTTATTTTTCTTATAGCTGCTGTTAATAAACCTTCGAAGAAAGAAACATCTACACCAGAAACAAAGAATGATTTCTGGAACACATGGATGCCTTCCTCCCAGACTGAGGAAGAAGAGGGAGGGGCCAAGGAGGAAGGGGCTAGGAGTTCCTGGTCTATGCCCTGGGGCTCAGTCCATGAAGATGTCAAGCCCAAGTCAAAAGAAAAAAGTCCAACTTCTCAAACAACTTCTGAAAGCAACGAAAAGAAGCAGATAGCAAAAGACCCAGCATCTACTGATGTAAAACACTCAAGTGTTAGTCAGATAACAAGTCATGCTGCAAAGTTAGAGGAGAAAACTTCAAAACATACTGTAGATAAGGATATGGAAAGTAGTTCTGGCAATGACAAGAAAGTGGTAAGCAGCATTCCTGTAGTGGAAAGTAAAGAAAAAGTGGAGAATTGGGATTCTTCATCAGCTTGGACTAGTGAATCACTTGTAGCCTGGCAAGGTGAAGGTCAAGATGTCAGTGGTGACCTTGACCTAGAAAATGCACAACATAAATCAATACAAGGTGAAGGACAAGAATTAAGGCTTGGGTCAAATTTTGAAAAGTCATATCAAGAAAATAAAGAAAGTTTGACTGATATTCCTGCTGACAATATTGAATCTAAAACCATAAAAAATGTTGAAGGATTGGATTTGCAAAAAGAGGAAACCAAAAAATTGCCACCAGAAGATGGTGACCAGAGTATTAGTTTTCCTAGTAAGAAGGGATTAAATCAGGAGGTGTCAGATTCTCTGCTGGATGATAAAAGTGGTGACAGTAAGACAGATAAGTCCAGTAGTGTATCTGTGATTGAATCTACAGAGGGAGTAATATCTCTCAGTGATGACAGTGATCAGGATGGCAAGTGTGGTGTCAATATGACTGACCAGTCCAGCAGTGTATCACTTGTACAGATTGATTCTACAGACAAGGTTCTCTGTCCTGGTGAAGGAAGTGAGGACTATTCAATAGATTTAGATAGTGTTGTGATTCAGTCAAGTGACGATAAAGATTCAGAAAGAACTTCATCTGTGATAGACCCTGAGGTAAATCCAACTCCAGCAGAATCTGAATTGGAAATATGTGGAAATATTGATTCTGATAAACAGGAAGCACAAAATGATTCGACCACATATGACAATGAAGAAAAGGATTCTGAAACACAAAATAAAAAAGAAATACATTTTGGGGAACTTCCAATTGATTCAGGGAATATTGAAACCAAAAAAATGGATGTGAAAGAAACTATGGTTACTGGAGACAATGTTCTAGTCCAGTCATCTGTGTCCAGTGGGTCAGGTGAAGGAGCAATGGAGGAAGCGGATAAAGATCGCGGAATCACTGAAACAGATGTGTTAGAAAGCTTAGGAAGTGTACACAGTCCTTCTGCTTGTAGCTCAGTATGTTCATCAGACACTAGTAAACTGGACAGTAGCATGGACACACATACCTCCGAAGATACTGTTGTGGACAATCGTGTAGAAGAGGAGGCGGCAGGGGAGATTAGTCAGGAGGAAGAAGTCGGTGCAAAGTTGGTAACTCCAGAGGATTCTAGTTTAAAAGATATGACTGTTAAGGAAACTGTAGACTCCAGTCAAGTTTCTCAGGAGGAAGCTGATGGACGTGAATTGACAGAATTCCAAGAAGATTCTCATAAAATCACTGACAGTATGTTTAGTGTGTCGTCAAGTAGTTCGTATGTAAAATGTATGATCGAGGAGGCGATGGAGGATAATGGCAGAAGTGAAGATAATAACAGTGACTGTCATTCTACAGGAGGTGAAAAATCAGAGTGTTCTAGAAGTACTGGTGGACATGAATCGGGGGATGATATTGACACAACAACATCATCCGATATTGAAATAATCTCTACGCCGAATTCAATGAATAATGGGGATATCAACAAAATGGTAGATCTGTCGCCATTGAAAATTGCATTACAGAAAACAGCTCGACGAGAAAGTCCTACTCATAGAAGAACAGACAGTGCCTCAAGCTCAAGTACCCAGAGTCGAGAAGGTCAGGCTGAACAACTGAGTCCTGGTCGAGATAGTTTGGAGGATGACAGCCCGTATGGTGAGAACAGAGATCTGCCACTAGACAAGCAAAGTAAATTTTGCTTTCTTTTGTCATTTTCTTTTCTTCTTTTATTTTCATGGTAGATATATGTTTGGGAATTCTATGCCATTTTAAAAACAGCATAAAATAGATCTCTCAAATGTAACCTATACAATATGTGCTTATTAAGAAGATTAGGTAAAGGAGGTACCTGACCAGTCTATATATTGATTTTGTTGGTAAAATAACAGACTTTGTGTATTCTGACACTATGATCTAATGGGATGTTTGATGTACCATACATGCCGGTGCTCTAAACTAGATAATTTTAATACTTTAAACTATGTTCAACATTAGCTTTCAATTCTTAAAACAATAATATTTTGCAATGTCAAAATTTTTCATTTTTCCTGAAAGCTGAAGGGTCAAACGTTTACATGCATTATGAAATAATGAGAAATGTCCATTTTAATCCAATGGTGAAAACTCAAAATGGATAAGAAATCAGAACTCAATTTCAGAGACTAATAGTTTTGTTGTTGTCAACTAAGTATCAACTTAATGATTACAACGGTTTAATAAAGTATTGAGTATTTTTCTCTCACTTTACATTATAATCAATTGCATGTACTGGTAATTTCGATTTTTGTTTGTAGAGCTGGCTCCAGTTCGTGAAGAGAAAGGAGACCCATATATGAATCAACAGAAAGTGTTAAAAGTAAGATTAAGGGCACAGTCAAAAAGGGATGGGAGGGGACACGCAGAGTACAGGTATATTGCAAGATTGATATCTCAGACACAGGCTGTATATTGATGTGTTTCATGTCATTGATGCTTGGGGACAGGTTTTCTTTCTTCAGGGCTACCAGTTACCACACGCTGTGTCAATTGTAGAAAGATTCCATTCTGCATGGTTTTATATATATATGCTGTTGCATAATGTTTATGGCACTGTATATAGGTCATGGAATGTGAAGTAATTATTGATGTCAAACGTGTATACATCTGAATGCTGTTTATGATGTGTAAATACTGTCTTTAAGCTTCTTTCCTTATTTCATTATTTTGCCAATTACAGTATTGACTGTGTTTAAACTTATAAAGGCATGCTGTATCTTTAACCTAAGATTTAGTATATTCTAAACATCCAGTAGTTCCCAATACAAACTTACTAACCTGATGCTGAAATCATTGTACTTCAGAATCCCTAGCCTCTTTGATGTATATGTTAGGCTAGAATAAAGGTATCTTCTGTACTCTGACATACACCTATCATGTTAAGTAAAGGAAATCATGACAATGAGAGAGTCTATAAAACATCTGTACTCAATGCTGCTAGATTTACTCTCTGTAGCATCATGCTATTCATGTGTGGATGTCGCTTGCTTTTAGGAAATCTAATGCTGAAGATAAGCCTTGGGTAGACTGTTGGTTAATCTGCTGTAGATAAATGAACTTATAAGAATATAAAATATACTTTGAGAAATAGAAAAGTAAATACAATTTTTTTTTAGAGATTCTATATAAAAACTAACATGATGGGTGTACATTTTCTTCACAAACTAAGGTAGATGGAATATATGGGGAATGCCTAAATCTTGCTGATCAGTTTATCTGGACCCTAAAAGCTCAAGGAAATATTTCATGGTAATATTTGATAACTGTATTTATCAGATGGTATTATCGAAAGTAGTGATATACTTGAGGTGCTTCAACATTTTGTTACAATCTTTGATGTTTTCAGTCCATTTGAAAACCTATTGGTAACAAGTCTACAAGCTTTGTTTAAGACCAGCTGAAATGCGTCGTTTTTTGTTGGTTGTAAATATAGTTGCCACATAAATCATTTGATTTGTTTGTATTTAAAGAAACGACGTTCTTTGAGAGGATCTACTGTAAGTGTCAAATTAGGGCTTGTTATCCTTTTTAACCAGACATGTTGGGTATAAGTTTCAAGATTGTAAGTCTTCTGAAAATAACATCATAGGTACCTTTGTTAGATTTAGTTGTGTTAGCTGCACAAATGGTCAACATGTGGGAATGGAATTGCCTTTGAAAAATCAGACATTTATTACAAACACCATTTTGATTCTCCTGTAATAGTTTTTTTCCAGTGGCTGGTGTTTTAAAGTCATATCTGTCATTAAACCATAACTATAAATGTGTTAATACTGTAACTCAGTTTAAGTCTGGTATGAGAATGTCGCAGGGTACCAAAATCAAAGAATAAGATAATTTTTGCTATTTATTGAAATCTTATTCAACTAAGCATCAGTTGTTCTGGGGGCTTCATTTTGTAATGGATTATCATCAGACTTTATGCAAAGGTTGAATATTAGCAATTTTTTACACTATTGAAATATGAGAAATGGTTCTGTCAAGGAGAATCACTAATGACTTAAACGTAATCGTGAGTTACAAACTTAATTCATTGTCTTCAAAAAGGTTTATTAATATACTATATGTGGTTGTTCATTATCCCTGTTTTACTTTGTGGTGGTTAACTTTTATGAAATTGTTTTTGATTGCACACAAGACATCTCGTGACCCTATGCACAGATATAGTATATAGTTGATGAGGGGGAGAGGTATATTCTTCTGACATGATAGTACATTATATTGAAGAACTTAGCGAAATCATTTTGTTTTATTTTGATCTGCAGTTGGGAATTGTACTTTATAGAAAACTTAAAATCTTGAAACTAGATTTCCCCATTTCTGTTAGCTGTGTTGGTCTTACTTGCTTAAGCTTTAGAATTAAGAATTGATTTGAAACCTAGATCATATCCACTATAGCTAGGATGTTAGTTCTTGGAACTTAAATAAGTTCTTGCTTACTGTTATTTTTTTGTATTAATTACCTATATACATTATTACAGTGGGTTGATATTTAAAGCACATTAGATTAACCATGTACAACATGGTATGATAATTAATGATGTACAATAGTGCAATTGTTTTATTCATTGAAAGTACAATAGTTGAACTATAATGTAAAAAAAAATGTACAATTGTATAACCAACAATCACCATATTAGGTACAATTTCTCACCTGATCACAAGTTAAATATTACTGTTATTTCATTAGATACAAAAAGGTACAGTTGTTTAAAATTGTTACTTTATGCACATAAGTTTTACAAACATATTTTGGTTTTATTCAAAATTTACTGTGAAAGTTAAACAAAAATTTGTTCTTTAATTTGTAAAATGAACCTTGTAATTTAGGATACTTTGTGCTAGGAAGGTAGATAATATAAAGAATGCTATTCCTGGTGTCATTTTAAAGAAAGGACATGTGATTACCAACAGGATATTATCATTGTATATTTCTTTATGTTTAATTTCTCTCACAATTAAGTGTGCAGTATCTTATAGAATCCGTATAAGGATACACTGTAAACATCAAAAGCAGTGCTAAATGTATTAATGAAAATACAATGAAGCTGAATTGATAAATAGGGTATAAAAGTACATGATTCTATATTGTGACAATAATTAGTTAGGTATAAGTGCTAGATTATTTCAGTTACAGACTGTACCTGAACACACTGAAGTTCATCTGACTCGAGACAGCTACTGCGATTCCACATCTACTAGCATGGCCTCTGAGGTTTGGGCGGTCTTTAATTAGCAGTGGCATTCAATCTCATACTGTCTTTTCTCCTACATCTTGCTTCAGAGGGTGTTTTTTTTAAAAAGCTATTTGATGTTTTAGATTTTTCTTTTTCTTTTTTCGTTTTTGTTTGCATGCTGCAGTTAGTAAGTGTTTGTACATCACATGTATGTGTAATCTGCAACAAGATAGAAAAATATTTGTGTGGTGTGACTCCTGTTAACTTTAAAAAACATTCTTTGATTAACTTTGTGTATATTTTTTTCACATTTTTGTTTCTCTATCAAAAATGCTTCTTTACACAAGAAAAAAATGAGATTAAAGTAACTTTTAAAATAAGCTCCAGAATCAAATCGTGATTTAGCACAACGCTTTTGTACCACAAAATTAATATAAGCTTTGATCCAACACATTCAATACTTTACATTTTGTCATTATTACCAAAGTGTTTTCAATAAGGTTAGCTAGAGAACCACACAATAATTTTTCACTGTATTTTTGTTCTCTATTTATTTATGATTATTATGCAAACAGATATCCCTGGCACCTGCATTATGTGAACATTTTCACTAGTTCAGACTGTAAATTCATTTGGTGTCCTGAAAGATTAAATGTTAATTAATGTTGTCATCAATGGCCCAGGTGGAGTCTCTTTGATGAATCTTAATGATTTTTGATTTCCAGGGTAACATTGGCTTGAAAGGTAAAATGAAGGCTAAGGTGATTTTTTTTATCTTTCAAAGTCACGTGAAATGTAATAATAATTGATGAATTGAAAAAAAATATCTTCAAAAGAAATTATTAAGATTGGCATTGATTACAAAGGTTTGATAGAATCTTCACCCTCACTGGGGTGAGATAAGACAGGGTTTTTAACCCAAGGATGGAAATTACTAAGTTAGCAAACACAAGGCTTGACAAGTGTTTGCAACTTGATAATCTAATAAGGTAGTGAGTGATTGTTTTTATCCTTCCTTGCTGGCATTATAGTTGTTCTGTTGCTATCGCAATGCTTTGTATTACTGATGAGAGGTTACCTACCCATATAGATATAAGAGGGGAATTCCCCCTTGCTTAACCCTTTGGTGAGACAAGGAAATCTCATGCAACTTAGAGTGGATACGCTTATCAAGAGTAAGAGAAATTGAATCTCCATGGTACATACACTGTATAATACAGTTGAAACTTGTCTCAAAATCGCTTGAGTCGAAATTCTGTTTGAGTCAAAATTATTTCCATGTCCCAATTTTTTTCCTTCTATTTCTTTGTAATTTTAGTGCGGATGACTCTAAGTTCATTGACTTGACTTTGTAAACTAGAGCCATATGCTATCAAATGGTTTCCAGTGTTTTTATAAGTATCAGTTTTAACCAGAAAATACAAATCTGTATGATGATTGTCCTTGTGAGGTGTGTTGACTCTCAGGGTTGACTGACTGACACAATTATTGATGATTTGTAGAATACAACTGCCAACACCAACCCCTTAACTCCTCCCGCCCCGCCTCAGGCTGGTAGCTCTGCTGGGGGCCAGGTAAGCTGTGTGTCACTTACCCACACATTTCGTGCTAGTCTCGCTAGCTTAACAGGTTCTAAAACAACTGTACCTTGATGTGTTGGTGTTTTCAACGAACACATTGCTAATCAATCCCATCATCAAACCTTAGAAGTGGAATGGGTAGAGGGTACCATTCTCTCTCTCTGTCCAGCAGTCAGTAAATCCATAAAATGGTGACCTGGTTAAGAACATTATATCTTTTAAAATGGCTCAACATTTCTATATAAACCATTTTAGGAGACAGATACAAAGTGCTTCAGATGCCTGATGTAACTTACATCAAGACCACATGCTAAAATTCAAACATATCTGAGTACATGCATATAACATATAGTTATATATATATATACCCAAAACGTCAAGTTAAGGGCAAGCAAGGTCAAAATGCAAAAACATTTTAATTTGTGCAGATCATAATTTTTTTTTTAAAACTTTTCTGTCTGAAACCACATACACAAATATGTGTGATGACAATTAATTTGCAAAATTTGGAAACACAAAGTTTACACATTATCTTCCAATAGAAAAGTAGTTCTTAAACAGATTATAGACCAAACAAAATACACACAGGATGGTAACAAGGTACTGAAATCAATAAGGCTACGCTTTGTTTTTAACACTTGGTCTTATATGTACAAAAAGTCTGTGGCCCCTTCATCCCTGTTTATTACTGGCCTGTTGTGGTATATCCTTTTCAGGTGACTGGTTAAGGAAGTCATCTGGATAAGCTTGCATATTTATAATCTAGTGTAAAACAGTGTTAATTTTTTTTGGTCTTGGCCATCTTGTCACAATATTTTCAACCTTAGTGTACATATGATAATGTTATGTATTACAGCCAAAAGAGTTGGTTGATTCCTAACCATCTTACACACTAAGTATGTCAGTGTTAGTACGCTACACACTGGTCATTTTTTTCATGAAGGTGACCATGTAGCATTCTAATGACATTACCAACCTGAACAAAATGTTCTAATGTGTTATCTCCAAAAACTAACAATACTGTTTTCTTAACTTGACACTGTCTACATTAATTTTTAAAATCTTTCATAATAAATCAATTTTAATAGCTTTCATGGACTAACACAGTGTTTTATTGCATAGAACAATTTCTTAATATTTCTGATAATGGTTGAATATGATCAATGACTAAGTTGTCACTGATAGCAGAAAAGATGTCCTACAACAAGGTCAATGTTCTACAACAAGGTCAATATCCTACGACAAGGTCAATGTTCTACGACAAGGGCAATGTTCTACAACAAGGGCAATGTTCTACTACCATTTCTATATTTTACCACAAAGTCATCATGTTTGCAACATTATTATATAAACAAAGTGCTTAAATCAAGATGCATTTAAATAGTGACAGATGTCGAGTACAACTTTAAATTGGCTTTCAATATCATTTTAAAATCTATGTAACATATAAATATATACATACAGAAGCATGTTCATTATTTTTATTCAACCATGTATGATTTTTTTCCTCGTTTTTATATTATTCTCGCTATATTTTTTTATATTTAATTTTATGTTTTACTTTATTTGATGATTGATTGATATTTTTACTTTATTTGATGATCAATTTACAGTTTTATTTCATAATTAATTAATAGTTTCACTTTATTTGATAGTTAATTGATACTTTTATTTTAGTTCACAATTAATTGACAATTTTACTTGATTTGATGAATAATCAACAATTTCATTTTATATGATAATTTATTTAGGTTTTTTAAAGTCTATTTGATAATGAATTGACAGTTTTCCTTTCTTTGATATAAATGATTTACAGTTTTACATTTTGACTCGGCAATGACAGAATGCCAAAATATGTTTTGTTCTCTTAATGTCTCCTGTAAAGTGCTAAATATTCCTTATGCACATTGTGGATTTCATCAAGATTCAATGCATATATTGTTTACAGACAATGGGTTGGGAATTCCAGTGGATATCATTAAATGTTATCAATTACAAATATGATTGAGGGTATTCATAAGTACTAAAATGACTTCCAGAATGTCACAGAATAACTTGTGTCCAAGGTCAGGATGTCTTTTGTATTGACTAACCCACTAACAGTATTGCTGGTTTTTAGTATTATTCATAACTAAATATTTAAAAACCATTGTTCTTAATTAGGCTAAACCGATAATAGAAAATCTACATTACTACTTATCTGATGTAAAAGAACCACAAAATATCTTGTAGACCTTGCTACACAATACATTGACTGGTGTCATTTTAGGCCATAAGACACAGCATCTGTGTTAATTGTAACAAAATCTGTATCAGAGAATAGACTTTAAGCTCACCTTGCCCCAAGGGCCCAGGATATCATAGAACCACTTGGGGATTGGGTATATTTTATATCAGTTATTATTGGAAAAAATTAATTTTTAGCATAATTTGTTTAATTTCCATTGGAAATATTTCAAACTTGGTTAGAATTATGAGCAAAGGATGACAGCTATATAGTATGCCCATATTGATCATAGCTGACCCCTAGGAGCTGATGGCTGGGGCCAAAAGGGTCAAATTGACTCGGTTTTCAAAAATCTTCTCAACACCCACACATGATAGAATCAAATACTCTTCAAGGATGGAAGTGTCTTTAGTTGCTTTACCAAAATTGTGAATTTCGTGGCCCCAGGGTCTCACATTTCCCAGTGGGGAGGGGGAAAGTTTAAAATTTATATAAACAAAATAGGTTTTTGAGTGTAATTTGTTTAATTTTTATTGGAAATACTTCAAATTAGAATTAAATTTTGTATGAGCAAGGGATGACATCTTATGTTGCTTTAATTATTAAGATGGGTCTCACATTTCTTCCTGGGGAGGAGCTTGATTTTACTATAATTTTTATAGAAAAATTGAATTTTTGAGCATAATGTTTATTACCCACTGGAAATGACTTTGTAAGGATTATTGGTATATGATGACAGTTTTGGTGGTATGTATGTATGTATGTATATTGGCTTACTATCATCAATGCCACAATTCCTTTTTCATGACACCTGAAAGCTACTTACCCTTTAACCTTTATAATCAATATTACTTATCTCAGGTGACCATCAAGGCTGCTAGGCCTCTTGTTTGTATAAATGGTGTGTCCCGCCCCCCCCCCCCCCCCCCAGGGCTTGAGGGACAGGGCCCAAAATGGGAAATTTGGCAAGTCCTTTGAAATCAGTAATGTATAAACATTGGACCTTGGCCCTCTGAGACAGGAGGGGCGGGGCGGGGCGGGGCGGGGCCCAATAGGGGAAATAGAACCAATTCTTTAAAATCTTATTCCTCCTTAGGATTGGATTTTGTCCTAATTCGGTGTGAATCATGTTTGGGTGAAGGGGACCTCGTTGCCTATGGTCAGGTGGGGCAGGACCAAATAGGGCAAATAGAGCAATTTTTTTAAAAATCCCACTCCTTCCGAAGAAATGATCAGATTTTGCCCAAATTTTGCCCAAATTTTGTGTAAATCATGTGTTGGTTAAGGAAAATCATTTTGTATAAATGGTGGATCTCTTCCCCTCTCCCCCCCCCCCTCCCCCACCCCAACCTTCAGGAGGGGAGGGACTCAATAAGGGAAAAAAACAGTTTAGATCCCAATCTCATAACCATGTATAGCATTGCTGAGCATAAAGAGATAAATGCAATCATCAGGTAAGAATTCGCCCTAGGGTCTGGTCCAGTTCCAAGGGACTCAGTGTCATGGTAATATCTTTGAAACAGTTGAGATACTCACCCCTAAATCATCTATAGCAATGCTTGGCTTAAAGAGATACACATTCACAACGTAACAACTGGCCATGAGGTGTGGCCCCAACCCTCTGGATTAATTTCTAGGTGATATTTTCAAAACAATTGAAATCCCCACCCCATAACCTTACATATATATAATTGCTTGGCATCTAAAAATAATCACATTTGTTAAGTAGAACTTGACCCTTAGTTGTGGCACACCTCAAGGGACATTATTTCTGGGTCATATTTTTTTATATAGTTGAGATACCAACCCAATAACTCTTACTGGGAATCAAAAGAGAAAGACAGTAATGATATAAGTATTTACCCCATCAAAGGAATTAAGTGACTTAGCTTTAATTTGGAAATATTTGTATAACCCAACCTATAAGCATGTATAACATTGCTGGGCTTTAAGATCCAGGTGACCGATACATGCCCTATGAGCCTCTTGTTTACTTCAGGGTTTTGAAGACTGATTTTGACATCATGGGTAAATCTAACTGTAATTGCCAATACTTAAGTTTCTCATAGGGTACCATGTTAGAGCTGAAGCCCATGTAGTTAGTATTAATTATAAAAGACGTTATAATTGATACACAGGTATTCATCATCATACCTAACTCATTTTTTTCTGAACACTACTTAAATCCACTTTTCATATATAGTAAATATTTAGAATTTCTTGATTTCTGAACAAAGTCTTTCAGTCAGAAGTTTTAATGTTGATGCAGTAGGAAACTTCATCAAACCAAATATTTTTGTGGTCCTTTCGACTTGAATTGTAGTTCTAGATATAACAGTGACTTTGAGCCACGTAGTAAGACAACATTGGAAAAGAGCCTCATAAAATATCAAACATCTACTCTTAACTGTCACTTGTTTTATATTTTACTTCCGTTTATATGTATGATGTTTTATGCACATTTATCATATGTAACTACTTGTGAAGTTTGTATCCAGGTAAGAAAATTTGTGGAAACAGGATTAACATTTTAGAGTAACAAACAAAGAACTTATTGAAGGAGTCATTGTTTATTTTCTTTTCAGAAAATGGCTGAAATGGCAGAAGTTATCCAGGCAAGAGAAAATAAACTGTTACAGATGAGTAAAGACAACAATGACTTGATGGAGACTAACAGTATCTTACGCAAGTAAGTACCGAATATTCCCACTTGTATATCACTAATTTCTACTCTCTTTTGTACAATAACTGAAATTAAAGACTTTATCCTTTATATTCTTTTCAATCTCTGAAGAAAATATAAATAATAATAGATTTATGCTGTAATTATGGCAACCACTATTTCAGTCAGTTACAGCAGCTGGAAGAATCACGGGAACTTGAGCTAGAGGATGTGAGCAAGGTTTCATCAGAGTTTGCAAGCAGAATTGCAGAGTCAGAGAAAAAGCTGAACAGTGTCATACGGGTATATTTTAGTTTGTAACATTTCTGTCATCTGTTTACAACGTCACATGCACTATTTAATGCTGTATAGGCTAGTGTATAGGCTACTTAATAGTTTACATTACTATATAGGCTACTGTAGGTGGTAATATTACAAAGGCAACTGTAAAGGATATTACAGGTTACTATATAGGCTAGTGTACAGGCAACTATATAGGCTGGTACATATGTTTAGTTTAAATAGAGGAGGCTGTGTTGAACATAATAGGGTGCTAGATAGGTTAATGTATAAGCTACTATAGAGGCCACTGTAAAGGTTACTGTATATGACATTATGTAGGCTATGTGTTGTATTTAATGTCCACTTCACAGCTAAACTAAGGTTGCAGTATAAATTAAGCTAAATGTTGCTGTACATGTGCAGACTACTGAAGATTGTACTTTGTATGTTACTTTGTAGGCTAGTGTAGGAGTCACTGAACATGTAAGGGTCATTGTAAAGGCAACAGAAGAGGCTAGTGTATGGGTTTCTGTGTTTCTGTATAGGTTGGTTCCTGTCTGGGGTTGTTAATAGGTTACTGCCTAGGTTAGTTACCGCGGTGATATGTTTGTGTAAAGGCTAGTTTATAGGTTTCTGTAGAGGCTACTCTGTGTGTTTATATATAGGTTTCTGTAGAGGCTACTCTGTGTGTTTATATATAGGTTTCTGGAGAGGCTACTCTGTGTGTTTATATATAGGTTTCTGTAGAGGCTACTCTGTGTGTTTATATATAGGTTTCTGGAGAGGCTACTCTGTGTGTTTATATATAGGTTTCTGTAGAGGCTACTCTGTGTGTTTATATATAGGTTTCTGTAGAGGCTACTCTGTGTGTTTATATATAGGTTTCTGTAGAGGCTACTCTGTGTGTTTATATATAGGTTTCTGTAGAGGCTACTCTGTGTGTTTATATATAGGTTTCTGTAGAGGCTACTCTGTGTGTTTATATATAGGTTTCTGTAGAGGCTACTCTGTGTGTTTATATATAGGTTTCTGTAGAGGCTACTCTGTGTGTTTATATATAGGTTTCTGTAGAGGCTACTCTGTGTGTTTATATATAGGTTTCTGTAGAGGCTACTCTGTGTGTTTATATATAGGTTTCTGTAGAGGCTACTCTGTGTGTTTATATATAGGTTTCTGTAGAGGCTACTCTGTGTGTTTATATATAGGTTTCTGTAGAGGCTACTTTGTGTGTTTATATATAGGTTTCTTTATAGATTTTTGTATAGGCTACTTAATGGGGATAAAAACAGCACTTTATGATTAAATTACTTTAAATTAAATTCCTTTATACTTTGACAGGAAAGAGATACAGCAAGAAAAGACCTACAAAAATCTCAAGATGATTTTTCTAAAAGGTACAGAAACTCTTCAAGCAATAATTGATTTTATGTAACATTGAAAATTGATTTCAACCAAAAATAATTGCTGCTCCATATATATGTACTTGACCCAAGTATGTAATAATGATAGTTTGATTTCACGATAACTTTTGATCACAAAGCAACATTTATGTTTATGTTTATGGTTGTCCTGATGAAGCCCAACTAAGTGTGCGAAACCGGTAGACCGACTACCTTAATAAATTTTGAGGAACCTGCCCCCCAACCTGTTGAATTGAGTTATCTTTACTCTAAATTTATGTTTTGAGGTGCATAATGAATTATTGGTTGAAAGCTTTGCTCAGTTAGATGTTTTAGTGTTAGACTTAATATTCAATTATTTTGCTTACAGAGCAAGAGGATATGAGTTAGAAATAGAAGAAAAAAATCAACAAATAGCAGAATTATTACAAGAAGGTATGTATCTAATGACTTTATGCCTCATTGTCATTGTCCCATCTTTCTCATTTTCTCATCTGTCTCACATGCCCAACCTGTCTTTACATATCCCACCTGTATCATTATCTCATCAGTCTCACATGCCCAACCTGTCTTTACATATCCCACCTGTATCATTATCTCATTATTTTCTCACATGCCCAACCTGTATTTACATATAGAAGAAACCTGTAACAAATATCAGAATTATTCTCACATGCCCAACCTGTATTTACATATCCCACCTGTATCTTTATATCTCATCAGTCTCACATGCCCAACCTGTCTTTACATATCCCACCTGTATCATTATCTCATCAGTCTCACATGCCCAACCTGTCTTTACATATCCCACCTGTATCATTATCTCATCAGTCTCACATGCCCAACCTGTCTTTACATATCCCACCTGTATCATTATCTCACTTGTTCCACTTTGTTGTTGATATAGCAGAACTGGATGGGCCTGATCCCTAGCAATCAGGTATCTCAAATGTGTCAAGTGTTTACCCAGAGTTTGTAGGTACACAGGATAAACTCCATGTCCAGTCATTGGATTTCCCTCTCGTTTAACATTTGAACAATGAAAAATGAATTTTGACATGGATATGTCACCAGTTTGAAGCATTGAACTACTATTTAGGTTTTTGATTGTTTCAATTTGTTATGACAATGTTCAACATCTTATAATTTTTTGTTGAATAGTAACAGCATCCAATTTGGTATCATATATTCTTGTATTTTCAGGTATTATAATATTCAACAGTACAATTTAGTCCGATTTAATTCAACAGGTACAATTTTGTATGATGATATTTAACAGGAAACATCAGTGGTATGGTAATATTCAACAATGTAAATTTGGCATTTTGTGCAGGTGAAAAGTTATCTAAACACCAGCTACAGAGTAACAACATTGTTAAGAAGCTGCGAGTAAAGGAGAAGGAAAATGATGCCCTGTTAACCAGCCAAAAGTAAGCATTCATTATCAGCTTACTCACCATTTGATTTCTATAGTCAATTAGCAGTATTCTGTAAATCCTGAGGATTCTTATTATCCTATTATCCAAACACTATAATCTAACCAGCTTCACAGATCATTTGGTGAGGTGCCTAGTGGAGAAACTCATGTTAAACAACATTTACAAAGATTTAGATTGTTTATAACTAGATTGACCTTGAGCAGCTACTACAAATTATTTTTGTATTTGTACAGAAATCAGATAGACAATCAAAAGAAAGAGCTTGACCACCTGAGAACTGTCTGTGAATCTAAGGATACGATGGAGAAAAAACAGACAGGTATGTCCATCAGGTGTGATGCCTGAATATCTGGTGAAGAGTCACAGTGAAACTGTGTAGACTATTTATTCAAAGATCTTTTAAAGATTGCTTGCGTAGTTTTCTTTGTGTTTCACTCTTCTGATTACACTTGACTGTGATTCTTAATGAAATAGAAAAAAAATCAAATTTCAATGCTTGAAAATTGTCCCTTAATCTTCTCAATATAAAATGAAGGATAAATCCTGTTGTTTTTCAGAGGGCATCAATCAGCTGAACTCTGCAGTTCAGAAACAGGAGAGGGAAATCTCAAAATTAAAGGTAATTTAAAATTATCTTTTATTTATTCATGAAAGCTGAGGCTGATTTCAGTTGATTTACATGTAAGGGGAGGTAATCCAGGGATACAACCTGTATGTCAAAAACTTCTATGAACTAAGTATCCATTATCAAAACAATTTTAGGGAGAGCTGACAGATGCCCAGGAGAGAGTGCGAGGCTTGCAGGCAGCCCTGGACAACTCCTACAAGTAAGTAGTGTCACTTGTCTAAACAGGACCCTGCTCTGGACCAGAAAACTGCATAAATCACATCCTTAAAATGTTTTTCGGCACTATTCACTTTATTGTGCAATTTGTCGTCAAATTTCCTCAAAAATAATGTCCGTTTAGGTGTGATGGAGAAATACAAGATGTCTTTGGTTGTATTTGACTAGAACTGTATAGTGTCGAATATGTTGAAAATGATTATTACATGTTTAAACAATTGTCAACAGATAATTATGGGGTTGTCTAAACAAACCTTAATTGCAGAAGGTTTTTGATAAAGTCCTATTTTGATGATTTTCTTGCACTTTTGTATCTAATTTGTGTTGATTTGATTCTATCCTCGATTAACTGTTATTGTTCAGAGAGATTGCGGAGCTTCATAAATCTAAGGCAGCACAAGATAGTAAGGTGCAGGAGAATGCCCTGAGTTTGGAGATGTCTGTCCGTGAGGAACTTAAGGCTACACTCACTAAAGAACAGTTCAGCTTCAAACAGGAGAGGGAGGCCCTTATAGCTCAGGTTAGGATATAATCATTTTCTCCAGGAATGCTGCTGAGAGAGTTTTACAATGAATGTTGAGAATTCTTACTAGTTTCATCCTTCATAAATAGAGTTGAAACCTTTACTCATACCTCATACTGAATATTTCATGAATAATTTGCATTTTATTATCTCACTTATGAAATCTGATTTATCAGTGAAAGAACGGGGATGGATTACAATGGCATAAAGTTTTAACAAATTGAAATAAAAATATAGGAAATAAGAGGTTATCTAATTTTCCTAAATATTGTTCCCCATGTTAAGTTTCAGTTGTGGTTAATGATCTATTAGTCCAACACCAGTATGCTTTTACATTAACATGCAAGAACTCTGTAATACCATGTACAAATTATTTATCTATGATTATAATTGTTGAATTACCCATGGAGGTATGACAACAATCTTAAGTAGTACTTTATATTGTAGGTGAAATTTACACCTATTTTTTCACTTTTAAAATTTTCACACTCACATTCATGCTCCAATGAAAATATCATTTCTTTAAAAATAACCTTCTATATATTGAATGATAGCTTAGATTATGTGACAGTTATAAGATTTGTACAGCTTTGGGTGCCCTCCCTCTACACGTATGTAATCTTTAGGGTCTAATAAAGCTGCATAGGAATATAGTCACCAAGATATCAGTATTAGTATTATTTTTTGCTTCACAGATTGAGGATCTGAGAATGAGTATGTCTCGAATGGAGAAAGAACATAATCGCAGAGAGGATCTGCTGAGACAAGAAATTTCTGATCTTCAGATGGTATGTACTTATTTACTGGTCAGGAGTAAATGATATCCAGTATAGCCAAATAAAAAGGTCACTGGTTTTTTTTTGACAAGTTTAGATAAATGACTTAAGAAATACAAAGATATTTCAATTTATAAACTTTTAAATCGAGTATCCTTTTTCCATTTGAAACTATTATGATTTATAACATTTGATAATGAATTGTGAAAGATACTCTTACAATTGTAGCATTTACAAGAAGATGAGGCAAGAAATCAGGATGTGACACAGACGGTAACAACAGGTAGGTAAATCTGACACAGACTATAACAACAGGTAGGTAAATCTGGTACAGACTGTAACAACAGGTAGGTAAATCTGACACAGACTATAACAACAAGTAGGTAAATATGACACAGACTATAACAACAAGTAGGTAAATATGACACAGACTATAACAGTTATTACCTGTATACTAATATGACCAACTTAGTGTGATCAGAAGTATCTTGTATACATAGTCTACTGTATGTTAAAGCTAACACATGACATTGTCAGACTTGAGTTGATTTTATTTCTTGACTTTTTTCCAAAACTGATTCAGCTTACAACATCACACTGATACTGATGTACCCATGTGTAAATAATCATCATCTGGTATTGTAATTAATATCCCCTGTGATGAATTCTATTATAGAAAAAAACAATAAGAAAAGATTAACTAGTTTTTCTTTCACCTTAAGAAAAATATGAAATTAATAATCACACATTTCATGCATATGTAAAATTTAATATGTATTCCTGTTTTGTCAATAGCCACCCGACCTCTGTTGAGACAGATTGAGAATCTCCAAACTACTTATGCTGCACAATCTTCATCCTGGGAGAAACTGGAGAAAACTCTTACAGACAGGATAGGTAAACATTTTAATATTCTCATAGTGTAACATAGCTTCAGGGTATTTACAGAACTATTCAACTTCACAAAAGTGTTCTGCTAGCTCTGGTGATGGTAGTATGGAATCTACCTTAAAAAGTGATGCAAACAAACTGTTGTATCAATATAACAGCAAAGATGATATTGATGGGAACCAAATATTTGTTTTACTACGACAGATATATAATGCAACTTGATCAGCATATTTTTTTGTGTTCAGTTGACATTCAGACCCAGCTGACGATCGCTGTGGAAAAGGAAAGATCAGCTAGTGAAAATGTGATTGACCTTACATCTAATGTGACTGCCCTGGAGTCCCAGAACTGTCGTTTGCGCCAAGAGAAGTCACAACACGTAGCTCAACTAGAGATGCTGAAGACACGTGTTGAGGTGTTGGAGGATGCAAAAAATAGGTCAGTTCCACATGATGTAACCGACGAAAAAAGGCAATTTCAAACTTTGTAACCAATTGAAAATAGGTCAGTGTCAAATCACACAGCCATTGAAAAAAGGCAAATTCAAAATTTTGCAGACAATGAAAAGTAGGTCAGTTCCGAATCTTGTAACCAATAAAAAGTAGTTGGTTTGAAAGTGTTGAAACCATTGAAAAATAGGTCAGTTTCAAGTCACATAACAATCGATATTAATTCAGTATAATTTATTAACCAATTTTCTTTTAATTTTGTATTTTAGTGAATCTGCTCAAATTGAGGTTATTAAACACCAGATGTCTCAAGAATTATCTGAAGTCAACAAGGAAAAGGTAGGTAAAATAAATAGATAAAAATTCTAAATTTCATCACTTAAGTTATACCACATTGAATTTCTATATATATTGTGTATCTGTAATGCTAAAAATAGGAGTTTTTCATGTTGATAGTCAAGAAAATTTAAAATTTCTAACAGATGTTTTTGGAGACACAGCTAGACATGGAAAGAACTAAGTTGGACCAGGAGAAAAAGAAGTTAGCCATAGCTCAGGACCAGATAGCACAGCTGGTAAGAACATGTTAGATATACCCCCATCCTAAAACTTTTAACTTCTGCCTTCATTTCATTCTGTGAAATTTTCACATACATGTCAAGTTTGTGATGATCTTATACAGCTAATGAAGGAAATGAAGTTAAAGATGATGATACACTGAAGTACCATTTCAGGTCAAAACACCACATTTGGAATTAGCATATAGAATAAAGAATACAATATTTAATGGAAACGATTCTATTTTTTATTGATCTGAATTTCTTAATTTTAAAAGGAAAGTAAAATTTTGCAATTTTCCTGGGGTCACACAGGCCAGCTAAAGTTAAAAGTCTCAAATTAGGGGATCTTGACAGATTTAAAAATGATATTTTCAGGTGAGGAGCAAAGGTTGTAAAAGCTGCAAAGAACTTAGCCACATATCTGTTCCATCGTCACCTCATAAATGTATCAGATGTTAGCTAGAAATATTTATTCTATTTTTAACAGGAACGAGAAGTTCAGAGACCTCACTCTCGTGGGTCTGTATCTCCCCAGAATGTCCAGCGGATGGACAGTATGTCAAGCTTTGGTGAGCCGCCTGCTCTCAACACATCTTTTACTCAGGTTAGTGAAAATGTTTGTTGTTTGGTGTATATTGTATCTTAGCATTACATTGTATAGCTGTATCCATAACATTGTAACTTGTGATTGCTTCCCTAATTTTATCTTATGTTTCTAGGATGACCTTGAAAGGAACTTTCTGTTGTCTCCTGGGAGTAGTGGACTTGGAAGTCTGACAAAGTCTAGTCTATATGACAATATTAGACAGAGTGGTGCTGCCAATCTGCTGGAGAACTTACAGTCCCAGCTAAAACTTCGAGACGGGGAGATTGTACAGTTACAGGTGAGTGTCAAATATGTAATGAATAAGATATTGACCTAGAAATGTCTCTTTAATACTTGCATAAGCACTGTTTACTTAATTGAATTTTAAAAAAAATGTATTTTTAATACTCGAAAAAACACTTTAGTGTGATAAAAGTTATGAACTTCAGTGATGTAAACATATCCAATCAATAATGACTGATTATACGGCACTTCATTGATACTGTGTGGATACTGTTGGTGAGAAAGGCCTGCGTAACAAAATTGTGCTTATTTTGTTTTTGTTAGAAACAATAAAAAAACAGTCTGTTATTATAATGTTGTGTTTCAGAGTGAGATCCAACAGCTTGAGAGGACCAGGGAATCCATGGCAAGAGAACTGGTTAATCTGACCAATCAGAACGAAGATCTGAAGGGCCAGGTTGTATCATTGCCAGAGATAAAGAGCCAGATGCAGGTCTGTACCACACCTAGATATGTTACTGCCAGGATTACATCACAGATACATTCTGATTTCAGTGACCTGTTGACCTCTTGATATGTGCTTTGATTCAGACCTACTGTTTTATTATGTGTATTTCAAGAATTATGAAAATAGAAGAATTAATAAAGCATTTTCTCAAAGTGTCCTATTCATCCTGCATTAAGCACAAGGAACAAGCACAGGACCACTGACTTACATTCAGGGGATGGGCTTATAGCAGGACATTGTAATAGCCTTTGTTATCATTAATTTCTCTAGCAGTGATATACATTGTGTATATATGGTAAAGTTTACTATCGGACCTGGACTGAATGCCAAATAAATATGGTATATACCAGGCACTGTACTCAACTCTTCAATAATTAATGGGTAAAAAATGGTTCAAAAACCATAGCAGTAAGGTATAGAATGGCTTAATGTAGGTATTATAGATAAGATCAACTTTAATAGATTTTGATTACTGACTGAGGTATACTGTCTTTGTTGTTTCTGGAGAGTTATGTTTAGTCTTTGAGTGTGTCTTCTATTTCTACTGTAGAACCTTTTAGTGACTTTGACTACCGGTAATGGTTGGAATTTGCCACCATTTCCTCAAAAATTTGAAGAATTTCATTGAAATGATGTCAATGGATTTTGAATTTGCAGGACCTAAATCAGCGATACAATGCCATGCTACAGATGTATGGCGAGAAAGTGGAGGAAGCAGAAGAGCTTAAAATGGATCTACATGATGTCAAAGAGATGTACAAAACTCAGGTGAGAAATTACTTGGTAGATTGTATCTTCAAATACAGGAAAAGAAAAAATAACTCCAAAGAGAAAATAACTTAAGTGTAACATAAAAGTAAAAAGATGTCTTGTATGTGATGGCTCAGACAAATCTACAAATAGTGTTAATGTCTCTGTAATAGCTAAGACATGATATCTTTAAATAATGTTGGTTGGTATTGTGCTTTTCATCTCTAAGATTGATTTGGTGTCAGGGTTAGAATATTTGATTGTTTTGCAGATTGATCATTTACTGACCAAGTGAGCAGTCTAGAAAAAGGTGTGAAGTGCAATAGCTGTGAGATGTTGTAGGATCTCTAAACCAACATATCTCTCATATTTCAATAGCAGCGTGGTGTGAAGGTCAAAATAGCAACAACACAAATAGCCACTATGAATTTACACCATTCTCAAGATGACAAAAATTTGTGAGTGAAGCGGATACCACTGAGATAATACATAGACTTTATCTTCCTGAAATGCATTTCTAAATTGAATACATGTAATATGCAAAATAAAAATCCAATGTGTAAGAAAAAGGTGAAAACGTTTTGTAATGACTGATGTGGTTTTGATTACTGGTGATATGTTTAGTGCCAATATTTTCTGATTTTGTCAGATTTATTTGTTGTGGTTTCTGTCTTGTATATTAGATTATTTGTTACATTTTATATGTAATATTACATATGTATATAAATGTATTTATTATGTATCAAGCTCAGAACTACATGGCTGTGTTGACAGGATATGCTGCGGTAATAGCACTAATGTTAAAGGGACAAAATGGTTAGATTTCATTATTTTTCCCCATGTGTTTGATTACAGGCAAGCATTGTAATACTTAAAATTAGACTCCTCACAAAATTATAACACTCTCTGAGAGAAATTAATAAAGATTATCAGCTTCAAACTAATGGTAGTGGACACTCGCTGTTGTGTCTTACCACACACCGCCATTTTGATATGATTACTTACTAAGTATAATTATGTAATTAGCCAAAACTTCATTTGACATGTTTCAATTCGTACTTTGTAAAATAAACATTTTGTTTCGTGCGTGACAGAGCATGCACAAAGACATTGTTTACACTTTCTGAATGATAATGATATGAATTAGTGTTGGGTCACTCCTATTTTTAATTTTTTGATGTTGTTAATAAAATGGCTATGCAAACTTTAAGATATTATAATTAACAGAAAGTACACAATTTTTAACAGATATTTAAATGTTATAATACTTTTTATCAGTTATGAAATGAATATTTAACCATTTAGTCCCTTTAAAAGAAATCAGAGGACAATTTCCATGAACCATCTCCTAATTTGTTCCAGTTTAAAATTTATCAACAAGGTGTTTCTACAAGATCCATTTTTATGTCAGCCAGCTGTCCTTTTTAGCTGTAATGTGATAATTAACATAAAGTTGTTTAATGATATGACAAATGCTTCAGATTTCCATCAAATAAATTGTTTACATTGGGCATTTTTTCTTGCGCTTAAAGTATATCCCAAGAAAATCCAATATTTCATATCATTCCTATAATAGTTTTATACTGGGTTTATTTTAAAGAACAGGTAATTGATAATTCCCTGACAAGTCTCGGATTTAAACATTATAACTGTGAATGGCCACCTCTTTCCTCCTCAGCTGTAGTTTGAAACTGCTCATACATATGGGATCGATTGAAAGTGTCAATCGATATATGGATTTAATACTTCAGACTTGTTTCAAAAACCTCATAGAATAAGATCTCTTGTATTATCATATATAGGTATAAAATTCTCAGACTTTCTCTAATCTCATAAAATGAGAACTATATAGTTACATGCATATGCTATTGGTGATACACATTTTATTTAAAACCTTACTAAAGCAATAACACATCCATGGTTTATAAAGATCTGTCTGACTGGAAATATTAGGGTTATTGCACTGATTTGTTTGGGAAATTTATCATGAGATCTTCAGAGTAGATGCCATTAGGTGCTATAGCACTACTAAATTGTGTACATTCCAGATATAATAAGAGCCTATTGTGTGTAGTGTAACTATTATAGACATACTGTGATAAATTGAAGTTATCTTTTACTAGGATATGTTTTAATGAACTCAGAATTGAACTGAATTTTAAAAGTTCTAATCTGCAAGCAAATGTGAATTTCCTGACTTGAAATTTGATAACCTTTGATATGAGCTTGAGTGCTCAGTAGAGAATACAAGTATATTAGATTTACCTTCAACTGTAGTGCTACACAGGTATATGTTTATATAATAAACAATATATATACATGGCTGTGTTTACGTAACAAATGTATCCATGTAATGTAGTTGAACTACTTTGTGTGAAGAGTCCTATAGTAATATCAATCGGTAATGAAAGTCCCTGTTGGCAATGATAGAAGCAAGTGCTGACAACTTGACAATAATTTCTGATTAAGCTTACTTTTTTAGTAGATTGCAGTGTAGAAGTTATTTAAAATCTCAGTATAACAGCATTCCTTATATTGTAGACTGCAGAGCGTTTAGTTCCTGTCTTTTGTAAGGGATTCTTGTAGTCAAGAAAATTGCAGCAGTGTGATTACAGTGTACTATACCTATCATATTGAAAGTTCAAGGATATTGTGGATAAGTACTCTAAAAAATATCATACAATTATTTGTGATGCTTTGCTTTTATTTACAATGGGTAAATTATGATGAGGGAACTTTAGTTGGAAGGCTTCATATATCAAATTGGAAATTGAGTTATACTATTTAAGTACAGAAGGGAAATACTTATTTTTACCTTGATTTTTATAAATTACTTTTTGTCCTGTATTCTTGGTCACTGATGATCAAAACATGCTTTTTATTATTTATTCTATGGTTAAATAATACCATTGGTGAGATTTAGTATGAATGTGAAAGGTTTCAAATGTGTACAAATAAATATGAGGTTGTTTGACAGGTCTCATTAAAATGTGGGAAGTAAATGATTGAATATAGAATGTTATTGTCTTCGTTATTATTGATTTTGTGTTCATTGATAAAGTGTTCAAAGTTTCATCTGATGTGAAACATTAAAAAATGTATAACAGGTCATTTGACAAATCTGGTCTGTAATTCAGGTGTATAAAGCTAACTACAAATCTATGTAAAAAAGGAAGGTATTTTTGTAGCAAAAAAGGAAAAATAATTTCATTGACATTTGAAAATCAATTTACTTCAATATCAGTTTAACAACATTGATAAGAAACATTTAACATTTTTGAGTAAAATATACCCAAGTTACCTCTCATTAAAAAGTGAATTTCACATAAACAATTGATGTTTGATGACTTATCACAAAATAACTTCCCAGTACATGTACCAGAAGAAGGAACAAGTTTCCATATGGATCGGTCATTACAATAGCCACATATATTGTATATTCCTGTAAACACAGAACTGCCAGAGCTCTGGGGAGGAGTTGGATCATACCGCCAAAGTTTCACTTAAATCACCTTGAGTGTCAATATCTTGTAAAAACACAATCATGTCTTTCGCCGTGTGATGTGGTCATATATGACGGCCTGAACATACTTGCTGGTTTCAATGACGGTCCGCGTGGAATTATCACCTGGTGTGGTTACCTGAGAAATATGAATAAAAAATTAACTAGAAAAAAAGTCTAGACATGTAATACCTGATGAATATCAGCAATGATTTCTATTTGAAAATTTTCTTGTATGACATAAATTGCAAGGGCAGGTTGACAAGACAAATGATCATTTAAATAGATAGCAAACGTCCATCCAAGACAAAAAGCAAAGGAGATAATATGTAAGTTAGTTGAAGCTTGTCTCATTAGTCTTTCCAGTTGTTTGAGGATTTTTTTTAAACTTGGATTTTGCTTCACCTTATTCTGACATTAATTGGAATCATGTAAAGCGGCATAGTAATATTTTCTGATAATTTTTTTCATTTCTGAAAAATTGACTCTTTTTGCAAAATGATATCATTTCCAGGCAATTTAAGTGCAAAAATTATTTGGGTCGTAATAGTGAAATTGTTTTTTGCTTTGTGATTGATATTCCCCTTCTTCTACCATGCATTATGAAAATTGAAAATGCTGTCAAGATAGCATTAAGATTAAAATTTTCAAAACTGTTGCTCAATATGGCAAAGCTTTAAATATGAAGTTCCACCTGAATTTCATCCTGGGGGTAACATTTTCTGTCTACATACACCAGTGATAATTTCTTTTTAAACATTTCCCTATCATCAAAATTTTCGAACATACCTGGTAACAGACATTGACTGTCACTTGAATATATAAGAATGGTGACACAAACTGTCCAAATACAGTCCTTTGTAAAGTGGTCATGTTTTCAGAATATTGTAAGGCACCGAGCCCTTCTCTTACAAATCCTTTAGTGGAAAGTACAGTTCTTACCTTCGGGTCTACATTGATGATTTTTCTGTCTCGCTTATTTTTGAACAACAGTCCAGAGGCATTCTCTGCAATGACCTGGTAGTTGGGTGTTGGGTTAGATGTGGATGTTTGTGTTTCCCAGTTGTAAAAGCTGTAAATTGAAAAAAAAATTGTTTCAAATCTGACTGAATCATTCATTATTTTTTACACTATCACTTCCTCAATATCACAAATACATCAATCAACAAGAGACCCATAGGGCCTGCATTGCTCACCTGGCTTTGTTTCTCTGAAAATGCTCTATCCAATCAAATGTTAAAAGAAATTCTGAAGGTTTATATTGATTTTTACTTGGACCCAACCCTTCTGTCCACAGAGGGTCAGCAAAACAATTTACACAGAAGTCTCTGCCACTAAAGAATGCTTTAGTCAAGTTCAAATCAAATCGGGACAGAATCTTGATATTCTTGCAGAAGTGGCCTGCATCGCTCATCTGACTAATTCAGCTATTCTGTCACTTCAACCAAATATACTTTAAACCAAATTTGGGCAAAATCCAATCATTTCTACAAGTGGAGAAGAACTTTACAGAATATGCTCTATTCCTGTTTGGCCCTACTCTTCTGCCCAAGACCTATCCTATTTCCCCGATTGAGTCCTGCCCCTCACCATAATGGGACTGAGACCTAATGTTTATACAAAATTGATTCCCTTTCACCAAAGAATGGTCAACTGAATTCAGACAATAACCATTCATTTCTACAGGAGGCATAAGAAATTTCTTCTTTTGGGTCCTTCACCTCAAACCCCTGGAGCAATGAAGAAGTATTTATACAAACTTTGTTGTGTTTTTCCTCAAGGATGTTTTTGACCAAATATGGTCAAAATGTGTTTAGTTGTTCATGACTAGTGGTGATTCTTATTAAAAAGTTGACAGACACAAGACGAGACTGCATGCCATCGCATAAGCTTACCAGTCCTTTCGGAACAGGTGAGCTGAAAATTGTGAGATAAAATTCTTCATCAATTTTCCTAAAAAGCATGCAAAGTTTAATTCATCAATCTAAATTACCTTCCAATAACATCATAGTTAAAGTGTCCTTAACTCTTACCTTAAATCAGATGGCCTTGGTAATAATCTTTTTCTTGCTGCGAAGTATGATTCAAAATCTTCTGTTTTCAATCGGTGGGCATAATCAACATAGCCAGAAATCTCCTGTCCCCTTGCATTTTTGTCTCGGATGAAGATTATTGTCTACAAAAATAGAAGTTATGATTTTTTATGTCCTTTCTCTTTTGAATGTAAAGCTGTTGTAATTTTGTGCATTGTGTCCACATTTTTATTAGAATGAAATATCCTATTCAGATAATTTAATTCTTGTGTATTTTTTCAACAAGGAAAAAGGTAAACTATGAGGAATTTTCCCTTGATTTTACTTTCTATAACTTACAGTCATTTTCCCGCTCCTGTTGGCTTCTTCTCTGTGGGCAAGTGCTTTCAAGAATGGGTCTTTTAGTTCCTTTCCTGAACTTGCTAGTGTTCTTAGTGAAAAAAAGAGAAATAACTTTTAAAACAAAATGAGAAAATAGGTTTGATTTCATCTGACATCAAAAAGTCAAAATTTTGTACCGATACAAATAAAACTAACAAATCCTTGTCATACGTAGATATACAATAACCATTCTCTCAAATATACTTAAAACTCTGCCTCACCATCATAAATGTTAGTTAACATCAGAATCCTCTTATATCATTAATCCATGGATCAAAAAACTTTTCTTATATATTTCTTTTTGTTGTGTAATGTATATGCAAGAAGTTATTTAAGGTTATAGATGTATAAAAACAGTCAGAACCTGTACAAATTACATAGCAAGTACATATATTATACACTGAAGTGGGTAGAGAAATAACACCAGCGCTCACTTTTGTTGACTACGTTTAGACAATCGACTGGCCTCTGCTGCTTGTTTCCTTGCCTCAAATTCCTCTCTTTTCAACACCTCCCCACTTCCTCTGTATCCCAATTCCACAACTTGGCGAGCCAATTCTTCATCCTAATGCAAATAAATGATAATATTAGCATTAAATAACATCTACATTTCAGATTACAACTAGCTTGTTGTGTTAAAGAACAATAAAACCACACATTTACCAACTGTGCCGAGTGTCGAGTGACAATGATCATATTTTACACTACGTACAAGCCACACTAACTTATTGCTTTTACACTAATTATTCCCCCAGTTTTCACGAGATTTCAAAACTCCCAACCCACGACTATAGTAGGTACACACTGTGGATGTGGTGAAAGCAGCAGGGTGTGTGCTTAAGTTCAGTTAACAGGAGAGGGACTTCCACTCAAACCAAAGCTAAACATGTTTTATAGTTAAACCTGGGCGCATGATTAGCTGACAACCTCAAGACTCTACTGATTCATAAATCCTTGACATATTAGTTTTGGACCTTTAAGAATAATTTCTTGCTAGCTACACTATGTCGATGAACTTCCCCCAAACAAATACATAAATGAACTGAAATGTGTTTATACTGTAAGATTTATTTAAAAAAAACTGGCCAGTGAAACACCAGTTTCCACAAATACAATCTCAAATTTGCTCACCTGAAATTACCAACATGTGTTTTGAATATGTGACTACATTTCTGTTTCTGATGACATCGCTAAATTGCAGAGATGCTTAAGTAATCTTTCAGTGACCCAGAAGTATACATGTATTACATATAATCACCATTTAAATGGGAATGGGATTTTGATGAAAAAAAATCATAATAAATGAATGGTGCAAAAATGGTGGATATCTGTGTTCACATATGCATATTTTCTATTGGGTCAAATTCAAGTATTTATTGTTTTGGACAGTTTTTACTCAAATGAAAAATATTTCTTGATAAACTTCCTTCTTATAACTCAAATTATATAAATGAAGTTTATTTATCATTGCTCTGTCTACAACTCGCTTGTTTATTAAAATCAGAAAATAAGTCATCAAAAGAGATAATTTACAAATCATCACTTTTCCAGACGTGCATGTTTGGATTTAGTAGCCGAAAAAAAATGCAAGAAAATATGGCCTATTATTCTTAGTTGATTTGTATTCACTTGCCAGACAAAAACAAAACATTGACATCTGAGGTTGGATAAATTGGTTATTTCATCATATCTGGGAGGATGTTTGAGATGTCAAAATGTGTAATAAGAAAAAATACACAAAAGGCAAATATTTACTCATAATATTTAAAAGTAAAGGATTTTCATCAATTTTTAAGAATTCTTTCTTGAAGCGTGACATGTTACAACAGCAAAAATTAGCCGATTGCGTGGTCAAGCAGGTCAATAGTTCAAATGACACAAGTATTGACGAAATAGCCGTTCCGAAATACATAACGGTCCAGAATCAATGTCGAGACGATATTTTTCAACCAGTGTCAGCCATTCAATAACACCGCTCAAACGTAACTATTGCATACACTACATCTAAGGCAAAATGGCAAAAGTATGTTACCTCTAAATAAAAAAGATCTATAGGTTTTATCTGTGAGTCCAAAAAGTCTTCATATGTATTGAATTCGGCAACAATGTTGTCGCCTCCGCTGGTCACTTCCTCCTCCATCTTTCACGTTTTCACGTTGTTTACATGCCTAACAACATCTGATAGTTCACTTCCGCGTGAAAATATAGTTTTAAAAATATTTACTAATTGGACAATTAAGTTCTCACTTGCTAAATTCTCGCAACACAATGTTACAAAAAAGAATTTGTAAATTGAAATTAAAACAATCTTGTCATATTACTTCGATTCTAATGATTATTCACGATGGTGAAAATAGAAAATAGTTCCTTAATTCGGCGTAGTAATGTATAGCTTCTATAGTAACAAAATCACGCGAAATCTCGATCGTCTAATTACATTTTTATATTCGTACAAATTATTTCAAAATAAGTGTATTATTTCCCAACATGAACAATAGCCAGCACTTATTGTTTTCAATCTTTTAAAGTATCCTATTAAAATTGAATTTTTTTCTCGTACCTACGATTTGTAAACGAGTCGTCAAGACGACACTGTCATGGCGGCTGCTGTCGCTGTTTAACCTGTTTTGATTGATCTCAAAGGATATATTCGCAGTATTTTATTATAACTGTCAATGACAGAAATGTAACTCGGTGTTTATCAAATAAGTCAAATAAGGTTTAATATCTGAATTGGAAATACAACGATTTTCGGTCTCTGGTAAGTTAAAAGTTGATGAACAAGCACCTGTCTCTATCATCCTGTTCTCCTGTTCATATTTAACATTCGTTTGAAATTTAAAATTATGCACATTGTTGTACACAGCTTACATGATTAACGTTTTAATAAGTTTGACCATTTCATTTAACTTTCAGTCACATCATGGAATAGATCTTAATCATATGCATTATCGAAACCATATACTGTATAAACAGTTTTTACGTTTGAGCGCAAAGAGTCTTATGTTATTCAACGAAAGTGTCAGATAATAAATTGGGAACTCAGTCTAACGAAAATATTCTTCATATTGATAGAAAGAAAACAAAACACACTTCCACGAGACTGTAATATCGCCTTCAGTGGTTGATGCATTCTGTTTTTTGCCCTTTTGACACTGTCACATTATTTTATGTTGAAATTGCATACGAAGAGAGTCATTGAATATTCATTTCATATTTATAAATTGGTTGTGTGTCATTAAAACAATATTAAGACACAATGTGCTAATGCAATGGTTTTAACAGATGTTGGGTATTTTTTTCTCAATGTGGGTGAGACTAATAAAATGTTTCACAGCTGTGTGGTGAGGACAGGGATATGTGTCAACCTGAACATTGTGATTATTTCAAAACTTTTGCATGAGGCTTTTCTACATATATGAATTTAAAAATCTCACCCTGTTGTTCAGGTAATTAATTATTAAAAAGTATATGGGGTGAAATGCCAATGTATGAGCTGTCTTATCCCTAGGAAAGGATGCATATGTTATTCCCAGAGAGAAACACTTTAACTTGTCAATGAATTGTGGCAAAAATTATATCTTTATCCAGAAAAGCATACGTTCTGCTGCTCAGAGCAAGAAATATGGAAATAGAACCCCGGGACATTGGACTTAGCCCAGAGGTTCTGAGGCAAAATACTATAGTCAAGGTGGAGTTTCCTATTATCATACAGGCTAACTCATTTTTCCTCATTTCCAAATCAGAGTTTTGTTTATATTCAATAATGTTTTGATTATAAGATAAGATTTGAATTAAATTGTCCACCTTTACAGGTTGACAATAATGATTTTTCTAGATAAGTTAGAAATAATAAACCAAGTATATGTTATGAAAAGCCAAGAAAAGCAGTTGAAATTATATGCCAGAAATAATTACAAGTTTGTTTAATAAAAGTTTATTTTCATCATATACTGAGTAGAATGACAGTTAAGTAATGTTTTATATAGATCATGTTGAAAGGACGTTGCAAAATGAACACCACATTCGATATATGATAATTAAGGTACATGCTTTGATATCAAATTTTGACCATGCCCTTCTAAATAAAGGGTCTCCCTGATTAAGAAAGAAAATTCTAATGAAAAACATGTATACCAGGACTGGAGCCCCATTTCGATTTGCTGATAGAATCCCAAGGAACTGTGGTTGATACAGTACTTTATCAATTTTTCTTATCATAAGGTTGGTGTAAGACAGAAAAATTGAAAATTTCAGTAGTTCAGTATTCAGCATCTTATCTTGATAATCATGTAAACTTTTAAGAAATCAAATTCAAAAAAGAAATCATAAGAACATGATAACAATGCTAATCAAAAAGGAATTGATGTCTTAAGGCAAAAACAACCAGAAAGAAATTTTGTCTTTGAGGAAAAAAATCCATCTATATTTTTTTTTATTTCTGGTACAAACAAGAATTGTACATGAAAATGTATATAATGTCTTAAGATAATTTATTATATAACTGCAATCTTACTCAGAAAATACACCATGTGATATTTTAGCATTTGATATTTGTGAAATTTTCATGATATTTTGTTGACTGTAAAATTTTATTGTTATTGTCGATCATTACCTAAGTTGATCTTTACGACCATTTTTAGTTGATAGATTATTAGCATCCTTGTGAAGTCTTATCTTTTGTTGACTTTGTAATTTCCTTTCAGTGTTTGTCTGTTACTTTATTTTGTTGATTTAGATTGTTTACATTTAACATTTTATTTTTGAAATATTAATGTTACCTAATTACAAGAGAGTTCATGTGGAATTTGTCTAAAAGTTATTGTTTATTAAACCAAATTGTTAATAAAGGTTTTAGCATTAAAGAAATTCTACATTTGAGTTAGTGTTAGCTCATATTACCTCTCATTACCCACAAAAATCTCCATTTACCTCTACTAATTACATGTAATCCTGCAACTTGATATTTGTGTCAACACAATATTTTTCAGTCATAAAATTGCTGTTCTGTGTATGATGGTTCTATAAAATATTTACATTGATTATGGTAAACAAAGTTTGATTATCATGTGGTGATGATTCTGTGTGGATGTATATCTATGTGTTTTGATATGCTTGACTGCTTGTTTCAGGCTGATGATCAGCTGATCCATTAGTTCTACAGCAGGTCTAAATTATTGATGATGTGGATGCTACTGAAACTCAGAAGGTGTTTAAATACTAAACTTATGTTTTTCATTGTTTTTAGAGTGAAAACTTAGCTACCCTCTGTCAAGATGGTGCTGACAGATCTTCCTTTTGAGCATGGTGCTCTGATCCACAGTCGATACTCAACGATTCGTCGCCCTGACAGTGCTCCAGCTGGCATGAAGGATGATGATGAAAAGCGACAACGCAAAACCAAATCCTATGCTACATTTCTAAGGTAAGGAAGAGAATAAGGATAGTAATATATTGATGTAATTTAAAGGAATGATAACTGTATATAACTTTTGTGTGAAAATGGCATTATATAATCATACCAAGGAGAAGTGTTGTATAAAGTGCCATAAATGCTATCATATGCATGGCCATTATAACGAAACAATTTCTGGTATAGAAAAAGAGATGGCACGTCATCAAAATGGCTGTTCCACTTGGTGTATTACACTGTAACAAATGCTTTCATTAAGTTTAAATGAAGCTTTAATCTGTGTAAGACAGCAACATACATAGGCAGTTAAATATATATATTGTGTTTTGTTATGGCATTGATGGTTGTTATAAATGACAGAACTTCACAAGTAAACATATCATATTGTGCCAGAACACACTTTGATGGATGCAAACATAGCTCTTTCATTTAGCATGACTATAAATGCCACAACAAGCAGTTCAATGCTTAAATACATAATGAATTATCAAAGTGACATATATGACACAAACATTAAACATTGTTTTGTTGTTATTTTGTTAATATATGTACAAGGACATATTAATCTTAACAGGAGACTTAAAGTCAAATCAATTAATTACATTTGGACATAAGTTATCAATTAGTCATAACTTTTCCTTCAAAGTCAAAGTATTGAAAAGTGAGGAATCATTTAGCACAAACAGAGAGGATCTCTTTGTCTACATTAACAATGTCATCTGACTTTTAGGTGAAGATATAAAATAAAAACATAAAATAGACCATTGCATTGTTTTCTTCTGTTCCTAGAGAACAAGAAAGAAAAGTAGGCCCGGAAGGATTCCTTGATTCCAGTAGGTATTCACATTCTTTTGTGGTAAAGAAACAAAAGCAAAAGATGCGAAAATCAGCAGATTCGGGCATTCCTAGCCGTCCTTCAGTTGTTTCCTTCAGTGCCAGAGTAGAGAAGGATGGAAAAGACCACAAGAAGAGGATGAAGGTTATTGAGGTCAGTGTTCTAATAGGAATGATTTCAACATCTAAAAGTGCATGCTTGAGTGTGAAGTGTGATAATCTTAGGCAGTAAACTACAACATGCATGCCACAATATACATATATACCATAACTGACTCATGCTTGTACTGTTTTCTAAAGTTGGTTTATTTTACAAGAGATATATACTGTTGTTGGTGAAACAATTTGGGGATCTGTGAACTAACTAACATACAGTTAAAATATGCTATAATTTGGGGATCCGTGAACTAACCAAATATATAATTACAAGATGTTATACACAAAAGAAAGTCTTGTTTATCATGATATGGTGGGTTAAAATTTTTTTTCTGTAATGTGAATACCTGTTTCTTATATGGAGATTGTGTAAGAATCAATTTAATTAAAGATTGATGAACATTAAAACATTTTCAATGGCATTTAATAATCATTTGTAAAGAATCTGAAAAAATGAAAATTGGCTTTTGCAAATGACTATCAATTGGGATCACTATTAATGAATTACTGAATTTAGAATTGCTTCATTTCATAGTGAGTTTCTGTAGGTGCATACTTTTGGAAGTATTAGCTGTAACGTGTTTTGAATATTTTATGGTAATGTACTGGGTATGTGTTCTAATCTGTATTGTTGTAATAAGGATATATGCTACCTGATTATGATGTAATACCTCCCCTAAACTTGAATTGTATAGAATCTTCCATAATTGCAAATCATAAATATTTAGTTTGGTTACAAATGATGCATGATCCACAATATGGCAATGTGTGTTATACTTAAGGTAGTGTATATCCTTATATGGTGAAGTCAATATTTTTCAATACAATTATGTTAAACGCCCATTTCCACAGGAAGGCCAGATGTCCTTGAGGGTAATTATAGACGTTCTAATATTCTCTGTAGTGGTACAGACTGACCAGGTTAAAAATGACATCACTCAATTTGATAACAACAAACCTCCCTAATGATATATTGACCATATATCACAATTCCACATACAAGGTTACAATTTGGAATTAGTGTAGTTAACAACATTGAATATGTTCATGTTGGCTTCTCTTTTGATTTACGGTCTGTCTGTTTTTTGTGTAGAGTAGACTTGGTGTAATATGTACCAAGTTGGTTGGAATACTTCAAGTTCAAATATTTTATTATATGTAAGGTGTCAAACACATAATATACATTTGTAATAATTATAAAATCACATCACATCATAAAAAAATGCCCAGCAAAACTGGCATCCTTTCACATGAATTCTACCCCATATCACCCAAAAGAGCAGTATTACTGGCATTTCTAGTAGCTCTTAAGAAATATCTTCAGGCCTAATTTTGAACCAGTGCCATATATCTATATTTATTAAATCCCAATAACTGCAGCACTGGTTCAACCAGTCAGCTGTATAATCTACAATAAACTTTCATATGAAAGCAGTTTTACAATAATATGAATGATATATATAAACATGTATTTTTATTGTCCTTCCTGGGAATAATGTTTACCAGCTAAATGTATCTGATGTTTAATGTATGTATTGTTCAAGATATGAAAAAAGGAATATGGCAAAATCTTGGGCTGAAAATAGGAGAAGCTTTAACTGTCTAAACAGGGTTAAGGTAAAACATTTCTTGGCATTTTCTGACCTGCATTTACAGACATAAGTTTATTAGAGGAGACATATACAGTCTTAAGACCATTATAAGTATTTAAGAAACTTTCTGTAGAATTTCCCTAGTCATCATTTCCTAGTTGTATATAACATGTAGAGAGGTAAGAGGTCAGTCTGCTTATAGAACTACCTAATTATTGCAATGTTTTCTCCTTTGCAGTCCTACTAATTGTAGACAATATAACAACGTAGAAAGATGTAGGGTTATTTGACATGTATTAACCATTTTCAGCTGAGAAAATATTGAATAAAGTTAAAAACAGGCTGACTCTTAAAAAGAGATATATCACGTTGTATGTCAAATGTTCTCATCTTAGCCTATAAACTGATACTTACCTCCCTCCACTCAGTATTAAATGGCCATCATCTACCTCCACCCTTTTTAAACTACCTGTCCCCTCTTCCACCCTTTATAAAATCTGATCCTATTCAATCCAACGCTAACCATGACCATCTCCACCATCCATCTTGAATAAACTGACCCTTCCTCATCATGTATATACCGACTTTCTTTTCCAACCTCCTTTCATGTACTGATCCTCTCCTTCCACCTTGTAAAAACCGACCTCCCTCTCTTCACCCTGTACAAGCTGACCCCCTCCTACCTGTATAAATTGAACCCTCCTACCCTTTATAAACTGCTCCCCCTAATCTGTTTAATCTTTCCCACTCTAACTCTCTATAAACTTACCTCATTTCATCCTGTGTAAGGTGACTTCCCTCTTTCTGCCCTTTATAAACTGATCTCCCTCGTCCTACCCTGTATAACCTGATATCCTCCCACCCTATATAATCTGATCCTCTCCAAACATCTATAAATCGACCCCTCCAACTCTGAATAAACTGACCTCTTTCCCCCAGTATAAACTGACCCCCTCCCACCCTGAATAAACTGACCCCTTTTCTTCCTGTATAAACTGACCCCCTTTCTTCCAGTATAAATTGATCACCTTCCCCTTTATACTGACCCCCTTCCCCCAGTATAAACTGACCCCCTTTCTTCCAGTATAAATTGATCACCTTCCCGTTTAACTGACCCCCTTCCCCCAGTATAAACTGACTCCCTTCCCCCAGTATAAATTGATCACCTTCCCCTTTATACTGACCCCCTTCCCCCAGTATAAACTGACTCCCTTTCTTCCAGTATAAATTGATCACCTTCCCTTTATACTGACCCCCTTCCCCCAGTATAAACTGACTCCCTTCCCCCAGTATAAATTGATCACCTTCCCATTTATACTGACCCCCTTCCCCCAGTATAAACTGACCCCCTTTCTTTTCTTCCAGTATAAATTGATCACCTTCCCCTTTATACTGACCCCCTTCCCCCAGTATAAACTGACCCCCTTCCCCCAGTATAAATTGATCACCTTCCCCTTTATACTGACCCCCATCCCCCAGTATAAACTGACCCCCTTTCTTCCAGTATAAATTGATCACCTTCCCCTTTATACTGACCCCCATCCCCGAGTACAAACTGACCCCCTTTCTTCCAGTATAAATTGATCACCTTCCCCTTTATACTGACCTCCTACCCCAGTATAAACTGACCCCCTTTCTTCCAGTATAAATTAATCACCTTCCCGTTTATACTGACCCCCTTCCCCCATTATAAATTGATCACCCTCCCCTTTATACTGACCCCTTTCTCCAGTATAAACTGACCCCCTTTCTTCCAGTATAAATTGATCACCTTCCCCTTTATACTGACCCCCTTCCCCAGTATAAACTGACTCCCTTCCCCCAGTATAAATTGATCACCCTCCCCTTTATACTGACCCCTTTCTCCAGTATAAACTGACCCCCTATTTGCTCTTTTACCCTATTTTACCATGTACAATTTGACAGCTAGTTTTATTTAAATTTTGAATAAACTTTATTGAGGAGACATTCTTGTATCTAGATACATAGTGTTGTAGAGTGTCATACACAATTTAGCATTATCATTTCTTTATATCTATTATAAAAAACGTTTAGTTTAGTCCTCATTGGATGTTTCAGATTGAGAATTTTGATAATGGTGTTTTTTCAATAATGTTCATTTCTTTGGTTTATCTAACCTTTCCATATGACGTGTTCATGTTCTTCATATTCTGTTCATGAAAAGAAGAAAAAAGATGAAGAAATAATATTTTCTTGAATATTGTGGACTTGCAGTTTTAAACATTGCACTATGGTATCAAATGTCCAACATTCCATTACATATTTGAGTTTAGACAAACTTATATATAAGCAGTCATTTATAATCAAGTGTATTGTTTTGTATCAGATATTTTTCTTAATCTGGTGTACAATTTGATAACTATCACCTCTTCATGTCTAACTATTACATTTCTGTACTTCAAACTTCCCTTTTCATGGTATATGGATATTTTGGGGTTAGACTCCGAATTTCACTTGTTTCATGGATATTTTATTTCATGTCATAATTTTGAGTTTACCACATCCTGTAGTTACTGTCACAAACATTGCACATTTCCAATTTTCCTAGTTTGTATTATTTTTGTGGTTTTGTTGGTTATACAGGTTTTGTGAAATTGGGTTATTGCAAAATCATCAAGATTGTTTTAAATGTTATATTTATGTGTAACACAATTTTGAACATACTATCAACTGGTGGTGTAAATCTAGATATGTTATTTTGTAAAATCTTTAAAACTCCACTTAATCTATGAATTTTGGAAAGACAAGTGAAAAATTATAAAAAAAATAAAATATTGTATTTTGTGAAATTTTTAGTGGAAAGTTTGAGATATGTGCTGCCATGATGTTATGTCTCTAGTATTGAAACATTTTACAGAAACTTCTGATTATAACTCAGGAATCATTCAGTGATTACTTTGTGTTCAGACTAACACAACACTTACATATGTTTGGATTATCTGTAGGATCACATGTGGCAACACAAACAAGAGGAGAGAGAATTAAAACGTGTAGAAGGCGATATTATCAAGAATCAGCGTGCAGTTCGACACACTCTCCGCGACTTTGAGAATGGTTAGTGGTGACTCGGACACAATAGTTATTGTCCCTTTTATTCTACATAGCAGACTTTATTCTGAATATCATTAATTTTTCGTTAGGGTTTTATTTTTGTTAATTTTGTGTGTGCTCTAAATCCATGAATTAATATGTCCACAAAATGATGAAATAAGTACAAGTTGATTAATTGAGCTATAACTATCCACAAATTGAATATCCATGAAGCATCATTTTTTTTGAAAATCCACAAAAATTGATCCCCATAAATATATGTGATTTCACAGTATGTCTTTTGTACCAATTTCTAAATGTAGGCTTCAGTTGCTAACATTTTACATTGAACTGAGATGTGATCAATGCAAAATGACTGATGAAATGGGTTTCCATCATTTCAGAATGTATTTTAGCACCTTCAGTTATTTACCACAAAATTGTTAAAGAAGTATGTGCCAGAACCAAATTTGTTTCAGATAGCCCGACTAGTTCAAGAAGAGATAAAATGTTCAAACTTACATACAACATACTAATTTATATACCTGTAATGTTTCTACTTGATATATAATTCTAACTGGTCATTTCATCAATCACATTTGGGCTATTGTTTTTTATCAATCCCGTTTGGCAGGAGTTCATGATTACTGCTATGTAAATTAACCACTGTTATCTGGAAAGACATTCATCAGGATCATATTTTACATCATACCAGTATTAGGAGAAAGACTTTTTGGCAAAAGTGAAGAGTACTTATGATCATTCCTATACAAGTGGATGGTAGTAAGGAAGGAAGTGCTGCTCGTGAATATCTGCATTAATACAATGTAAGGGTATCTTGACAAGGAAACATATGTTGTCTCTCTGACCTACAAAGGTTTTCTTCCAGTTTTGTCCCAAAAGACAGTTCTTTAGGTCCAATATATAGTCACTACTTTGGTCCAACACACAGTGACGTTACTTCATCAACTGTTATTTTCAAAAAATCATGATTTGCTCCAAAGTGAGTTTGCAGATACATGTAACAGATTTCAATATGGATTTATTTTAAATTTGGATGATTACATTGGTTAATCACATCACCCTCATCGACAATTCTTCTGATTTCCACAGCGATTAACAAAAAGAGGATGCAAGAGGAAAAGAAGCTGAATCAGGGACTGGAGGTCTACACCAAGATCAGGCGGGACTTTGTTCATAAAAAGGAGGAGGTAGGAGGGTGTATGATATTGTGGAGTCATGTTGGGCAGAGGAATAAGATATTGTGGGGGTAGCAAATATCAGATGTTGTTGAATGTGAAGTACTACATATTGTGGGATGAAGTGTATCTGATATTGTGGGATTAGGGAGTACCTATCTGATATTGTGGGATTAGGGAGTACCTATCTGATATTGTGGGATTAGAGAGTACCTATCTGATATTGTGGGATTAGAGAGTACCTGTCTGATATTGTGGGATTAGAGAGTACCTATCTGATATTGTGGGATTAGGGAGTACCTATCTGATATTGTGGGATTAGGGAGTACCTATCTGATATTGTGGGATTAGAGAGTACCTATCTGATATTGTGGGATTAGGGAGTACCTGTCTGATATTGTGGGATTAGGGAGTACCTTCCTGTTATTGTGGGATTAGAGAGTACCTATCTGATATTGTGGGATTAGAGAGTACCTGTCTGATATTGTGGGATTAGAGAGTACCTATCTGATATTGTGGGATTAGAGAGTACCTGTCTGATATTGTGGGATTAGAGAGTACATATCTGATATTGTGGGATTAGAGAGTACATATCTGATATTGTGGGATTAGAGAGTACCTGTCTGATATTGTGGAGATTCTGATATTGTGGGAGAGTACCTAGAGACCTAGGGAGTACCTATCTTATTGTGGGATTAGAGAGTACCTGTCTGATATTGTGGGATTAGAGAGTACCTGTCTGATATTGTGGGATTAGAGAGTACCTATCTGATATTGTGGGATTAGAGAGTACCTATCTGATATTGTGGGATTAGGGAGTACCTATCTGATATTGTGGGATTAGGGAGTACCTATCTGATATTGTGGGATTAGAGAGTACATATCTGATATTGTGGGATTAGGGAGTACCTGTCTGATATTGTGGGATTAGGGAGTACCTTTCTGATATTGTGGGATTAGAGAGTACCTTTCTGATATTGTGGGATTAGAGAGTACATATCTGATATTGTGGGATTAGAGATTACCTACCTGATATTGTTCGTTTGGGGAGGTATCTGATATTGTGAATTGATGAGTATGGTTTTATGGAGTGGAGAGTATACAATATTGAGGGATGAAGAGTGCCTGATACACATATTGTGAATAGTCTCTATTATTGTGGAATGGAGAGTATCTGATATTGTGAGGTGGGGAGTATCTGATACATGTATTGTTGGGTGGAAAATATCTGATATTGTGAGACGGGGAGTATCTGATACATGTATTGTTGTGTGGAAAATATATGATATTGTGAGGTGCAGAGTATCTGATACATGTATTGTTGGGTTGAGAATATCTGATATTGTGAGGTGGGGAGTATCTTATACATACATTGTGAGGTGGGGAGTATCTGATACATGTATTGTTGTGTGGAAAATATCTGATATTTTGAGGTGGGGAGTATCTGATACATGTATTGTTGGGTTGAGAATATCTGATATTGTGAGGAGGGGAGTATCTGATACATGTATTGTTGTGTGGAAAATATCTGATATTGTGAGGTGGGGAGTATCTGATACATGTATTGTTGGGTTGAGAATATCTGATATTGTGAGGTGGGGAGTATCTGAAGTATCTGATATATGTATTGTTGGGTGGAGAATATCTGATATTGTGAGATGGGGAGATTGTAATATTGTATTGTTGGTTATATTGACTTGTTGTTACCAGGTATATACTGTTATGTTGATTCTTATCTAAATGTGCATGGATATGAGTTGATCTGATATTAACATGCTTGATTAGTATATAGATGGAGCAATAATACATCCATGGCTTAAAGTAACCATTTTGAAAATCTTATTATTTTGTTTATAATGTACTGAAGTATTCAGATTAGGTAAATATTTTATCTTTATAAAATCTTGGGAAAGAATATAAATTTTCTCTCTACAGCTAACAAAACAGAGAATTGAAAAAAATGCCCTGAGTGATCAGGAGGCTAAGAGAGAGGGTAGAAAAATTGCCATTAGAGAGTAAGTTTGGTGGCCGAAAGTGCTTAAAGCCAGCGGCCTGCTACACCTATTGTATTTCTTCTTTAGTGATTTTATATATTTCTTATCAGAGATTTCTGTAAAAGTCCAATTTTTAGATTTGAAAAAAAACTTTATAGAAACAAAAGTAAAACGTAATTTGTTTAATCCAAGTCCAGATCTCCGAATCTTGATTTACAGAAATCTCTGTTGACTTTTCATGGCAAGAGTTGTGATTAAAACCAGCAAACCTTGATGTTGCCTGTACTTATTTTTGTATTTTAAAGTTAAGAGTTTCATGTGGAATGTGAGCTATGGCAAATTGATGACTTACAGAGTGAATGATTATCTTTGATAATACAGTGTACATTAGAAAATGTTTTATAAAAGAATTGCTCAGAATGCTAATTCATTCCCTAAATTTTCTTTATGTGTACTTGCATTTATGAAAATAGTACTAATGGTAGCCTGCCAAAGAGAAAATGCACAGTTTTTAATTACATAACAATATAAAATTATCAAGATCTAGAAATTTCTCTCTTGTATTGTAAATGCAGTAGATAATTTGGGACGAAATGTGTATTGATATTTTTATAATCCTGTTAAGAATCAATGTACTACAACTCAAAGATTGCTGGTGACTAGATTTTAGTTATAACCATTAACATACACATTAAGTACATGTACATGTAGTTTTGAAGAATTCACCTGACTGTTTGAACATAACATTTCTGGGTTTGTTTTCTGTTTGACTTCCGTTCAAGAGAGTTCAAAATTAAAAAAAGAAAACTGCTTAAAGCTGATATTTATGGAATATGTTTAAAAAAGAGAATAGTAAAAAAAAAGAAAACAAATACTTGCTCTTACAGAAAGTATGTATTTGAATTGTTCAAAGACTATTGTACCTGTTTATCCACCTGTGATTGCTTTACTAACCAGCACTGCTTGATTCCTAACCAATAGAATAGATAGTTAAGTTTGCGTGGTTACTTAACAGTTGACCATAAGGTTGGATTCCATGTTCCCTCCTGGAGTATCTTGGTAGTGTCAGTAATGAGATGTTTCCCATTTCAGTTGACAAAGACGCGGATACAACATACCATCTCTACAGAACACAATACAAAATGGCAGGGCAGAAAAAATGAACTTCAGCAGTAAGTTTGGTTGAGAAATTCACCAAACTTTTGTCATACTCAACAAATATTAGCAATCTGATTGGATAAAATTTGCTCAAAACATGTTTCATTCAGTCAGTAGCTTTGTTGTTTTATTGTTTTTTCAATGTTTGAAATTGATTTGGTGAATTTGGAGTTATAAGCAAAGATTAAATTATTAAGTTTTTTGAAAGTTGTTTTTAAATATGATTTAGTAATCCTACTCAGGCAGACAGTGTAACTGCTTTGTTTGAGGTCTTTTTCTTGGATGTAGTCATTTTTTAAAATTCCTGTCCTTCATTGATTAAAAGTGAGATGTTACTTAAAAAGATTGCATACAAGATATATTATTTACCTATTAACTCAACAGATTTAGTTCATATCAATACCATACTGCCATGATATTAATTTTGTCATCGGATTATATTTTAGTGGTCATAGGTCAGGGTTAAACGGTTAGTGTTCATACTAGACCAATTATAAAATTAAAAGATGAAGTAGTGGAAGACATTACTTTTATGTGTGTGCCCCCCCCCCTCCCCCTCCCCCCTTCTTCCTTGTTCTCTTTGTTCTTATTTTTGTTCATGTTAAAAGTACTTTCCCTGTTGCATATAAAATATTTTCAGGGCTAGTTCTATATCATAGTGTAGTCTGTCTTCTTTATATTTGATTTTTATAATAACATCTCAGATTTTCGTAGATAAATCACACATCTTATATACTCTTTCTCATTCTTATAACAATAAGATACATATATATTTTTTATATTATTATCGCACTGATAGTGTAGCCTTTACCTAGAGTAATCTTCATCTTTAGTGAAGAGTTTTAACACAGGCCATTGCTATTTATAGTAATAGATTAAAATATCACTCTATCATCTGTCTGGCAATTTCATATTTGTTTTAGATATTTCTACATCTTATATATATATATAAAGTTGAGCATCACTTCAGTGGAGGAAATGTGTTGTCTTTTACAAGCATATCAACAAATTTGTGATGTGAGGTTGATATTTCATACCAATATCATTATTTATATTTTTAATATTTTTAAAAGTATCGGAATTAATATGTCCATTGAAAACATTTAAAGATATTTTCTCCATTTAGATACATTGTGTATAACCATCTTTATTCTGCAGTAAGCTCATTAGCCAGTATGTTTTTTTCTTACTTAAGAGTCAAAGGGATGGGCTTATAACAGGACAATAAGCCCAGGGAACCAACATGTTATTTCTTACTCAGAGTCAAAGGGATGGGCTTATAACAGGACAATAAGCCCAGGGAACCAACATGTTATTTCTTACTCAGAGACAAATGCATAGGCTTATTATAGGACTGTGGTTTATAATTTGACAGCAGTACATAGGTGGGCTTATTACCAGTCAATGACTTATTGCAGGATGGATATACTGTTTTTATATTGGATATAATAATATTATAGAGTAACATTCAAAGTCAACATTCTAAAAATCATAATTTTAAGATGATTTTTAAAGAAACAGAGTAAATAAATCAGATTGAATATCTTTAAAATGTTGTGATCAGAAATGATGTTTCTATAAATTTTAATTCTGAGAATATGGTAGTATATCTTAATTGGTATATGCTGGAGTTTATTACATGAAGATCCATCACTTGTATGCCTCCACTTTAAAGGTCAGACCTTTCCCGACAGTACCGTGCAAAAATGAGTGAGATGGAACTCAAGAGGATCGAGGTGCTCAGAATGAATCAAGAATTCGAATCTAAAATGAGACAGAAAGAGGTAAAGAGGTCTTCTGATTTTGTAAATGTTGTCCTTACGTTATTAAATCACCTATGTAAAATAATAGTTGATATTACCAGTAACAGCCAATCAAGTTTCATATTCATTATCTGATTGGCATGTTCATCATTCTAGAAATGAATACTGCATTCAGTCATTTGGTTATTTCAGAACAGAAATGAAAAGTTGATATCAAAATTTTTCTCTTCAGAAATATTGACTCATGAATGGCCAATGTTTATACTGGTGTTGAATTTTTAGCTTACTTAGTCCAAAAGACCAATGTGTTTATGTTATACCATGACATCTTAGGTCCAACTGCCACCTTTTTTCATTACAAATTACTACTTGATTCATTAACAACTGAAGTGATTTTGACCAAATTTAGTGAGCAGCACCCTTTGGAGAACTGTAATTAATTTTGTTTAAACTGTGGGTCTTGTCCCTGCACCAGGGCCTGATGGACGGGATCAAGTTGGAGAGAATTTTGTGAATGCTATAAATCCTTCTTTTTCAAAAAAAAATGATAGGGGTTTGTCTAAATCTGTTCCTAGGTAAAGGCAACTTAATGTTGTATAAATAATGGGTCAGACCCCACCCCTGGAGGCAGAGGAGTGATGCTCATATTGGGAAATTAATAAGCAGTTTTGATATCCTTTTTCCTATGTTGGGATTAAGGTATTTTGTTCAAGATTGATCAGAAGCATTAAGAGAAAGGGAACCAATTTTGTATAAATGATGGGTCTCAGCCCACTTGGGGTTGAGGAGCAAAGCCTAATTAGGGATATACTTCTGTAAAAAATGACAAGATTTTGCCCAAATTTGGTCTGCAGCATCCTTATGGAAAAACACTGAATTTTATATAAAAGATAGGTCTGACCCCTCTGAAGTTTCCAATGAGTGAAAATTAGCCAATTTTTAAATTTGTTCTTTTGTCTCTAGGAATGATAGAATTTTGTTTAACCTTGATCTCAAGCAGTCTTTGTTTGAAAGGACCCAATTTGTGTAAAGGGACTTAAGACTGAGGGGCTTGGCCATGTAGAGCAGATGGATATCAATTTGAAAAAAGCCATCTTCTTCTAATGCAATAAAGTTATACTTACACAATTTTTTTTCAAACATCCTTTGATGAATGGGACTAAGTATGATGGTAGATAGGAGCAAGTGAGTGACACAGGCTGTATTGGCCTAAGGTATAATAATGTTTATTGTGATAACGATGATGTTACATTGATGCTTTCAGGATGAGCAGCTCAGGCTACAGAATGAACTGGCTGAGCTGACCATTAGTCTGAACATGGAATCTCAAAAAGGCAGAGTGATGAGATTTGATGCAAACAAGTAGGTTTTACATAATCTGAAATTTTTATCTATGCTAATAAGAAAATGTTAACTGAAACTGTTAAAGTAAACAAACCTCTGCCAGATTTTTTGAAAAGTATCTCTGTTATCTATCTTATGATTCACCTGTAATTAGCAGTAATAAAGTTAAACTTTGTTTGTCTTTCCATTTCAGGCAACGAAAGAAGGATCAGACAAACAAGATACAAGAAAATTTACAAGGTGTAGAAAATGTTAAAAATAAATTAATGTAAGTATTTTTCTTTTTACAAATTAGAATATTAGTTTGGTTAGAAATGTTATATGAATAATTGATATATAGATATAGTATTAAATTTGTAATACGGTGACTTGTTATTTATGAATAAGTTAGTTATACTGTTATATTTATGTTATACTGGGGTGTTTTCTTGATGAACAATACTTTACATGGAGATGCAGATGATGGTTTAAAATAATATAATTTCTGTTACAATACAGATTAATGTGTATAATTGTTTATTTCATCAGGAGAAGTGACGGTGATACAAAGGCAGCAGAAATGAACAAAAGGAAGTTGAGTGCTGATCTGTCCCTAACTAAATCTCACCTAGATATCAAGAAAAGAGACGGTGAGTCTGTATTATAGCAAGTATGTTGTAATAGTGAGATAGATAGACTACAATATAAAAAGAATGGTCTGTATTATAACAAGTATGTTGTATTAGTGAAATAGATAGACTACAATATAAAAAGAGTGATGCTGTTGAATTAAGGGAACTTCATCACTGATATATATACATTTGTGTTCTAGCAATACTTTCTACTCTCTTTCAGAACAAAGACACTTAACAGACACACAGTTTAGACTAGATGATAATTCTAACATACAGCGACAACTAAACGAGGCTGCCTTCCATGCTAATCTGGATATGAAAGCACGTCAAATTGACCAGAAACTTGAGGTAAGTGAGTCGTCTCCTCTTGGTTTTTTGTTCATACATGTATAAGCAATGGAGATATTGTCAGCCATTCATTTCATACTTGATCTGCCTAGAATTTCCATTGGGATGACTGTGTGTTTGAAATTTCAAAGCAACTTGAAAAAACTTCCTTAAATTTGGGAAACTAAATAAAATTTTTAAGCTATTAAAAAAAATGTTGTTGATCAATGATTCATCTAAGGATAAAAAATAGAGAGTCACTCTTTAATTGGGAACATTGGCAAGTATGAGGATGTTATTGAAAATGCAAGGGGAAATAACTCTGTCTTTCTTGTCGTTGAAAAATTGACATTTTATTTTTTTTATTTTGGTTTTTTTAACTTAAGTGATCAATACACTTTAATAGTCATAGAACTTTTCTTCTTCAATAACCCTCATGATTATTTAGTTTTTTTGATATCTCATGAAATGGTATTAAGGTGAATTCTTGTACAACAGTTTTTAAAATCATATGGGTGAAGGGAGAAAACTCTTTGATATTATCAGGATGTGTATGTTTTTACAATAATGCAAGTTGTCTCTCTTTATCTCGGTGTGATATTTTATGATAGTATTCATAATTGAATGAAAGAGTGCACTAGATCCACACATTATATGTCTCAGTATAGAACATTTACTGTTGGTTATCATCAGACAATGAACACTATTAACCATGGGGAGAAAGCAGTGACTGTCAAGTGTGATAAAATTTATTTTGTAGCAGGTGATGTTGTGCCAAATAAACAATAACGCTGGGTTTGTTCAACCTTTAATCGATTGATCGATATAAAATTGACATTCTGGAATATACAATAAAACATAATCAAATACTCTCACAACTTCACAAATCTCTTGTTACATATTCCACAATTCATACTCTTCTTTCATTAACACATTACATTTCACTGAGTGAAACAATATTAATACTTCTACATTTGAATAAGATATAAGAACCAATAAAATACTTTATAACATGACCATTCCAATAGTAATAGAGTAAAATCACACAAACGTACACGTCATATATAAGTTTGCAACACTCAACAATATCACCTCATCCGTCATTTATAGTAGAACTACAAATAAGAAATAACCTCTTATTCAGTTTACAGAATATTTCAAGCAAGAAATGCATAACGCTTATACATTTGTAAAGTATAGGATTTACGAATATTATAATACATATACATCGTTGATTCCAAATATTACCCTGAACGTTACAGTTAAAACATTATTGCAACAATTATATTGTTCATACAAACACTCATCACTCACAGGGAAAATATATTAGAAGAAATACTTTAACTAGAAAGAAAGAAAGTTCGAGAAAACTTACCATAAAGACAAAACCCAAGGAACCTGACATTTGAACATCAAACAACTTTGTCTAAGTCCATCAAATGTCTTGTGTCCAGTCGGTCAGTGAACACTAATCACGTACACAAGTACATACATATACACTACACAAAGGGACGCGCTCGCCAATACGTATAAATGTTACGCGTACAGGTAAAACGTGATACTAACAATGTATTCGCAATAATAAATAATTCACACACATATACATAACCACCTAAACTACAATATAAAATATAGATACTACAGGAATCACTACCAATATACAAAATATGACCCTATTACAATTTATTTTACAACAATTGCAAAACAAGTTTTTCCAACTTATACTCATCACTCTTGTTGGCCCAGATGGAAGCATGCTAGGGGTCTTACTGTGGGATTAAACCGGAGTACCCAGAGAAAATCCACATGGTCAGGCAGATGACCCCATACCCTTTTCACATTCATTCCAGGAATCGAACCCCTGCCGGTTAGGTGAAAGGCGAATGCGTTTCCACTGCACCACCTGACCACTCATTGCCTGCTTTCCGTTCAAAAAACATTATTACCACCCCTTCAATCCTTCAGTGAATTGTACTTTGTCACTGCCCTTCCTCCATCATTAAGTAAAAATTGTTTCTTCCCCCTGCCCCATCCTTCAGGAAGCATTGTTTCCGTTCCTCCACCCAACCTTCAGTAAACTTTGGCATTGCCCCTCCCTCTTCCTTAGTCAAAATTGTTTCTGCCTCTCCCCTATAACTCTGTAAACATTATTTCCACTCCTCCCTATCCTTCAGTAAAGTTGTCACAGCTCCTCCTCTATCCTTCAATAAAGTTGTCACAGCCCCTCCCTCATCCTTCAATAAAGTTGTCACAGCCCCTCCCCCATCCTTCAATAAAGTTGTCACAGCTCATCCCCCATCCTTCAGTAAAGTTGTCACAGCCCCTCTCCCATCCTTCAGTAAAGTTGTCACAGCCCCTCCCCCATCCTTCAGTAAAGTTGTCACAGTCCCTCCCCCATCCTTCAGTAAAGTTGTGACAGTCCCTCCCCAATCCCTCAGTAAACATTGTTTCCACTCCTCTCCATCAATCAGTAAAAGTTATCACTGCCCCTCTCCTATTCTTCAGTAAACATTATTTTTGCCCCTCCCCCATCCTTCAGTAAACATTGTTTCTACTCCTCCCCATCCTTCAGTAAACATTGTTTCTACTCCTCCCCATCCTTCAGTAAACATTGTTTCCACTCCTCCCCATCCTTCAGTAAACATTGTTTCCACTCCTCCATCCTACAGTAAACATTGTTTCCACTCCTCCCCATCCTACAGTAAACATTGTTTCCACTCCTCCCCATCCTACAGTAAACATTGTTTCCACTCCTCCCCATCCTACAGTAAACATTGTTTCCACTCCTCCCCATCCTTCAGTAAACATTGTTTCCACTCCTCCCCATCCTACAGTAAACATTGTTTCCACTCCTCCCCATCCTTCAGTAAACATTGTTTCCACTCCTCCCCATCCTACAGTAAACATTGTTTCCACTCCTCCCCATCCTTCAGTAAACATTGTTTCCAATCCTCCCCATCCTTCAGTAAACATTGTTTTCACTCCTCCATCCTTCAGTAAACCTTGTTTCTACTCCTCCCCATCCTTCATTAAACATTGTTTCCATTCCTCCCCATCCTACAGTAAACATTGTTTCCACTCCTCCCCATCCTTCAGTAAACATTGTTTTCACTCCTCCATCCTTCAGTAAACATTGTTTCTACTCCTCCCCATCCTACAGTAAACATTGTTTCCAATCCTCCCCATCCTACAGTAAACATTGTTTCCACTCCTCCCCATCCTTCAGTAAACATTGTTTCCACTCCTCCCCATCCTACAGTAAACATTGTTTCCACTCCTCCCCATCCTACAGTAAACATTGTTTCCACTCCTCCCCATCCTTCAGTAAACATTGTTTCCACTCCTCCCCATCCTTCAGTAAACATTGTTTCTACTCCTCCCCATCCTTCAGTAAACATTGTTTCCACTCCTCCCCATCCTACAGTAAACATTGTTTCCACTCCTCCCCATCCTTCAGTAAACATTGTTTCCACTCCTCCATCCTACAGTAAACATTGTTTCCACTCCTCCCCATCCTTCAGTAAACATTGTTTCCACTCCTCCCCATCCTTCAGTAAACATTGTTTCCACTCCTCCCCATCCTTCCACTCCTACAGTAAACATTGTTTCCACTCCTCCCCATCCTTCAGTAAACATTGTTTCCACTCCTCCTCCCCATCCTCCCCATCCTTCAGTAAACATTGTTTCCACTCCTCCCCATCCTTCAGTAAACATTGTTTCCAATCCTCCCCATCCTACAGTAAACATTGTTTCCACTCCTCCCCATCCTTCAGTAAACATTGTTTCCACTCCTCCCCATCCTTCAGTAAACATTGTTTCCACTCCTCCCCATCCTTCAGTTAACATTGTTTCCACTCCTCCATCCTACAGTAAACATTGTTTCCACTCCTCCCCAACCAACAGTAAACATTGTAACCACAACACCATCCGACAGTAAACAGTGTTTCCACTCCTCCCCATCCTTCAGTAAACATTACAGTCCTCCCCATCCTTCAGTAAACATTGTTTCCACTCCTCCCCATCCTTCAGTAAACATTGTTTCCACTCCTCCCCATCCTTCAGTAAACATTGTTTCCACTCCTCCCCATCCTTCAGTAAACATTGTTTCCACTCCTCCCCATTCTTCAGTTAAGATTGTTTGTACTCCTCCCCATCCTACAGTAAACATTGTTTCCACTCCTCCCCATCCCATCCTTCAGTAAACATTGTTTCCACTCCTCCCCATCCTTCAGTAAACATTGTTTCCACTCCTCCTCCCCATCCTTCAGTAAACATTGTTTTTCCTCCCCATCCTTCAGTAAACATTGTTTCCACTCCTCCCCATCCTTCAGTAAACATTGTTTCCACTCCTCCCCATCCTTCAGTAAACATTGTTTCCACTCCTCCCCATCCTACAGTAAACATTGTTTCCACTCCTCCCCATCCTTCAGTAAACATTGTTTCCACTCCTCCCCATCCTTCAGTAAACATTGTTTTCATTGTTTCCACTCCTCCCCATCCTTCAGTAAACATTGTTTCCACTCCTCCCCATCCTACAGTAAACATTGTTTCCACTCCTCCCCATCCTTCAGTAAACATTGTTTTCATTGTTTCCACTCCTCCCCATCCTTCAGTAAACATTGTTTCCTCTCCTCCATCCTACAGTAAACATTGTTTCCACTCCTCCCCATCCTTCAGTAAACATTGTTTCCTCCTCCCCATCCTACAGTAAACATTGTTTCCACTCCTCCCCATCCTTCAGTAAACATTGTTTCCACTCCTCCCCATCCTTCAGTAAACATTGTTTCTACTCCTCCCCATCCTACAGTAAACATTGTTTCCAATCCTCCCCATCCTACAGTAAACATTGTTTCCACTCCTCCCCATCCTTCAGTAAACATTGTTTCCACTCCTCCCCATCCTACAGTAAACATTGTTTCTACTCCTCCCCATCCTTCAGTAAACATTGTTTCCACTCCTCCCCATCCTCCCCATCCTTCAGTAAACATTGTTTCCACTCCTCCCCATCCTACAGTAAACAT